TTGCTTTGGACAGGACTCCTCTCGGCTGGGTCGTGGCTTCTCACTGAACGTTGCCCGAAACAGAAACCTTAACAGCCGTAGTACTCAAGATGATGACTACCAACACTGCTTCTTTAGAGGAGGGTTCCTTTAGTATGCTCCGAAACCCCAGCGGAAATTCCAAACCATAATGGCCCCAGGTTGCTAAGCTGAACCGCCGCACGAAGGACAGGGCTTAGGGGGGTTTAGGGTTTCGGATTCTGGTTTGGTGCTGATCAAATCCGGGTTTAGGGATAGTATACTCCAAACCCTATGCCCTACCGCCAGTAAACGCAAAGCCGTTGCGCACTGAGCCCTAAATCTATATGGACCCTATATCCTTCTATATATATATATATATATATAAACCCTATATCCTACTTATACCCTACACCTGTCCCTACACCCTAAACCCTCCGCCCTTCGGCATCGCACTGGAGGATCTCGATCGGAGGGCCGGGTGTTTCGGGTTTGCGAGGATGAGGGTTATTATCAATACTCTTAGGGGTATATACTTAGAAATAAATTTTAATTTTTGGTTCTTGTAATCCCTAAGAAACAGCTAAAATTATACTTTTTGCTAGGGTTCTAAGTTCAGTATAGTACTATTTTGGGGGGGTTCCTTAATAGTAGAATGGGCCCCAAAACCCTATTCTAGTTATCGCTCAGGGTTTAGGGTTCAGGGTTTGTGAGTGTATGAAAATCCTCGGGTAAGGTTTCAGGGTTTCTGTTTCCCTGCACCACAGAGCATCGTCAACCTAAAACCGCTTTAGTTAGCCGATTTCGGATCTGAGTACTTTTAACAGGCCCAAACCCAGCCAACGGAACCCAGACTGGGCTGCGGGTTTAGGGTTTAGGCACATCATCAGGTCGATGATGAAATACGGTGTATATGCGCTTAATATGATACGTCTATCTAGAGGCTCCATACTAGTTCCTTTTTGGGGTTCATATGTAGAATCCTATAAGGTAATCCCAAAAAGGAACTACTTTGGAGCCTTTGGGTATATGGATGCAAACCAAGCTGGAACACCAGACCCTCGTCAGGAGAGCATGTGATGAGAGCCTGGTTTGAGCAGAGCCGAAAAAGATGGCGGCACTCTGAGGGCTTTTTACGTATTCCTAAGCCCTAAAACCCTTCTACACCCTAAACCCTAAACCATAACCCCCCCCCCCCCAAAAAAAAAAAACTTGGAAAAATGAGTTTGAACAAAAAACAAAACCCTGAAGCCTTTACAAGCAGTTTATATATGGGTTTCGTGTTGGGCTTTAAGATTAGGGGTAGCTGTGGAATCCACGGGATCGTCTCTGGTGTTTAGGGTTTTGGGGCTTTGGGATGGGAACCCGGAAGAATTATCCTTAGGGATCAAAACAGCCCAAAAGCCTTACATAGTATGGTCTTTGGGCCCAAAAGCCTTAGTATCTGAGTCCTTGGATCCCTAGGGTATGACGCATAACATTGAGTACGCTCCTTGCCTACAGTTTTGTTATGTTCTCGGGGAGGGGGGGGCGAGGTAGGTTCATCGCCACAGGGGTACTCAAGCAGCGAAAAGCCTTGTGAACGCCGAATTCAACCCCACACCAGCATTGGAGAAGTCCCAGGAGATTTCGAGTGGTTTAGGACGGATCGAACTGGCGGTCAGGATTTAGGGTTCAGGGTTAGGAGACTTTCTGTTATCCCTTGGACCCTACATAGACCCTTTTATTACGATGATTGTAGTAGTGTAGTATTGTTAGCATTACTAGCATTCCAGTGTCACTAGTGGTGTTCGCTTTACTAGTATTCTGTTAAGGAGTTATAAGCCCAAACCGCTCACCCTTAAATCCCTCAGCTTTCAACCTCTTCGGGAGCCTTGAGGCAACTTCTCCACTCCCACCATAAACGCTTGCACCACAAAGGTTTGACCATCAATACAAGAGGAGAAAAGGCAAAACCACTTATTGAGACTCCAGGTATAGATAAAAGCATGTCTGCTTGGGGGCTGGAGGTAGAGAACAGTCAAGAATCCTAGCAAGTGCTACTTCGGCCTCTGTTTAGGCTTTGGGGTAGTACTGCGCTGTGTCTCGTGTTTACTCGATAGCAAAACGCTCAGCATGCAAACAAAGCGCAAGCCCCACAGCCAGAGCCCCTCTTTTGTGGTGGGGCTTAGTGTTTAGGGGTTTAGGGTTTAGGTTTCATGGGTTCTTGGGTTTAGAGTTTCGGTTTAGGGCTTATAGGGTTCAGGATGTCATCGAGCCGACTGTCAACCTATCAACCCTAACACTCGCAGTATCACAACATCCACACTATAGAATATCCTGCTGCCAGAACAGCCACGCAGCATTGAACAACCTGAACCGACATCCTACACCCTTCTTAGCAGCTTAAACACTTAAGCCTTTTTTGGGCATCGTCATCGGCGGGCTGGTGCTGGGATTTTTGCTTGACAGATTTTGCATTTAGGCCGTACTTAGAGTTCCCAGATAGTAAGGTTAAGGGCCTACTGACAGTATGCCTACATGGACCCCTAGGGTAGCTTGTGTGTAGTGAGAGGTTTTTCTTGTGCAGTGTCTTGTCTTCTGTTAATTTCTAGCGACAGAGACCAAAACTACATTTGTTCGTCTGATTCGGTAAGGTTCCAAGCCGTTCGACCACAAGCTCTATGCCCCAAGAATCCGTCTTTTAATCCTAATCCCGTTCGGCGATGTTGAGCCTTGTGATGTGGTTGGGATGCCCATGAAATCGCATGTTGTCGCAATGGCATCTCCTGCGACCGTCGCAGGAGCCCCGACAGCGACAACCTGCAGTCGGAATTGCAGAACAGAACAGGGCCTCTAGAATGGTATCCTACATTTCACATTTGACAAGAATTAGGCTGCTCGGTAGTTAACTCGTTTGCTTGATTGTTTCCGGGTTCATGCAAAAACATGGAACAAACCCAACTAGTGTATACGTTTTCCCGTCAAGGTAAGGCAGGTTCTTTCTGTTGGATCGGTTGAAATTCTCCAAATCCGACCTCCCCCCCAACCCCCTCAACCTTACAGTAGAAGCCAGAAAGTTGGAATATCATTATCGTAACCCCTTTAAGGTAAATTATAGGGGATCCTACCATAAATCCATATTCCAACTTTCTGGAGTTCCCTTTAATTAGACCACCCAAGGCCCAGAACCCTTTGTCTTCAAGCCGTTTTGGCCCAAAGGTGAGGGGACGAAGTAAGCCCCCAACCCGAAACGTAGATCCCTAAACCCGAGATCTAGAGCCTGAAACCCAAAGTCTAACACTCAAGGTCTGTGCTCTGGCTAAAGGCAGAACGGTTGATGATATACATCCTGCACTACCCATAATGAGGGATATACCATAATTCCCATAGTTTGGCGTCCTTAAGGTAATGCAGGATTTATATCATCAACCGAAGCACCCTAGTCCTTAAGTCCATCCCAGGTCCCAAACCCTGCGTGAACCCTAAGCACACGAAGCCCAAGCCCTCAACCCTAAACCGCAGACCTTAAAAAAAAACAGCAGACCCCAAACCCTGAACAATAAACCTTGGATCCTGCAAAGTAAGTTTTTGGAATTTTGGCAGACCAAAGGTCTTTGCCAACGCACCATGCCTTTGTCCTTCCTTACCAACTTTGCCAAAGGCTTCAGTTGGATTGAGGGATTTCTTTCTGGGGGCTTTTTTTGTTTTGCATTGAGGGTTCAACGGTTTGGGTTTGTTAGGTTTGTCAGGGTGTAGAGGTTTAACAGGGTCAGGATTTGGAGAGGGTGGGACTCCCGTATGTGCTGGCTTGTTCCTCGAGATTGCCCCCAGGCTTTATGAGCTTCTTCCTCATGGAAGAGAGGGCAGTGATACATCTCAACTTGCCCGAATCTGACTGGAGTTCCATCGCGTCACCTCGTCATCATCAAGGAGGTGTTCGTGTGAACTTTGGTGGCGGCATCCTGTTCTACGGCCTAGACCCAGCCATTGCAGAGCATAGAAGAATCCTTCTTGAGTGTTAATCTTCTCTATTCGTTATTTGTTAGTTATCCAATACCAAGTACCTGAGAGCCGAGAGCCCTTAACACCCGAAAGCTTCTAATGCTAAGCCGAGGACTCTTACTATCGGGCGGAAAATGATTACCAATACTACTATTCTGGGGTTCCTTATTATGACTATAGTGCAGTGGACCCCACCACCCTCTTCTAATTATTAAGGCCCCTATATTTTGGAGGCTTAGGGTTTGGGGTGGGTATTGCGGAAATGAGGAATGAGCGGCCTGGACTTCGCGTTCGTCGCTTCGGATGGCAACAAACAACTGGCTCTGCGCATGAACTTCACCAGCATCTGGGCTTTGGAGTACCATACTTTACTACTTTTTTCATGAAGGGAACCATTATGAACTAGAAGTTTATGTTTGTTCTCCCTGGTTACTTAAAAGCCCAGGCATGCCCACACAAATTCAGCAGCATGTCAGCAATCGACTGGATAATAGCAGCCCCATGACCACGACGGATGTACAGCTATTGGTCCCCGTGGAGGGCCTCCGGAGCTACTGGGCTACTGCTTTTGGGGACCCAAAAAGCACATAAGCATAAGCATTTTATGGGGATATCCCTACCTTATTGGGCTTCATTATAAGGGGATTTATATGGGATATCCCTACCCTAATTTTTGCTTATGTGCTTTTTTGGGGCCCTATGCTTGGAGCTTGCAGTCAAAGTTGGAGCTTCAAGTCTAAATCACCACACTACACCCTAAACCGCGCTGTTTGGGATTGAAAGGGCTGATTTGAAGATGTCAATTTTTTTAATTTCTTAATTTTACTATGGTCGGAAACCCGGACAATCAGGAATATACCTTAATAATTAAGTTATAGTAGGATCCTTAATATGATTTAAGGTATATTCCTTAAGTAAGGGATATTGGAGTCTCTGGGTACCCTAGACCGTCAACCAACCGGGCAGGATCATGGCCATACCCTTAGCCCTAAACTTCACTGCAACTCTAAGCCCAAACCATGCAACGCAAACACACAAAGAAGAAACGCACGCACACACACGTACACACACACGCACACACAAAAACAAACCTGACAAACGAAGACGAACCAAGAACACAAAACGACAACAAGCCCCCAGGCCATTCGCCACTCGCCGAGTTCTTGGACCGTCAAGTGGGTGCCTTGAGCGTCCGGTCCGTTTTTGCACCATCTCTGCTCGAGAAAGACAGAGTGACTTCGGCTGATGGAGGAAGGTTGGACTATACCTTTAGTCTATAGTCTCCTTTTGGAATCAGTGTTTATTTTTGTTCATATAAAACCCAAGAGAATATTAAACATAATATGTTTGTTATGGTTCTAAGGGGGGTATAGCTCCGAGGGATGATCCAACATAACATTGTGTTAATTCTGGCACGCAACTTGAGTACATTTTTTGCTGCGGTCTTAGTTTCCTTAACCCTAGGCCCTAAGCCAAACTATCCCCGTATAGGCCCTAAACGATAAACCGTGCAAAACAAACGAATGTATATATATATATATATATGTGTGTGTGTGTGTGTGTTTGTACATGCTTGCGTTTCGGGTTTTTCATCGTTTGGTGATGGAAGTGTTTGGGATTCAGTGTTGTTGATGTCGCGTGGAGTGAGACTTCTTCAGGGGTTAATCACGGTTGACACGGATTCTTGTGATTGCCTGCACGGCGTTGACGGCTTTATCAGTCGAGGGTTTTGAAGTTCAGGGTTTTGGGGTGTTTAGGGCTGAGGGGTTGAGGGATTTGGTGTTTTTCAGGTTCAGGATTTTAGGGTGTTTGGTGGTGGGGGTTTTGAGGGCTTCAGGATGTAGCACTGGGGTTTGGAAGCATGTCCAGACCGCATAGGGTCGTCTGTTTGTTTTGTGGGCGTATGGGAAAGGGCTCGGAAACAAGAGGGTTTCGCATTTACACTTGGTTCAGGCGATCTGTCTGTTTCAACATGTAATTAGCCTTGATGAATTGAGTCCTTGTCCGGTTCTAGGAGTAATACTACAATAGGGTCCGCAGTATCGTTTCGGGTTGTGTTTTTGGGTCTTGAGGTTTCGTCAGTTGGGGCTTAGGGTGCGGCGGTTAGGGCTTCTGCTGGGTGGTTGGCAAGTTGAGGATTTATGGCTCGGCTTTGCTAAAGAGGCGGCTCGGAGCTCGCGGACATTGCAGAGGCCCAATGGAACTTGCAGGGTAAAGCCGTCACGTCTGCGCATTACGGCTTCCCAGCACAGTACCAAACCATCCTGTGTTCCAACTGTATGTCCTCTCCTGTCATCGAATCTTAAGTCAACTTGAGGATCCACACAAACTCTAAATACTACCTACCATCATGCAGACATACTCTGCGTACGACGTGCTACGTACCATCATGGATAGCCTGAGGATTCAGATATGCTCTAAGCCGTACATAAACCCTAGATACTACCATTATTATGGATCAGCCTGAGTATCCGATATACTCTAAACCCTACACCTAAACACTGCCATTATGGAACGCGTCCCACAGACCGCATCCCGGACGGTCCTCGGAGCCTTCAGTCTACAACGGAAGTATACACATGGACCCTTTGGGCCCCCAACAAAAGCCTAAACCTAAAAGGTCGTGGTCAGCATGTTAATCCGAACCCCTATACCCTTGAAGAGACGGACTTGGACTCAGGATTTGCAGAAGCTGCATGACCCTTCCGCTGTCACCTTCCACGAGGGAGACATGTACATAACCGACCGCGGCAAACATCGCATCCTCAAAGTTCGTCCTGGCACCTGGTCCTAGTTTAGGGCGTAGGGGTTTAGGGGCTTAGGGTTTAGGGTTTAAGGGTTTAGGGTTCAGGGTTTACGGGTTTACGGTTAGCTGGTCGTAAACACTACCTGGTTACCTGGACCAAGGAAGCTGTAACCTACCTTTGTCGGGTTCCTGTTTATGAGTTCCTTACATGAGCCCTTAAAACGGTCAGTTTTGAGGGGGTTAAGGCAAACCTTAAATCCCCCAAGCGTTAAACCCTTAAATCCTTAACCCTGAACTCAAAAACAAAGATCAGGCACCAAAACACCATAAGACCTCCGAGCCCCTAAGACGAAAATCCTACAGCCTAACCCCGCAGATAGACCTCCAGTGGATCTTGCTATTTTAGATCTACACGCTTAACTCTAAACCCCTAAGCCCTTAAACCCTTAAACCCTAAACCCTTAACCCTTCAACCCTTAAGCCCTAAACCCTTAACCCTCAAACCCTAAACCCTAAATTTTAGCTTGGGGCTTCCGAGCGTCAGGCCTTAGATGCAGCGGACGTACGTGGGGTTTGGGGTTTAAGAGTTTAGGGTTTAGGGTTGAGCGAGTGTGTTTGTTGTTGTTGTTGTTGTTGTTGTTGTTGTTGTTGTTGTTGTTGTTGTTGTTGTTGTTGTTGTTGTTGTTGTTGTTGTTGTTGTTGTTGTTGTTGTTGTTGTTGTTGTTGTTGTTGTTGTTGTTGTTGTGGTTGTTGTTGTTGTTGTTGTTGTGGTTGTTGTGGTTGTTGTGGTTGTGTTGTTGTTGTTGTTGTTGTTGTTGTTGTTGTTGTTGTTGTTGTTGTTGTTGTTGTTGTTGTTGTTGTTGTTGTTGTTGTTGTTGTTGTTGTTGTTGTTGTTGTTGTTGTTGTTGTTGCTGTTGTTGCTGTTGTGCTGTGCTTTGTTGTTGTTGTTGTTGTTGTTGTTGTTGTTGTTGTTGTTGTTGTTGTTGTTGTTGTTGTTGTTGTTGTTGTTGTTGTTGTTGTTGTTGTTGTTGTTGTTGTTGTTGTTGTTGTTGTTGTTGTTGTTGTTGTTGTTGTTGTTGTTGTTGTTGTTGTTGTTGTTGTTGTTGTTGTTGTTGTTGTTGTTGTTGTTATTGTTGTTGTTGTTGTCCTGTGCTTTTGGGTTTTAGGGGGTTTAGGGTTGGATCTAAACGCCTAGACCCTGGACCTTAAACCCGACTGTCGAGTTGAGCAATTTGAGTTGGGTAGCTCAGCAACACTGCAAGGATCTTCCCCTAAGTGTCCAAAGGACCCAAAAATCACAGTTTAGGGTTTCGGAAGTTTAGGGTTTAAAACCCTGAACCCTGAACCCTACAGTAAACTGAAGTTTAGGAAGTTTAGGGTTTAGCAAGTTTAGGAAGTTTTGAGGTTTTGTTGGGGCTTAACTTTAGGGCTTCGGTTCAGGAAGTTTAGTAGGTTTTGGGGTTTTGGGGTTTTGGGGGTTCAGGGTTTAGGGTTTAGGGTTTAGGGTTTAGGGTTCAGGGTTTAGGGTTTAGGGTTTAGGGTTCAGGGTTTAGGGAAACTGTTTAGACGAGCTTTCTGAACGAGGCAAGTGGCGAGGTGAAGTCTTCTTCGGAGGCAATGAGACGGGGCGCCTTACCCAGATCTGAAGCAAGTTTTGTATGTTCGTGTTGTTTGAAGCCCTGAGGGTCAAGTACCAAATTGTCGTAGTGACCTACATAACTACTATCCTAAACCCAAGTACCTAGTTGTTGGGTCCTTTCGAATCTCTGGGTTTGTTTATAGTAAACCCCAAAAGTTGAAAACCGGAGCAAGGACAATTAGTGCTGGGAATTCCTATACATTACTCTTAAGGATTGAGGCCATTGGGTTTCCAACTTTTGGGCTTCTACTTTAAGGCGAAATTTAGAATGGTGAATCTGCAGCGGGGTTTCCTCTGCGGAATACCATGAGTATTCTTACTTCATTTGCGTTGCGTTGGGTTTCTCTGTAGGTAGTAATGCACTCTATCTATACCTACTGAAATCCTCTTAATTCGTCAAGCTTGTTGATTTCCCTAAACCAAGCCTTAGCCACACTGGACTTTAGGGTTCAGGGCCGTTTAGGGCTTCGGGTTGCTTGTTTGGGGGTCCTGGCATTGGCAGGTTGCCTGTGAACTCTACACCCTAAGCCCCAAACCCTCGAGGGGTCAAGGTTTTCGGGGTTTCCTGATATCCCAGAACTCCTAGTTTGGGGGCCTCCCCAAAAAGTATCAGTTTTGGGGCTTGGGGCTTGAGGGGTTTAGGGTTTAGGGGTTGGGGTTCTGGGTTTAGAGTCCTCCGAAAATGGTATCAGGATCCGGCGTCAGCTCGGAAGATAGTTGCTCAGGCAGCCTTGAAGTGAGCCGATCTTGAACCTGACATCCAAAAGGCCGTCAACTCAGAAGCCCTCAGCCCTAAATCCCAAAAGCCTTAATTTCCCCAAGCCCCAAGACCGCAAACCCGCATGCCCCATACACTAAACCCTAAACCCTGGCTCCCGACATTAATCTAGCCAAGCGCATGCATGGAGCAGGCCCCCCTCGCCCGAAAACACGAGGGTGGCGGGCCGAAGCATGTCGATTACAGTGAAAGTTTCACTGCTTAGTGGCAAGACAGTTACAGTGCAAGCAGGCCTAGACGAAACTGTGGAGACGTTGGCAGAACGTGCACAGATCGCACTTGGAGTCGGGAAAGGGCGTCTGCTGGACACATCTGGGGTGGTTCTGGGCAGATCTGAGGAGATCGCAAATTTGCAGCTACAGAACGGTGATTGGTTGACCTTGCATGTGGTCAAAGTTCAAGTTCAGTCCACTTTAGCTTCTTTTGCTGCCATTCTTGGCGATGGATCAGTGGTGGCTTGGGGTCCTGCTCACCTTGGTAGTGACAGAGGTGCTGCGCAAGTGCAGCAGATCCAAGCCTCCGAACAGGCGTTTGCTGCCATTCTTGGCGATGGATTCGTTGTCACCTGGGGTCATGCTGGCTTTGGTGGCGACAGCAACCATGTACAGCATCAGCTGAAGAATGTGCAGCAGATTCAAGCCGCTTGCGGCGCTTTTGCCGCAATTCTTGACGACGGGTCCGTCGTGACATGGGGTTCTGCTGACCATGGTGGCGATGCTAGTGCTGTTCAGGATCTGCTGAAGAATGTGCAGAAGATCCAAGCCTCCCGCTGTGCGTTTGCAGCCATTCTGGGTGACAGATCGGTCGTGACCTGGGGTCATGCTAACTATGGTGGCGACAGTAGTGCTGTGCAGGGTCGGCTGAAGAATGTTCAGCAGGTCCAAGCCTGTGAGAACGCGTTTGCAGCCATCATTGGCGAGGGATCTGTGGTGAGCTGGGGTAATACTGACTATGGTGGCGACAGCAGCGCTGTGCAGGGTCGGCTGAAGAATGTGCAACAGATCCAAGCCTCGTTCAGTGCTTTTGCTGCCATCCTTGGCGATGGATCCGTTGTGACTTGGGGTGATGCTGATTCTGGTGGCAACAGTAACGCTGTTCAGGAGCAGCTGAAGAATGTGCGGCAGATCCAAGCCTCTGGCTATGCTTTTGCTGCTATTCTGGGTGATGGATCGGTTCTGACCTGGGGTCATGCTAAGGAGGGTGGCGACAGTAGTGCAGTGCATCGTCAGCTGAAGAATGTGCAACAGATCCAAGCCTCTGACGGTGCATTTGCTGCCATTCTTGGTGACGGATCGGTCGTGACCTGGGGTCATGCTCTCTATGGTGGCGACAGTAGTGCTGTGCAGGTTCAGCTGAAGAATGTGCAGCAGATCCAATCCTCTGGCAGTGCGTTTGCTGCCATCATATGCGATGGATCCGTTGTGACCTGGGGTGATGCTGGCTTTGGTGGCGACAGCAGTGCCGTGCAGGGTCAGCTGGAGAACGTGGAGCAGATCCAAGCCTCCGGCTCGTCTTTTGCCGCTATTCTGGGTGACGGATCGGTTCTGACCTGGGGTCATGCTGTTTTTGGTGGCAACAGTAGCGCTGTGCAGGGCCAGCTGAGGAGATTGTAGCAGATGCAAGCCTGTGACGGTGCTTTTGCTGCGACCCTGCGCAATGGATCCGTTGTGACCCAGGGTCGGTTGGTGATGGTGGCGACTGTCGGATCAGCTTCTATCGGCGCCTAACTGTAAGTCGCTGAGTTGCTCGTTGTTTGGCAAGCTGTACATAGTGCATCACGCAGAAGTACAACAAAAGAGTTGCGGATGCACCTGGCTGCTGCATGCTCCCACATCCCGACACCCTGCAATCAATCCACGCGCCTTCATGAACTGACTCCGAAGCCCTAATTTTTAATTAGATCCGAAACCTTAAGTATGATGCAACGGTATCGAAGGCTTGGTTGAATCACTTGAGTAATCGTCATGTGTATACCTTAAATGCTGATACAGTTCCCACTACTCTGAACTGTGAGCTGAAATATTGTTTTTGTTTTTCGCTCTCTCTCCCTCTCCCTCCCTCCCTCTCTCTCTCTCTCTCTCTCTCTCTCTCTCTCTCTCTCTCTCTCTCTCGTGTCCTCTTGGGCACTTGGACTCTTATCCATAGAACTCCACACGAGCCGATGAGTCGGCACCGCATACATTGTCGCAATCTCCAGTTGGACCCAGATCAGGGCAGGATGCCTTTTGTCCTTTGTTTAGTGGGGCTTTTTTATATACCTTCAATTCTCGACTCTCAACAGACTTCAAACCCGAAGCCCCGGAATAAATCCCTAATTATGGAACTCTTCTATGACCCTTAATATACAGACTGATAAGAACCTCCGGAAGCCTTATAAAGCCCCAAAACCAAACTCCTAACCATCCAGAACCCAACTGCTAGGGTAGGCTACCAGGCAACCACTGAGATGCACCCCGAACGTTTGTACACTGCGGCCGCCAATGACCTCACTCTTCTTGTAGAGACCCGAGACAGTAGCATTTTGTTTGGGAGAACCAGCATTATGCTTAGGATCCTTCTACAAGACATCAAAGCAACCACAGAAAACACTGTACTTATGACATCTTTCCATAATTTCGTTCGGGCCTATACTTTAGGCTTTCTCGGTTCATCTTCCAAGTTGTGTTTGAGGACTTATGTCAGGAAGTTATGACAAGGATCCCGAACAGGGTGGTCTTTCTGGGGAACGGGAAACCCAGAAACCATAGCTATTAGGTACCAGCCATGAACCCTGTAGGCCCCAACCCTAGGACAAACTCGCTATCATAGCCGGCATACCCTCTACTAAGGGCCATGATGGCTTACTTGTGGGTCCCTGACACTAAAGCTGAAACTGTACAACCGATAGACCACCAGAAAACCGCAAGTGTTAACCGTATAGATCCCTATTACAAACACCTTAACTGTTAAATTCCAGGTCAATCAGAAACCTCTCAAGACATACAAGCTAAATCCCCGCAGTGGATCCCAGGTCTGCTTTGCACCAACTTGCCTGGCCCGAAAACATCGCCTTCTTTCAGGGCCAAGCCTACATCGCTGACTGCGGGAATGATCGCGTTCTAGAGGCCGGTTGTATAGTATAGGGGCCTTAATAATTAGAATAGGGTTTTGGCGCCCAGTACACTATAAGTATAATAAGGAACATCCAAAGTAGTATAGGTAACTGTTTAGGCCCCTATAGTAGGGGCGCGAGGAAAACCAGCGAAGAGCGAATACCTAACTGGCAAATGACACTATCCCTTTTGGGTTCCTTATGTTGACTATGGCAAACATACCCGCTAAAACCATATTCTGTTTTTTAATACAAAATCAGGGCTTACGACGGTGAGTTTAGATTTTGAAGGTCAGATCCGCGATAGCCTCCTTTTGCTCTGGTAGGTTTAGGTTGAAGGTTTGAGGGCTTAGGGTTCAGGACCATCTGTTTTTTCATTGTAGGTTTCCGAAACCCCTTTGTTCCCATTACCTCGTGCTCTCCTGAAATTTTGACATTGTTGCAAGTTGAAACCCTACCTTGTCCCTACTGCTAACGAACATAATCTTGCAAGTGGCTAAGAAACTAGACAGTTAGCTATGGCCACAGTCGCGGCTCATGTGCACAACTAGGTCGGGCTTGTAATATTTAAGATAGGGTTTTGGGGCCCATTATACTATAATCATAATAAGGAGCTCCCAAGATAGCATAGGTAATTATTTAGGCCCCTATATTAGCACAACAGTCCTTCCAGGTGAAGCCCGGCGAGAAGAAGGGGAAGGTCGTGTTCGGCAGTCTGAAAGGTCCTTCTGATGTTACCTTCTTCGAAGGCAATGCCTACATCGTCGACACTCAGCGGATGATTTTGACAGCACTGTTGCTTGCTGCGTCTGCACGGCATTTCGAGTAGTTTTGACCCGCGAACCGGGCAACTGAGGAAAAGCCAGAGCATCGCATCGTGAAGGTGAAGCTTGGGGCATCGCACGGCGAGATCTTCTTTGGGGGCAATCAGTCAGCCTGGTCGTCCTTGACCAGTCTACTCTACCCACAGTGCCTTTGAACGTTGGCTAGGCTTCTAAACCCTGGCCCTATCGCCCCAAACCTTAACAGGAGTTTGCCCCAAATTCCGGTGGTGTAACCCTCAACGTGCAGAGGCCGCAAGCCATATGAATGTGGGGCTTTAATTGTTTATGCCCGACAGTAAGTAAGTGGTACTAGCCATCGTCCCAGCATAGACCCGGCTACGGAGCCCTGTATAAGCCCTATACTAGTATCCTAAACCTATTCTGAACCCTACACCGGCGTTCGCCACCGAGGCGGATCAGCTTCTATGGTGGCAAGGCGTACATCGTCGACACGATGAACGCTCGAATTCTCAAAGTTACACCTGGAGAGACTAGGCCATCAAGGAACACCCATCAAACACAAGTAGTGCTAGTGATAATTACATGTACATGACTGTGGACTGGATACATGGATTGACCCCCCCTCCTTGCTGAACCAGCAGAAGGAACCTTCAAGCACGCCACATCTATACCGATACATTAGGTAGGATACCTTTTCGAGGTTTCGATTTTACATACCCAAAAGCGGCTGTAGTAATGTATAGATATTAATAGCAATACAGCAATACTGGTAAGATTATCAATAGTAATAGTGATAGTAGTGTAAAAACAGATGTTCGCAAGAACAGCCCAGGAGAAGAAGGCTGAGCTCTTCTTTGGACAGAAATGGTCTGGAGACACGCTTGCTCAACTGAATACACCTGCGAGCATTACCTTCTTCCAGGGCAGTGCTTATATCACCGACGCCATGAACAGCCGTATTTTGAAGTTACTGGTCATAGGAGCGGACTCAAACCCGAAACCTTATGAACATCTATCTATAAGCCGTTAACCTCTATAGGGCCGTAAATCCTAAACCCCATACTCGTCCATGACGCTTGCACTTGTGCCTTGTAGCTGGGAATCCCGAAGTTTTGGGGTAGATGATCGATTTAGAAATCTCCCCTGCGCCCCTGCTAGAGGCTGCTAGAGCGTTGTCTTGAAAAAATAACAAAGACAACAACCTACCTGTTCAAGGGCATATCTTCGGAAAGGCTCTGAAGGAACCCTGACAAGGTGAAGGTACACCCCAAAGCCTAGACTGTGGGTTTTTTGTGGCGAGAAGTACCCTCGTAGCCCTTGTCTCATACTGGTGTCTCCCTTTGATAAGATTGAATAGTAGGCAAAAGAGCACTCGTTTCTTGAATTCTGAAACCCCAAATACCTCAACCCCACAACTCTTCACCCCTAAACGCCTAAACCCTAAACCCCGAAACCCTGAAAACCTAAGCCCCGAATCCCGTAAAGGACTTAGGCCGTTGGGTTCAGGATTTAGACTTTAAACCCTAGTGTTCAATAAGAAATGAGATGGTTTCCTGTTATTTTGGGAATCTGTTGGCCCTAAAACCCTAAACCCTAAACCCTTAGATCAGGTTTTAGGGGTCTAACCCGAAGAGCCAGTTACGCTTATAGCGGGTTACTGCCCCTTTAAAACTTACATAAACCTCATAGTACCCATATCCCTAAACCCTACACCCGAAATACTCTGCTGCTAGGGGTCGAATCCTGAGTCCCGAGGTTGGCTCCGTACATGGGTGAAGCGGAGGTCTTTTTTCAAGGTACCGGGTACCTGCCACCCGGCTAGTATCGTGGAGTGTCATGTCACGTCATACCATACCGCATCATGCCCTATTATATAGCAATGGCATAGTAGCTGAGTTCCTGAGTTCTGAAGTCTTTGGTGTGAAAGCAAAAGTTCGTCGCTGTACAGACAAAGGTTCTGTCAAGGTTCCATACCGGGTTTAGGGCTCAGGGTCTAGGGTTAGGGTGTTTCTAGGGCTTTGACTTCAGTTTCACGGTGACAGTCAGCATTGCTGCCGCGATTTCTGTGTCGATTCACCTGCGGTCCGAATGGCGAGAGTACTCAAGATTGTGCAGGTGCACGTTGTGCTAGCTCTGAGTTGGTGGAGCTTTCAGATGGTAAGGTTTACACGTAGCCAAGGGGGCAGCAGCAACATTGAATAAGGGCTTAGAGTTTAGGGTTTCGGGCTTAGGGTTTAGGCCCAAAAGCCCAGGTCAGACGTCGCATTCTTCGGCGGCGGTGCTTATGTCGCCAACTCAGGCAGCGTTTTAACCATATCACGGCCTGTCGACATCCGTGCCCCTTTGAAGAAGGAGCCCCTAGAGGAATCTTTCAAGAGCCGGTAAAGAAGGAGTACGTAATTAGACTGCTCTTGATGAGAATCATGAGTTTTAGAAGACAGCGTATCAGTTGACAAGGGGCCCCCAATATTGATGTTTGCTTTCCTCTCCTCCGGATGTACCCTCGGGGTCTACGCCCATAATATCAATTCAAACACTCTCCGAAGCCCGAAACCACACCCTACAGCGAGGTATCTTTTTCTTAAGCGACAACAGCCTTAGACAATGACGCTAAGGTTTCGGGCTTAAGTGCGCTCTTATGGCAGGGTTCCGGTGCCACAATCAAACCGATAAACCTGAACCACATCCCAACACTGCGAGATTTTGGGTTGGGACTTTAGACTTGCATATATTGAAACCTAGAACCCTAAGTAAGCCCGCACACCCTACATCCGCACAAAGCTGTGATACAGCCCTTTTAGACTCTTACCCCCTGCACGTCGACTCTGACCGTACTTTTTTCGATGTAAGGCGAACCGATGCAGAAACTCAAACATCCCTTTAGATGCAATGCCCCCTATGATCCAAAGTAGTCATTTCTTTCGGTGCCTTGTTTCTTCCTTGTAGGGCCCTGCAAGAAAAAAACGGCATCATCCGAAAACACGCACTACATTGGAGGGTATAGGTTTTCCGAAAAGTGTAGCAGGAATCCTGAACAAGCGTGCAGGAATGGGCAATCGCATCCTGAAAGTTAATCCGACGGGGACGGAGATCTTCTTCGGAGATCGCGCAGCTAGGCTCAAGCCACCGGGTGTAGAGTTTAGGAGGGTTTGGGATTTATAGGGAATCTGGGGCGTTTGGGTTGTAAATTTGAGTTTATAGGGTGTAGGGTTTAGGGTGATTTTTGGGTATACAGGGTTTAGTGTAAGTTGCTGCAGCGATCGTGTAGTGCTTTATAGGATTGTATTGGGCTCGACATGGGCGTACAGGATTCTATAGATAATGTGGGGCGGGAAAGATCGATAAAACCCATAATCCATGATCCCACCCGTCGTCCCGTTCTTGGGATTCTGTCAAAGATCCTCCCTCAACTTACGGCACAATGAAAAGAGTTGTGTATTGATTGGTCCTCAACCCCGAAACCCGCAAGGACCTGTGGGACTCTCAAGAACCCCACCACAGTCCTTCAGGAAACGGGTGAGGGGGCGGGGTTATCGATCAGGGTGTCTACATTGTTGCCGAGTTGTGGCCAGTAATATGCCAGACGTCATACTGTATTTAAGAGGGAGCAGAGATCGCAAAATCTTAGTGAAAGCTTATAAATCCGAGTAGAAAGTCCTTATAAAAGGTTATATACACTCCTCCTATCAAAGTAACAAGATCTATGGACATGGTGAAGGTCTAGGCTTTAGGGTTAGGGATGTTCTTCTTAGCTACTGGATATACCTCAGACCATCACCACCTCTTGTTTCGGTAGGTTCTTCTGACAAAACTCTAACTTGTGGTTTGCAGGGTAACCTTAAACCCCTAAACCCTAAAACCCTGTAACCCGCAAGTCCCCAAACCATACAAAAAGCTGGGTTTGGGTAGTTCTAGCCAGGAATCCGCAGGTTGTAGATCATGTTTTGCAGAGACCGATCTTCTCCAGGCACCAGAAAGCCGTGAGGGCACCATGAAAGAGTATATGCCCAATGCCAATGGGTATAGAATATACATAAACCCATAGGGTTAATGAATGCAACTAGTAAAACAACCCCAAAGCCGTAAAGCTACACCCCAAACCCTAAAACCAAACCACAAAGGCCCTAAACCCTGAAACCGATCACGAATGCCCTATACACGGGCGGTGATCCTACACTTCGAGGCTCTTCTGCTTCACTCCAGCTGGCTGAGAAGTCTCAAGATGCACGAGGGCCACGCCTACATCGTGGATGAAGGCTAGAGACTAAAAGCAAAGTGATATGAATATTGAGACCTATCCAGACGCATATCCCTTAAATCTGATACCCTGAACTCCTGAAACCAAGACATGTGTAGGGACAATTCCAAAGTTTCTGTTCAGGTGCTTTTCTTGATCTCCTAGATGGTCAGGCTTAATTAGGGTGTAAGGCTGGCAAATAGGTTGGTGACTAACTTGGGTTTTCTACCCAGCCTATATCGTGCCCAATGAACTCAAGCCGTTGAACAGCATGTGTATGTCTGTGAAACGCAGAACTATCACCTCGCCCTTACCCTAAACCCTCAAACCCCTGAACCCTTATATAAACCCTAAACCCCGTAACCCTGAAGCCCTAAACCCAAAATCCCTAAAACCGTTACTCCTAAACCCTAGACCATAAAAATCCCAATACCCTAAACAGGTGCTGGTCGGATTCTAAAGCTGAAACCTGGCGTGCCTGGCGGGGAGATTGTCTTCCCACCCCTTGGAACGAAGGCCTTTGACCAATTGGGGTTTGGGAGTTTAACGATTTGCGGGGGTTTGGGAGTTTAGTTATCTTATGGGCTTGTAAACTAGGTATCGATTTGGAATAATTGAAAATCTCTCCTACTGCTTCCCTATCCCTCCAAGGACCTCATAGTTAGGGCCCTAGACCCCTTAAGGACCCCATAATAAGGTCCCTGGAGGGAAAGGGCTTATACAGTGGGGAGATTACGGAGACTTGTGGTGTCCTCAACGCTCGGACGTCTGATACACCAAACCCAAATGCTCCATGTAATCCATGTACCTTTCTAGTAGATACTTAAGCCTTAAAGGGCTCCCTATATAGGTACTCCCGAGTATATGCTGTATGGGAGTTTCCGGGAATGGGGACCCTAGTGCCCTAACTAGTAGGATCCTTACCATAAGGACCCTAAGGTACCCCTAATTTCCGGAAACTCCCATATCTACTACCATTATGAAATTGGGTCCCAAAAGACCATGCGCATTATGGTCTTTGGGACCTAATCCCATAATGGCAGTGTAGACCTAATCCCATATGGGTGCATGGAGCCTTAGGGAAAGAGGCCTGCTGGCTCTCGGAAGGAGATTTCGCGGCAGCAGTCTCAAACTCTCAGACGGAACCGGTATCGAAACCCTTTCTGCTCACCGCCTATGATTTAAGGTAGAAGCCAGAAAGTTGGAATATCATTATCGTAACCCCTTTAAGGTAAATTATAAGGGATCCTACCATTAATCCATATTCCAACTTTCTGGAGTTCCCTTTCTCCCGAAGCCGTAAACCCCATACAGCCCAAATCAAGCTGAGCTGATATGAGCTTTCTTTGGCTTCTTCGGTGAAGAGCGACCCGAAGAGGCGTGTCTGCACGACGTCACCTTCCACAAGGGCAGCATGTACATCGTTGACCCCGGGTGCCTTTGGAGCAAAAAACTTTGGGGTTTCGGGTTTCGGGTTTAGGGTTTAGGGTTTCGGGCTTAGGGTTTAGGGTTTAGGGTTTCGGGTTTAGGGGTTTCGGGTTTAGGGTTTCGGGCTTAGGGTTTCTCAGTTTGTGTTTCGGATAGGCTTCTATGTAGGCTGGGATGCTTGTTTTTTTTTGTGTGTGGGTTTCGAGTGTAGGATGCGACAACGTTGTGATTGTGTTTTTGTATCGAGTTTGGGTGGCTAGGACATGTTTGGTCTCTACCCTTGCGCAGAGTGCACGCCAAGATGCTGGCGTACTGGCATCGCATGTGCTGTATGTTGTGAGTTGCGGTGTAGCCCCATCGCTCAAAAGCCCGAAGCCCTCCACGCCTAAAGCACTTGCCTGGGAATCAGGCAATCAATCATTCATTCGTTCATTCGCTCAACCAAAACCAGTGTGTGAGTATATATACACATATATGTATATATAATAAGTACAACTCAGTTTGTGTGTCTGTGCGCATCTTTCGTTACATATATATATATATATGCATACATGTGTGTGCGTGTGCGTGTCTGCATATGTTTCATATGTTCATATGTTTATACTGAAATTTTGGATACCCAACAGAAGGATCCCCCCCAATGAGAGGGACCCTTAGTTGAAAGACACCCCGGACAAAAAAAACACAACATATTTTCGAAATCTCACTGAAGCCGACGAATCCGATAAACCGGTCCCAGAAAAAATTCTCATAGATCCTTTATGCCGGAAAAATCCCTCCCGCCAAAAACCTTTCAACAACACGACTGGCTTGGAAGCCTCAGTGCGCTAAGGTACCCTAAACCCTAAACCGCAAACCCCAAACCCTAAACTCCAAACCCTAAACCCTAAACCCTGGGATACTTAGCCTCTAGTGAGGTGCTCTGTAAAGAGTGGCGGGCGCATCTTGAAGATGGAGCCTGGGAAGGGGGAGGCGGCACTCTTCTTTGGTGAAGAAACTCTGCCTGGATGGGGCTATGAGTTTGGGTGCAATACTTGTGGCCCGTACAAAGCCGGCTGCTTTAAGGAGCTATATACATATACATATACATATATATATATATATATATGTGCGTGCGTGTATAATCCCTTCCCCCTAACATTCAATCCCCCCCTAATATAAAAACTGCCGGCCCTCGGAAGTTCGCGGGTTCGGGCCCCGCATTCGATTTAAAGGGGGCAACATTAGCTGGGGTGGCAGATCTGTATGTGTTCTAATTGAAGGAAGACTACCGTAATACTAAAGACAGCAGAGCTTTAGGGTTTAAGGGTTTAGGGCTCAGGGCTTTATAGAGCCAAAGATTACAGCAGTACTAAAGAGACACGAGAGCTTTAGGGTTTAAGGGTTTAGGGCTCAGGGCTAAAGCTTTAGGGCTCAGGGCTTTAGTTTGGGGCTCGAGGTTTAAGGCTTAGGGCTTTAGTAGGGCCTCAGGGCTCCAGGCTTAGGATAGCTAGCAGCTGGGAGTCCGGGTACGTGGGTGCACCGAAACCCCCCCTAATATAAAAACTAAACCTCCGAAATCCAGTTTTTATATTATGGGGGGGGGGGGGGAGCGTTTTAATATTAGGGGGAAGGGATTAGATAGATAGTTCTAGAAATGTAGAGACCGCAATAAGGATCCCTAAAAGGTTAATTTTGCTATATAGGCTTCTGGGTTCAACGTTTCGGGTTTGGGGCTGTTCTCTATTCCCATAGGTTTCGGGGTTTGGGGTGTGGGGTGGGTTCAGGATTGTGGATTCTAATCTCTGGTATCGCTTTGACCCTAAACTTGAAACCTGAATCTTCTCCAGTCGGTTTCCATTGTATGTTGCCTCCTTTCCAGGAGCCGCTAGAAAAATCGCACGCATCTGGATTCTGACTCACCCTTTTCTCGGTATTTCAGAAACCCACGTAACGGCAGTGCTACCTTCAGGGTTCCTTTCAAAGCTCGAGCAAGAATCCCATTGAAGCCAAAGTATATCTTATATGGGCACTGCATCTTGCGATTATGTTGGTGAGTTTGCTGGGCTTTAGGCTTCAGCGTTAAATACTCAGAGTCACGAAGCAAAATCAATCACCGCAAATCCTCTTCAGGCCGAACTTTCACATTTCTAGAGGAGCAGAACCCACAGAACTTGAAGCACAGGACTGCCCTAAGACGCGGGAGCTGTTGTGGAAGTCTGGTAGCCTCGACTCCCTACACACCAACAGACTCTAGACCTTGGGTAAGGCCGCTGCCTCACTAGGGGGCCTGCATTACCTCTTAATCATGGGTCAGTATTAGCCGGTGGGGCCCTGCACTGAACCCTGAGCCCTAACGCCCCAACCTAAAGCCCAACAGTCGCAACTCCTTGAATTCCGAAATCCCCAAACCCCAAAGCCCCGAAGCGTAAACCTGAAACCCTATCAAAACCTTTTTGTTCGAAGCCCTTTAGTCCTAAATACCCCAAGCCCTACACCTCAGATCCCCACAGTCCCGAACCCTAGAGGCTCTGTGGTTCAGGTTTTTAGGGTTTAGGGTTCGGGGGTTCAGGGTTTAGGGTTCAGGGTTTGGGCTTTAGGTTGGTTGTTTCTGCGTTTGTTCGCTTCCTGCAGCTAAGGAGAAGAAGGGGTCGTCCCTGCACCAGCTGCATCGTCCCAGCGGTGACTTGCTCCCTGAGTTGGGATGTGTTAATATAGGGGCCTTCATAATTGCCACTAATATTTCTGTGGTTTCTCATATTTCTATTACACAGGGCCTCAGAACCTTTTTTTCCAGTTTTTGAAGCCCCTGCACTAAGGGTGTTTAGGTTCGGTGTTAGGTGAAACAAACCGTAAATCCTAAGCCCTAAACCTAAGCCTGTTACTTTTAGGGCAGGTTCTTGCAAGCTTCTCTTAAGATGAAAGTGAAGTAGGTGTTCGTTGTTTTTTGTTTCTCGCGTTTTGCTTTACAGATTTGTTTTGAGGTTCTTACCTAGAGCATTTGTATGTATTACCATGTGGGCTAATTCAGTTTGGTGAGATATGTGAAAGTGCATAACCAGGCGTTTCTTTGGGAAGTGGGGAAGTTAAGGTATCACCTTCTTCGACGGTGCGGCGTATATCGTGGATAGCGGCAACCATCGCGTCCTGCAGGTTACTCCGGGGAGCTCTCAAGGCGAGGGGTGAACGAAATCCCCTCAATCCTGAGCCGTGTATCCGAATACAGGGCCTTAAGCATTACCAATGCTATCTTGGGGGCTCCTGATTATGATTGTAGTCTAACGGGCCCCAAAACCCTAGTCTAACTATTAAGGCCCCTATCCTAAGACTTTCCAGCTCTAAGCCTGCAAATCTCTGCATCTGAGCCCTAAACCCCTACAGCCTAAGCCCCTAGACCCTAAATCCTAACACGCCCGAAACCTTCAACTCCTAAGACTTCTGCACCCTAAACCCTAAACCCTAAACAAAAAAAAAAACCTAAACCCTAAACCCTAAAGTCCTAACTTCCGAAGCCCTGGTAAGGCCAACTCTTCTTCGGAAGTGCCGGGGGTATGCATTTTCAAAGCCAGTTTGGGGTTTAGGGAAAGTTTAGGGGTGTAGGGGCTTCAGAGGTTAGGGGCTATAGGGGCTTCGGTTTAGGGTTTAGGGTTTAGGGTTTAGGGTTGGGTATTTAGGATTTTTTGGTTGAAAGGTCTAGGGGTTTAGGGTTCATGGTTTAGAGGTGTTGGGGTTTATGTTTATAGACCTATATAACCAGTTTCTGGAGTTTAACATCCTGTCATTTCATAGACACAACAGGCCTAAAGCTCAAGAGCCTTCTAGAGCTGATGACATGAGCCTCTGGGGTTTAGGATTTAGGGTTTAGGGTTTAGGGTTTAGGGTTAAGCCACCGTCCAAGGAAATGGCTCCTCCCTGGAGCAGCTGAAAGATCCCAGCAGCATTACCTTCTACAGAGGGTATGCTTATATCGTTGACCGGGGTAACCACCGCGTCCTGGAGGTGAAACCTGGAGAATCTGATGGCTACATCTTCTTTGGAGGACTCTTTTAGGGGTTTAGGATGCAGGGGTGAGATCTGTTGTTTGGGGTTTAGGTTTTCAGAGCTTTTGGGGTATGAGCACACAATCGAAATTGAAACTTGAGATGTTCGTTCCCCGGACACTCCACGAGGAAGAGGGGTGGGCTCTTCCCTTCGTCAGCTGAACCGGCCTCGGTCGATAGCCTTCCTTGAGAGCAATGCCTACATCTTCGATGAAGGCAACCGGCGCGTGCTAGTGGCTCAGCAGTCGAGGAAGTCGGAAGTTTCCGAAAATAGGGGACGCTAATATAGTACCCTAAAAAACTAGGATCCGTGTTATGAGACCCCCATAATAAGGTACCCCTAGTTTTCGGAAACTCCCAAGTGACCATGCCTGATGCCAGGTTTGCGAGGCTCCCAGCCGAACCCTGAAGCCTTAAACTCAGGGACCCAGAAAGGCCACAAGCATAGGCATTTATAGGGATATCCGTACCTGCTGGGGCTTCATTATAGGAGGGCTTATATGGGATATCCCTATCTTTTTTTGCTTATGTGCTTTTTTGGGGGCCCTATAAACCCCCGCCTCTTGTGTGTGCCTAAGGTGGTCAGACCACTCGGGCTCCAAGCTGTGGAGATCCTGGGAGGAGGCTCCACTTCCTTCTCGCCGCAAGTGGGTCATCTGGTGGATCTGGCCTTCTTCCGACAGAGCCTGAAGCAAAAGTTAAGGAAATAAATGTGTTTGCCTTCTTCCAGAAGAGCTTGAAGCAAAAGTTAAGAACAAATGTGTTTGCCTTCTTCCAAAAGAGACTGAATCAGAGCGAGTCTTGAATTTCTTGTGTTACGTAGCTTGCTGGCGTTTTCACAGCAGTTTGTTGTCTTGTCGTCTTGTGTGTCGCTCAATTCGTAACCTGTTCACCGAAATGTCATGGTGTGCTTGCTTTTGGGAAGTGGTAAGGTATGTGCTCGTCTGTGTTTTTATACAATTTGTACAGTTGAGTTGAGCAACCAATTCCAACTAAAGCCTTAAACCCTTAAACCCTAAACCCCATACACCCTAACCCTAAACCCTAAACCCTAAACCCTAAACCCCATACACCCTAAACCGCATAAGCCCTGAACCTAAACCTAAACTGTACACAAAACTCTAACCTTTAGGCTGAAGGGTCGGGTCCCGATGCTCAAAGAGCGTGAAACACAAAGAGTCGGAATAACTCGGAATAGTCTACCCGTACCGCCCTCATATAACTATGGTATAGTAATAATATTGTCTTCGCTAGTATGGTCTTCGCTCAGAGTCCCTATGCATATACCTCGCAAAGCCCTGTTCTAATTGATTTGTTGGCCCCAGCTACCCATCTTTGGGTCGAGCTTTCAAGCTGCCAAGGAGCGCTTTCATTCTGGACAGCGGCAGTGCTGTTTCCAAGTTTTGCTTGCAGAGAAGTTTCCGTTTTGGGGGATCCTTGGGGTTGGTTTGATGATGTTTAGGCGTTAGGGTGCGGGATTTGAAGGCTTTTGAACTTTTCGGGTCTGAGATCTAGGTCCAAACCTTTCAGAAAGTGGGGAACCCCCAAGAGGATCCTCGTTGCACGCCCTAAGAAAGGAGCCTTGATCATACGTAGGACTCCCGGATGTCTGAAACAAAGTCAACCTTATACCTCCTTGCGGAAAAATACCTATAGTCTCCATTGTAGTTCCTTTTTGGGGTTGCCTTATAGGATCCAAATTATGTATCTGGTTAAACCAAAAAAAGGAACTACAATGGAGACTGTAGGTAGTTTAGGGTTTGGGGTTTAAGGTTTAGGGTCTTGGTCTTAGGGTGTTCAGGGTTTATGTTACAGTTTAGGCTTTAGGGTTTTACGGTAGCGAACACAGCGGATCAGGTTCCTGGTCAGACGACGGTCCGCATCTTCGAAATAGCCCGGCCAGAGTACCAGGTGGAACGGAGTCCCTGATTCCTCAAACCCTAAGCCCTACCAAAGGGGCTTAAATAATTACCAAATACCCAAAACCCTATTCTAATTATTAAGGCCCCTAAATCAAGCTCAATCCCAAGCCCCAAACTCTAAACTCTAAAACTTCCACTTACAGCAGCCCGCAAGCTCCTAACCGGGATGAGATGCATAGCCTTAACCCCGTGAGCAGCCCCTACAGACCCCAAACCCCGAAGGATATCTAGACCTATACCTTCGACTTTTTTTAGGGTTCAGGTTCCCTAATTAGCCCCTTTAAACCAAAAAGTTCCTAGGTTTTGGGTCTATTTACCTTTGGTTAGTAGGGAATGGAAGAATGGTAGTAATAGTAGTTACAATTGTACCCCACTCCTCCATTCCCTACTAACCAAAGGCAAGTTGATCGGCCTGCCTAAACATTTACCAACGTCACCCTAAACCCTAAACCCTAAACCCTAAACCCTAAGCTTCCCGTGCCAAAAACACAGCCTCGAACCTGAGTTAGTGTGCTTCGGGGCTTTGAGGAACTCTGAGGTTTGTGAGGTTTAAAAGAGGGTCCTGATTAAGAGACCTTGGGTCTTTGTTAGGGTTCCTATTTTACGGATCCTCATAATTTTGGGGTTATCGGACCAGGGTTTCTTAATCAGGATCCTACATTAGAGTTGAGGAGGATCTTCCCAGAGGCTCCTGACACTCTGGGGCCCTGAAAACTATAGAACTTTCCGACCCAAAGGGTTCTCCGAAGGAGGAGATTCCTCTGGACCTTTAACACAAAGACTCTGTGATACTGTTGATGGACAAAATCCTGCATGACCTTAAGGACCCTAAACTATGGGAATTATGGTATATTCCTTACAATGGGTAATGCAGGAATTTGTCCATCAGCAGTATGTAGATATAATCGGACTAGAAAACACATGTAGAACCCTGATCGCACCGCCAAGCAGATAGTTAGGACCCTTAGGTAGGATTTGCATTCTCGCGGTTTTTCTGTGCCCGTTGCAGGCGGAGCAGTTTCGACGTCGCTTCAGTCTGGGCGAAACATTGCAACGGTGTGGGCATGCCCGGCAAAAGGTGCAGAGTGGGTCTCGGATTCCTTGTCTGGCTTATGCAGCGATTTAATATAGGGGCCTGAATAATTACCAGTGGTTCCTTATCACAAAGATAGTATGACATACACCGACACCCACAACCCTATTCTAAATAAACCCAAATTTCATGAACCCCCAACCCTAAAACCCCCAACACCCCTAAACCCCTAAAACCAAAAAACTAAAAGCTTAAACCCTGAAGACCTAAGCTTCCCAACCCTTAAAACCCCTCCACTCTATACCCTAAAACCCTAAAGCCAAAGCCTTGATGAGCTTTGAGGATGCTCTTTTTGGAGAACTGCCGAATGCCTCTCCCCGCTGGCTTCGACGATGCACTTCCCAACAAGAGCTTCGACGCTCTCAACATCAGTGCGGCTTGGTATTTAGGAGTGTAGGTGTTCAGAGTGTTTAGGGCTTCAGCTCTAGATTGTTTCAGCTGTTTCTGGGTGGCAGGGTTTTCAACCCCAAACCCTCAATCCCAACCCAGGGTTTCTTAGATAGCTTTGGCTAAGAGAGAAGGATGAACATCGGCATGATTTGGGGTTAAGGTTCATGCCCTCAGCATCAATTTTGGCTTCGATTTGGGTTTCGGTGTTCAAATGGACATAGGGTGTAGGGTTCCGGATGGTCTTGGGCCTGCACGTCCGGCAAAAATTGTAATGCCTGAACAAGTATGGGCTTGTATACTCCCCATAAGATTGAAACTTTGAGCAACCCAGGTGGCCCATATGGACAAGGTCATTCTGCAGGTGCAGACAGCTGAGTTGGGGCCTCCGATATCACCACCCATGCCAGCAGTGGAAGCTTAGTGGGTAAGGGTTTAGGGTGTACCTATAGTCTCCATTGTAGTTCCTTTTTTTGGTTATCCAATTTTATGGTTGGGACCCTATAATAGAGATTTTGGTTAACCAAAAAAAGGAACTACAATGGAGACTATAGGTAAGGTTTAACTTCGGTAAGATTGCAAACTTTCGTGGTGTCTTCGGGCTGCAAGCAGCCGGTTACCTTTCGGATAAACTCCGTCAAAGTCGTCTGAATATTAAGCCTTCTTTTGCCCCGTGATCCGGGGAAGAAAGGAAGTTGCCCTCTTATTGCTCTCGGTGGCTTTGCCAAGCTTCTTGGCTCACGCCTCCAACGAGCGCATCTTTCACATCATCTGCTTAGTCTACCTCGCTGCCCTGGCCTGGCTGTCTGTCCGCCAGCGATTTCTAGAGCTGCCGTTTGCCGCTGGGCAAAGAGAAGGTTTAGGTCTGTCAATCTTCAACCCTGCCCACCTACACCGTTAAGAGACATACCTTTTGTTGCGTTCCTTTTCTGATATCCGTAAATAAATCCTTGATAAAGGTATTTGTTTCTTTGACAAGGGGGCCTTCAGGTAAGCACAAGATAGCTGTGAGCTCTGAGGCCAAGCACCCTAAACCCCTGTGCACCCCAAGGCCTGATCGAGCCTAAACAGATCTCCTAGGCATCCCTAATTCAGAGCCTCTATAGCTCCCCACTAGACCGTTATAAAACCCTTATAGATCCCTACAACTTACGCACCCTTTGCTAGAACCCATCTGAAGACTTCATTTGATCCCTTTATGAAGAAACAGAACCACTGAAGGAAATCCTTCCAAAGGCCGAATAACAGGACCCCTTAAAAGTCCCTATGGAAGCTTACAGATCCTTTAAAGGAGCCCCTAACCCAACCCTAAACCTTAGGCGCAAGCCCTTATCGGAGGCCCTTAAAGTTAAAGAATAACCTTAGACACCAGAGGCTTCCTCACCATTCCTGTGCGCTCTATCTCTGCTCCTGGGTGCCGTGGCTGAACCCTACTAAACTATAAGATTTATGGTATATCCCTTATTATGGGTAATGCAGGATTTATATCATCAACAGTATGAAGAGTAGGGCCCTTAAGTCTTTTCTTCAAGACCCTTCGAAAGGATCCCTTAAGTTCAAGGAGCCGTTAGATCCGCTTAAATGGAGCCCTTAAGGCAACCCTTCAGGGGTCCCTTGAACTCCTATTTAAAGGAGACCTTTCAAGAGCTCCAAAAGGAACCTTAAAGGAAACCCTAAACCCAACCCCCCCAACCTCCCCAACCCCCCCAACCCCCCCTAAACACTGGAAGGATGCCTCTGGCCTTGGAGCCCTGTTCCTGTCTTCATCGCGGCCTCCTTCAGCGAGTTGACGGCGATGGCCTTCACGGAGACTCGAAGAGTGCTAATGTAGGAACCTGAATAAGGAGCCATATGGGTAGTTGTCGAAATTATGGCCCCTTTTTGGGTACCCTAAATATTAGGTGCTGTACGAAAATAAGGACCCAACAAGGGCACATAATTTTGACAACCACCCATATGAATCCGGCTATTTTGGAAGGAATAGGGCCAGGGTTACTTACTCAGGTTCCTACATTAGGGGCATACATGTACATGTATGATTACACGTCTCATATGTCTTTATCCAAGGAAGTTTAAGGAAGCTTAGGGTTCGTTTCACCTTTGTGTCCGATTCCTGGGTCCGTGGTGAAGGGTCGTATTTGAGCTACCGTAACTTAAAGGCTGTCTTTGTAGTAGAGTACTTCAAGACCCCTTAAAGCCCTCGCTCTATCTGTATCTGTATATACATATATATATATATATATATATATATATATATATATAGTATTTACTTATCTATTTATGTATTTATTTGTTCTTGTCATAAATGTTTATGCAACCCATATACATATAGCCTAGATCTATTGCAAACTCAGCGGCCCGGCGCACGAAGGAGCAGGAGCAGAAGATTTCTTGCAGCAGCGGCGTCTCATGGGAGCTGCATCTCCTCACTGCTCTGCTTCCTTGTCCTTCCTTTAAGGACTTTGAGGTTTAGGGTTTAGGGCAGTTTCCAAGTCCTTCCTTGAAGGGCTGTCTGTTAGGGTTTGGGGTTGGGGGTTTAGGGTTTGTGGCAGTTTTGGGTTCAGGGTTCGGGTTCAGGGCGGTTTGGGGCTTTGGGTTCAGGGCAGTTTGGGGTTTAGGGTCCTTGTCCTTGCTGTAAGTTTTTACGGCTTTCTGCAAGGCATCTGTAAGCGTTTTAGAAGAGATCTAGAAGGGTTTCATGACGCTTCTGTACTGGATTTATAGGGGTTCTAAAAGTTTCTCGTTGGGATCTGCAAGGGTTTGTTGGGGTTCAGGGTGGAGGGTTTAGGTGTGCTACCAGCAGCTTAGCGAAGTAGTAGCGTAGTAAAACAGTAAAACTTTAAACTTTTGATTTGATGATCTTTGGCTTTTGAGCTGGGCAACTAAGACTGTCTGCCTTCTGCACATCGCTTTGGGCCTTAGTCCTCGACGGAATGGGATTCTTGGCTCATCATGCAGGGAAGTTGGTCTATTTCGTTGTTGCATGTACATAGATCCCTCTACCCGACGTATTTTCAAACCCTAAACCCTAACCCTCCAGGACCTCATAGTTAGGGCCCTAGACCCCTTAAGGACCCCATAATAAGGTCCCTGGAGGGATAGGGTAAACCCTAACCCCGGTTTCTGAATCAGTCTGTGCGTGTCTCCTGGCACTATCAGGCCACAGCACAGCCGGCAGCCGCCGCTCTAGTCCTTAACCCTGAACCCGAAACCCTGTCTCAAGCCGTATTCTGTACATCATCCTGATAAAGGGACCTTGTGATTAACGGGTACTTATACTGTTATTTTTTGTGCTTACTGTCATTCTTGTTATTGCTATTCGAAAGTCGGCTACGCGAAGATTCAGGAATCAAGCGTCTTGCCGCCGAGACTGCGCCACCCTGGTCTCTACAGCGAGCGGAGATGCTAGCACCTTGGCCCCTACAGGAAGGGCCCTGACCCTAAACCTGAAACCCTAGTGGAATGTAGCTTTTCCAGAGTGATTAGCTTATTTTAAGATAGGGTCCCAGCATAACCCTGGGGCGCCAAACAGCCCAAAGTAGCTAGCATTTATAGACTTTCGACCCCCAATGTAGGTACTTGGAGCTTTAGGGTAAGAAGCTGAGGCCCGCCAAAAGTACTAAATCATACTTAGACCCCCAAAAGTAGGTAAAATAATGGCCCGAAACCTATAGAAGGCTATTATTCTACATACTTTTGGGCTTCAGGTAGGGTCTGCAGGGCCCTGTTTTTTTACAAGGGGCTTCGTAGTCTAGAGCTGAGTATTTAGAGCCGGTGTTCCTGTAAGGGTCCATGTACCCAAATAGTATATACTTTGGGCCCAATGTACCTACATAGGGAGTACTTTAGGGCCAATGTATATGCTATGTGAGTACATGGACCTTTACGGTTTGGGGAGTCTGGAATTGGCGTGGTTCAGAGGTGAGCGTTGAAGGTTCAGGGCTCATTCACGTTGTGTTCTAGTTCGGTTTTAGGGATTGAAAGGTTCAGCACAAAACTTGAGCTCTTATTCACCCCGAGCCCTTAACATATGGGCCTTTCCATGACCTAAACCCCTTAAGCTTGAACGTTTAACCTCTCAATTCTAAACCCTGCAAACCATAAACCCGACTGACACTTGAACCGGCTATAGTATGCTACCATTGCCTCATCAGACACTATCGGCCCCACCACCCCCGATTTCTGCGTAGCAGGGTATCTTGGGCGCACCCTAAACCCTAGACCCTGAACCCTAAACCCTAGCCCTAGACCCGAAGCCCTACACCCTAAACCCTATCCCTCCAAGGACCTCATAGTTAGGGCCCTAGACCCCTTAAGGACCCCATAATAAGGTCCCTGGAGGGCTAGGGTAAACTGTAAGGTGTCCTGGGTGTACAACAGCATCGGAGATCGGTACTTGGAGCCTTGCGCAGCATCTTTGAGTCTCAGGGTTCTCTTAGGGGTACTTAGAAATCATTTTTAGTTTTTGGTTAGTAAGACACAGCTAAAATTCTGTTTTTTGCTAGGGTTCTAAGTTCAGTAGAGTTTTTTTGTTTATCTTAAGGGGCTTTAGGGGTTCAGGGCTTATAGGGTTTAGATTTTGGGGTTCGGGCGACTACGGCCTTGTGGAGCTTAGAGAGGTTGGGGTTTTGGGACCCTGGGGTATCTTTGGGTTCAGGCTGGGCGCGGTAGTGCTTCCCTGAAGCCTCGACAACAGGTCTTAGTAGGGTTTAGGGTTGAGGGCTTATATTGGGGTTCAGGGTTTAGGGCTTGCAACAGATTACGGCAGATGAAAGCTTAAAGCAGAGCGGGCGCTTGTTCGAGAAGAACGTCAGTTCCACAAATTCTCACTTGTGGGGACTCAGATCAGTTTTCTTGTCATACTGGTGGCCTTAAACCCTAAACCCCTGACCTCCATCCATACCCCTATAAGCCCTAAACCATAAACGTACTAAGCATCAGGACCTGACTTCGTTCCTGGTGATGAAGGCCTGCGGTTACGAGTATTCCTGGCTCCCACTCACGTTCCTCCTGGCCGCGCTGATCATGCAGAACGCCGGAGGCTTGCTCTACGCATCCTTCGTAGCTGCTTGGGGTCGATACGCAGGTCAGTTTCGCGTTTTGCGATCAGTGGTTAAAGCTTATTCGTGTTTTTAGGTATCTCATGACAACATACAGATATTTGCACCTTGGTACCTGTGTAAGTGTGAGTTGTCCTGCCTTTTGCAATTTTCCGAGATGCTGTACGCTGTCTAATGCGCTCTGGGATCTTGGTCAGCCAAGGTTCACAAGGCTTGCAATTGCAGATATGTGCCCACTCACCTTTGGGACATTTTATATTCTCCCCACTTATTTACATTTTTTTGTTTTCCTTTTTGGCACTAAGAGGATCGTCTTCACGACCATTTTTGAAAGGCTGTTAGAGGGCCAACCGAGGTGCTCATTTGGACCATCATGATGCCGCCTTGGCGGCTGGTCGATCTGGATCTGGAGGCCGTGGGCAAGTTCAGTACAGTAGTAACTGGGCTCTGGTTGAGGAACTAGCAGTTTAGGGCCTAGGGTTTTGGGAGTAGTGGTTTAGGGCTTAGGCTTGTAAGTTTCATAGGGTTCAAGGTGCGGCGGTTTAGGGCTTAGCTTCAGCTAAAACTATGGTCGAGAGTCGCGAAGTGGTAGAGACATATTTTGTGCCTTCTTTACCATGGCATTAGTTGCTCGAAGTTCCCGAGCAAGAATCCAGGTACGGGTGCTTGTCCAAGATTTTCCGCAGATGGCTGTGAAGCTGCACTTCATTTTCACTTTCTACAAGAACTGGTTCGTGATGTCAGACTGTGCTATCAGCCTCTGCGTTGCTGCAATAGACATCCTGGCTTTGGCGAGAGCTCGTTACAGTCCCACTTATCATCAGCTGCCTTCGCCACGGGAGACAGCCAGGGCAATGATGAGAGGAGACACGTGATAACCCGACATCGGCAAACCCTCCACCATAAAGCATTCAAGCCCTATGAGCCCTTATCCCTTAACCCTGATGAGGCCCTAAGCCGGAGACACCCGAGATAAGTTTACAACCACACGGACCGCCTTGGCCGTTCTGGCCGCTGCAGAGCCCATGGGAGGGTCTGGAAGGAGTGGCTCAATGGCCACATGGGCAGTTCTCCAAAATTAGGATCCCCTCAAAAAGGCTGCCGTAATATCTTCTGGACTGTTAAAGGGACCCTAACATGAGAGCTGAGAGCAGGGTAATATAGGGGTTTCAATAGTCAGTAAGAGCTCTTCCTTACAGTATCTATATCAGCATAGCATGATATTCCTAAAGCCTTATTCCACTTGTTCAGAAGCAAACCTAAGCCCCGAGTTCCAAATTAAACTCTGGGAACAGAGACCGATCAACAGAACAACTAAATCCCAAGCCATGGATGGTACAACATCGTGTCCATCGGTTGTGCGTCGAGAGTTGCCTGCATCACAAGCTCGTCCAACCTTAATCGCAGGCGCTAAGCCCTAAACCATGGAGTACTGTAGTAGGGCTTACACTCCGGATCGGGGTCGCACGTTGGGTTTAGGGCAGCAGGGTCGTAGTCTGAAATCTGAACTGCTTTACGCCGAGGACTCTGTTCCCATTGTGGAGGTCCCGGCATAAGAAGTAGGGCTTGGTGGCTCGGAACCCTACCAGGTGTTTGTATATAGCCTCAAATTTTACTGTCCCAAAGGGTCTGAGGAACTCTGATGGGGTTACGTTCTCAGATCATAATTGTAATTCCAAGTAGAAACGTTACATTCTACCGTACAGGTACTTTGGACCCTTTGGGTGTTAATGTTTAGAGATGCATCCAGCCGAACCACTCGGCAGTTGGCAGCTCAAAAGAGGAGTCTCGGGGTTAAGGAGGAGAAATCAGCACCAAACAAGCCGGAAACAGAAACCTCCGTAATCCCCTAAACCGCTAAACCCTAAACCCCTAAACCCCTGAACCCGCCAACCCCTGTAGCCCTGTAAACCCTAAACCCCTGAACCCCTAAACCCTAAACCTCCCCAAAGCCGTAACACCCCTGGAGCCAACTTCTTCCTAACAGTTAGCCGGTTCATTCTGGTTACCCAGAGGCCCCAAAGTAGTTCCTTTTTGGGTTTCATATATAAGGTAATCCCCAAAAGGAACTACTTTGGGGCCTATGGGTAATGACTTAGTAGCTGAGCGGATACGCTCTACACGTTTCGGGATAGTATTGCCCAGTACAAAACTGAGAGTGTACACTTTTGGGGCTTATGAACTTAGCAACTTAGATGAGCCTGTAGAACCTGACACAGCGGTGGGAATAATCAATAATATTGCCCCTTTCATGTTCCTGTATAGTATAACTCGAAAACATATGCCTCGCAAAAATTGATAGTTCGACTGTCGCCGAAAAGCCCGTCCCATATAAATGCAGTAAAGCGTAACATACCCAACATCTTTTTCGAATCACTTTTTTATATGCTTCAATATGGCCTCTTATCAGGCGGAGGTCTACGTCAGTGTGAGGGGCAGAACATCATTCTTTGTCCAAACCAGACTCTATAGTTTCGGCTTTGTTAGGGTTTAGGGTTGAGTTTAGGGTTGAGGATTAGATGGTAGGCCACCGGCTTTGGGAAATAGCCTGCAAATGGTTTCGCGCATAGGGGCCTGCTAATGCTAACTGGCATGAAGCCTACAGTAGACATTAAACCTGAGTCATCCGAGGGACGCTGCACCCTCAACCACGAAACCTAACCTCCAAGCCTGAAACCCTCAAGCCAAATCTTAAGCCCAAAGCCCAAACCCTTGACCTCAAGCCGTAAAGCCCGGACTCAACACTGAACGAATGGATAGATCTATTCAGCCCACCCGCTTCGTGTGATTCCCATCACAGGACAACGATATAAGGTGCTGTCTTGTTCCCTCAAATGAACGACCCACGGTTTCTTAGGGGTACTTAGAAATGATTTTTCTAATTTTTGGTTATGACAATTCCTAAGAAACAGCTCAAATTATAATTGGTGCTAGGGTCTAAGTTCAGTATAGGTTTAGGGTTTACCTTAACCCTGAAGAACCTACCTTTTTAGAGTACCTTATTATGATTTCCTTATATACGTCCTAAAAAAGGTAGGTTCTTCAGGGTTAAGGTAGGGTTTAGGCATACCTGGACTTTTTTTAGGGTTTGTGTTTTCCTTATGTACCTTCTGGTTGTTCAGGACCGAAGCTGGGAACTGTCTTCTGCAATGGAGTACTCTAGAGCTTGCAGTCTTCTTCGGTGTTTCTTAGACACCAGTTCGTTAGTTCAGCTCCTTGAGCTGGGAGTGCCGCATCGATACTTTCCTCCACACGTGTAGTGCTTAGTGTCAAAGTAGTCCTGATGCTGTTGCACTCTTTGCTCAGTTGCCGCGAAGGGTTTAGGCCGGCGCTGAAGCCTGCACGCGCAGGCGCACATGCATGGGCTCTCCGCGAGAAATGTCATCAGAGTGTTAGCGGTTTACTTGGCATTGCTCCCGGCTGCATTCAAACTGCCGCAACGGTGTGCCATTTTTGCCGTGGCTTTTTCGAAGAGCTGCGAAGGAAATCCATGTTCGAGTTTCAGGCCCTTCCTTCGGGCTGGCGCAGTGGCAACTCTGCTTACATCTCCAGTCTGCTGGTTTCCATATTCCAATCTGATATCGAAACTTTTTCACGTATGTCCGAAAGAGGAGAGTCTTCTGCACAAGACGTTGGAAAACGAGTTGAAGAGCTAGCGTATGCTTGCCTGGATGCAGTCGCACAAGGTCTTCACTGTCGTCGCCCCCCAAGCATTTTGTGGAGAAAGCTTGCATTCATGACGGAGGTCCTGCTGTTATGGTTTTTTCCAACCGACTACAAAACACACAGAACTTGTGCCCCTCTGGAGTCTTTGTTGGCATGCATTTTTGCTGCACGCAGCTTGATATGGCTGCGGACCAGGCACTGGACAAAACAGGCCCAGGGCATCCTCAGACTGTTTGCACCTACACTCCGAGCAGCATTGAGTTGGGGAGGCTTGCAGTCTACGCCAAACAGAAGTGAAGCAGTGTACTACATAGTCGGTCTGCAAAAGCTATTGTTTCATGATTCCTCCGATATGTTTGGCCTCTACCAGTGGTGGACAGACAGCAGTCGGTACACAGCCATTGGCCGTTTATCGCGACCTAGTTCCCCACACCAAGGTGGCCTTTCAAAGCGGTTGCTAGAACATCTGTATGCGACTCTGCGACCAAACTCACCTGAAGGAGGTAAACTCCGGTATCGCCTAGCAAGGCAAGTTGCTCCATCGGCGTCGTTTTTCATGATTGTAGCCGTAGGCCCAGAGACAAGAATTCGGGCCTCGGAGACTTTTGACATCCGCGCCCATCGCCCGATCGGGAATGCACGTCCAAAGAGTTTTTACGTAGCTCAGAAGCCGAAGAGTACCAGATGCAGGCCACCGCAACAGTTGCGCACCAAAGGCTGCCTTTCGAGCTCTTCACGCACCATTGCTTGTTTCAACAATTATTGGGCGCATTGGGAGAAGGTGTCAACCAAGCTACATGGTGTGGAAGTTCCACATTTCAACCCTTGGGAATTTTCCTTCAAAGATGCCTACAGATTGTATCAATTTCGGCATTTTGCTGCGTGTGGAGAAGTAGGGCCGATCAGTATCTGCGACCCTTCTTTTCGTCCGCTGTTTGTCTTATTCTTGGCTTCTCGGAGACCATTTGTGGAGTGGAAGGTCGCTGAGGCTTTTGACAAGGATGCTGTGCTTCAGTATGCCTTGGCTTCAAAGCACCTTCTCAAGAGTCACCAGCGCCGAAAAGTCAGAAAACTATTGGACCCCTGGCTTCTTTCCCGTGGCTGGTGGAACACGTCGCTGAAACAAGTGTTTGTTCCCCATCGGTCTTTCGTCCCTTTGGTGCAGGGATACATACACCGTGCAGCTGGATTGAATACTGGAGGTCATGCGTTAGGTGCCAAATGGGTCCGTTCTCGCTTCCAGATTGTCATCCGGCGTGGAGCTCTCTTCAGTGATCGCTGGAATCATGCGAGTGTCTCGCAGTCCATGGTCCTCCCTGTTCCAGCACAAGTCCCGCAAGTAGCTTCGATGCATATGAGATGTGTTGAACGCAACTGGAGAGTTGAAGAGCGAGTGCCTCCAAATGTTGAGGTGGACCGTTGTTTTCTGCAGGTTGATTCGTTGCTTCCGAAAGGTGCAGCCTCTCGCCGTGACAGTCTTCAAACTTTCCCCTCGAGTCTGCGTCGTCGATGGCAAGCACAGCGCGATACACAGAAACAGTATGATGCCTACACCGACGTGTTCTCTCCGCATGAATTTTGAAGACTCAGCTATCATCCCTGATGACAAGAACAAGAAGTTTGCTTGGGTTTTGCCGAAAGATGTTTATGCCCTCATTGTCGCAAGTTTTGCTCTCGCAACTGCATCCTGGAATCTGACATCTTTGACGCCAGATATTGCGAATAATTGGACGCTATCGATGTTATTTAGAGTGCTTGGGCCGCCGCTCGCTTTCAAACTGGGTTTGAGGGGTTGGTCGTATGTGCTTCCTTACTCCTATGCGACTTTCAAATCCAAGTGTTGGAGTGGTGGCTTTCGAGTGTGCCGCAAACTGAACCATTCTTGCGTGAGAAAAGTCGTCTCGTACGCAAGATGGCCCCGCAGGCCTCTCTGGAGAAGTTTGCACAGAGCTTGGGAGACTATCTTGAAACACTACGGAAGCACAAATGATGCATGGTCCTTGGACGATGCTTCAGCGCAGCTGCGACGAATCGGAGCTCTGCCAAAGAATCCCCACGGAGAATGTCCAAAGTGTTGCCGTTGTTTTCGAGACATGCACCCCATCGAAGGAGTCATCGGTGATGCAGGTCAATTTTTCGAAGTTGTCGATGCGGTCACTGCAATCAGTGAGGCTGCGGAGCTTCTGACGCTTTTCACCGCGCGTTGTTCACACCAGTATGTGTCAGTAAAACATCCTGGCAAGAAGCGGCAGGCGTGGTTCAGCAAGGCAGAAAACCGTTTCAGTTCGAGGGTAATCTCTTGGTCAGTGCCTGACCTGTTTCGCTCTTTTGCCGCTGCTATGCTCGTGTCTCTGGCAACCGTTGGCGACCGGGTATTTGCTTTGAAGTCTCTACCAATAGGCGGTCTCATGTCCAAGGTAGCTTCCAGCGTCGTTTTAGGTGGCCAAGAACGACGTTGGAAGCAAGAAGTGCATCGCCAACAGTACGAAGGCTTTCGGCATCCGATCTATTGGGACAGAGCTGTTTTACATCTACGCTATGTGGACGACATCATATTGATTAGCACTGTTTACTGCCATCGCTGCCTAAAATTTGCCACGACATGCATCTGCTCTGTGCCATTCGAAGTACCTGACGGTTTTTCAAACTGCTTAGCCTGGTTGGACATGAAAGTTTACTTGGACACCGGTTCGTTGGGCCTGTCACCAAAACCATTGTTCCCCGCACCGGCGTGGCATGCAAACAATCAGTTCCTTCGCAGTATTTTCCTCGGGCGGTTTCGTCGCTGGAACGTCATCCGACCTCATGAGCGTGCGTGGCACACTTCGTGCCTGATGTTCCTTCGAGAGCTCAAAGATGGCGGTTGGAGCCATAGGCGTGTTTCGGCCGTGTTTCGCACCATTCACAAAGAAGAGTATCGAGAATACGTGTCCTATTGCTTGCTTGCTTGGTCATTTATGCGACGAGCTTGATTCAGCATGACGCAATGGTCTCCGTTCGAATCTGAAACCGACAAGGCATTCTGCAGTGTTTTCGTGGCTCGCAGTGCTTCGCAGTTCCCAGCTCCATCATGGCTCGGTGGCTTGAGTTCGTGGTTTTGGCCACATTGGTCAGTGTAGCTGCCGCTGGATGGCCTTCCCGCAAAGGTGGCAATGGCAACAAAGGCGATCAATCGTGGAAATCCTCGAGCTACGAATGGTCCCACAAAGGCGGGAACGGCAAGGGGTACGGTTCCTGGCATGGCCCTCGATCACAGACCCCCAGTGACGCCTTGGCGTTGCACCTGCTGGAGAGACTTGGGCGTGACCAGTCTTCAGGTTCAGACCGGGACCGCAGCCGCCGAGGGGCGGACAAGCGACGGCGCAGCCGCAGTGACAGCAGGTCAAAGTCGAGACCTCGAGGGCCCAGTGAGCGTGAGCTACGTGAGTTGCGCGCTTACCGCGAGCACCATGAAGCCATGGAAAGATCAAGAGCAGAGAAGGAGGAGCGAGAGAATCAGAAGAAAGCACGTGAAGAAGAGCTCAAAGAGCTTGAGGCGCGCATACTGCGCGCCATCCCTACACCTCAACAGCCACAGAGTGGCGCCAGCAACGCTCCTGCCCCTGCCCCGGGTAATGCTCTAGGTAGTGCCCCTGCACCTGGCCCCGTACCTGTTGGCCCGCCCGATGCCCTATCTGCTAAGACTAAGAAGTTGGTAGAAGCGTTGCTAGAGGACGAGATCTGCTGTGATGGCTTGGTAACTTGGGACGAGGTCGACCGTAAGGTCAGCGGCCTGTCGGGGTCTGTTCTTAAAAGTTTGCACAAAAATAGGTTGCCCAACGCATCGGTCCCTCGCACGAATGTGGCGAGGGCCGCAGCCATCCAAGCCTTTTTGAAGCTGCAAGCGAGAGCTTGAGGCCTGCGGGTCTCTGAAGCAGTACGCTCGGGCCAGGCTAGTGTAGCCATGCGTTCCTTCAGTAGTTGCCCTCATGTATCCCCTTTCAGCCCCGCACATTGCTTGGTTTTGGTTTTCTTCTTAGGGTTTAGTCTCGGCTACATCCTGGCCCCGGGTTGTTCAGAGAGCACATTTTGTGCCCCTTTGAATTATCTCAAAGCCATCAAGACTATTGCTTGGGACTACCGTCAGGTCTCTCACTTCCTCGAGAGTTGGTCGGGGGCTCCTGTGTTATCAGGCTGCTCCGGCCTTGCTTCGGTTGGTGTTGTTAGTTTAGGTGCTTTAGCCTGTTCTAGCTTTGGGTTGAGGTGTGAGACAGACCTGCTCCGACCCGCGCTTGGTGCCGCTGAGGCTCCTTAGTTCCCTTTTGGTTACTTATTTAAGTCTTATGGCTTTTGTCTTCTAGTCTTGGGCTCGTTTGCTAGGGTTGTCTAAGTGACGCCGGCGCCTCTAGGAATGTTGGCTGAGAAGGGCTTCCAGAAGCAGACAGCCGTAGGTTTCTTAGCACGCTGCCTCACCTGCAAGCCTCGCGTGGTTCCCAGTTTTTAGTGTACGTCCCGCCCTGTAGTCTTTTATCTTACGGTGGGTTTTAGGGTTTGTGTTTTCCTTATGTACCTTCTGGTTGTTCAGGACCGAAGCTGGGAACTGTCTTCTGCAATGGAGTACTCTAGAGCTTGCAGTCTTCTTCGGTGTTTCTTAGACACCAGTTCGTTAGTTCAGCTCCTTGAGCTGGGAGTGCCGCATCGATACTTTCCTCCACACGTGTAGTGCTTAGTGTCAAAGTAGTCCTGATGCTGTTGCACTCTTTGCTCAGTTGCCGCGAAGGGTTCAGGCCGGCGCTGAAGCCTGCACGCGCAGGCGCACATGCATGGGCTCTCCGCGAGAAATGTCATCAGAGTGTTTAGGGTTTAGGGTCCATAGTAGTTCCTTTTTGGGGTTCATATTTAGAATCCTATAAGGTGACCTGAAAAAGGAACTACTTTGGAGCCTCTGGGCAGTTTTTTATGGTTAGGATCTCCTATATAGAAAAGTAGGTACCTTACAAAAGGGGTAGGGTATGAGCCTATAGGTAAACCCCAAGCCCTAGACCCTGAAACCTAAACCTTGAACCCTAACAAAACTTTTCTCACACCCCTGAAGGACAATGGAAAACTTGAAGCATAACATACCCTCTTTAACAGATCTTGAATGCGAACCCTGCAAAGCCTTGTCAGAAAACTCGGGCCTTTCGGGTAAGCCCTTGACCCTAAACCCTAGAACCCTCAACCCTAGACCGTAAAACCCTAACCCTAGAACCCTAAACCCTAAGCCCTGCTCCTCGGCTTGCCTCGTGAGGAGCAAATGCTGACGAATGACCTGAGTTCTGGATGTGAGTTTCCCTAGGCATCTAAGGACTCATGTATCAAGGGGCCCAAAGACCATACTATGTAAGGATTTGGGGCTATTTCGATTGATGCCCAGGGTTTAGGGTTTGGGTGTAGAAGCGAAAGTTGGAACATCGTGATCCCAGTGCCGTTGAGTGAAAGCGCAGGGGATGGTTGCACTACTCATCCTTACCAATGTTCCAATTTTCTGCAATCTACTGTGGGGTATAGGGTTGTAGGGACCCAAGAGAGATGTGGGAGTTTATTGGAGCTACGGGCTTTACAAGTCTTTACAAAGACCTGCTCGCATGTTTCAACGGTGGTATTGGCAGTATCTGGGTAGTTTAAGAGGTCTTTTCTTATCAGGATTCAGAAAGTTTAAACAGTTATGTATTCAGAGTTTTGGGGAAGTACGGCAGGGCTTAAATATGTGGTAGCAAGGATTAGTTTTACGTATTTCGAAGGCTTGGGTATCTGCGGTCTCCGGTTTCGGGTATCAGTGTGGTTGAGGGCAACTTTGGCATCCCTGTGGGGGGGTTTCTAGCAACCGTCCGAATATCTAGGGTACATGTGCAGTGCATTTACCATAAACCCTTTTGGTGTCTCAGAAACAGGGGACAGTCGAAAGCCTATCGTAATTTCCGTAAGGGTCCAAAAAATTCGGTACTTGGACCCTTAGGGTTTCTGCGATGACTTTGTAAATCCGCTTACAGCCTTGTGGAAAACTGACTGGAGGGAAGCCCATAGGGCCAAAATGGGGTAGAGGAAGCACCGGTGTGGATGTCCCGTTGTTGTTTGTCAACGCGAGTGGGGTTCTATTGCCCTTTTCTGACTTGTGTACAATCTGCTAATGGTTTCATAAATGAAGCTGACCGAGGACGTGTAGGGTAGAATCTTGCAAAAGACTTTAAAAGGTGTTGTCGCGTTTTCTGATCTTAAGGCTCCATCTGCCTATGTGCTATTGATTACGTTTGGCCCTAAATACGTATCTACCGCCAAGGCATGTGCTTGATGGGTACACAAACCTCGTGGCAACCCAATATCCGAAAGCCCCTTTACACCCGAACCCTAAGCCCTTCGACAGCACTCCTGAAACCCCAAAACCCTGCACAGAAACTCCTAAACCCTGCATTGTCGCACTACAGCCAAGAGCCCTGCGATCCGCAACCCTTTAACGCCTAAAGCCTAAGCCCTTTCGACGGAACCTGACAATCCTGAAGTTTCAGCCTTTCTTGAAAGAAAAGATGAACGCAGAGGCGTGCCAGAGAAGAAAACTGCATGGTTTGAGGCTCAAGTCCCGCCCTTTATTTCAGCGTACTTTCCATGCAGAGCTTTGACGCATGGCTCCAATGACGCCTGCTGGAAGCCCAGATTGCACAGCCCAAAGGCCCAAAGGGTCCAAAGTACTTATATAGTAGAATGTATAGGGTTTCTATATTAGGAATTACTATTCTGATCTGGGGAAGTATCCCCAAGAACAGTGCCTGGATTCGGGTGCCAAGGGGTTTAAAGTGCAAGTTTTGTGGGTTTCAGGGTTTGGGGCGACGGAGATCCGCTCCCCGACAATCAGGTCCCCTCAAGCCCCCCCCCCCAAAAAAAAAACACCTAAGCTTCTAAACCCTGAATCCTCAACCCTAAACGAGAGGGATCTCAATGCTTAGTATGCAATATCCCCTTCCCAGACCCCGGGAGGATCTAGAATCTAGATCCCCGAATTTGGGGCCCTATACTAAGGGTACTTTACAGGAGCCCCCATTAAGGGATCTACTTTATGGATCTTCCCGGAATTCTGAAACACCAAGGTAGCTGTACTACCATATGGGAGTTTCCGAAAATTAGGGGTACCTTATTCTGGGGTCCTTATAATAAGGATCCTACTATTTAGGATCCTATATTAGGGTCCCCTATATTCTGAAACTCCCATATGCCATTAAAGGCTAAAGGAAACTCTTGGGGCTTCAGAGGCTCAGAGGGAGCATGGGGGTAGGTTGTGGGGGATCCTGCCATTGATCCATATTCCAACTTTCTGGAGTTCCCCTTATGGGTTCAAGGGTTTAGGGATACGAGTTAGGGGCGTAGGGTTCTGAAAGTTTAGGGGTTTAGGGTTGGGGGAGGAGAGTTTAAAAAGCTTAGGGGTTTGGGGGTTTGGGAGCTTTTGTGAAGGGCTTAGCATTTAGGGCTCCATGCAGTTCCCATTGGGTCGAAGAGCTTCATACAGAAGCCGAGGGGTTTAGAGTGTCGGGATGAGTACCCATAGTCTCTATTGTAGTGCCATTTTTGTTCAACAAAGTTTGTACTTGGGATCATATAAGCTTACCAAAACAGTTACGACAATGGAGACGACAGGTAGTATATGGTACTGTGCAATTGTGGAGTTTAGGTTGTAGGGTAAACCCAGGTTCCTGGACTCAAACACCTGAGGCCTAAACCCTAAACCCTCTTTCTCAAATACTTTGAGCCTTATCATGTCTGTGTAGGGGTGTGTAGAAATGTCCCCGTACAGTCTTGTGGTAAGTTTGCTGAAATATACTTCAAGATCCTGTTCCAGAAATCTCTGAAGCCTTTATTATCCTAAATCCCCATATCCTAAATTCTGCACCTGAGAAGCATCTGTGTCTTAACCGGCTTCTACAGCATTGAGGAAGTGCCTCGCGAAGGGCACGAGCCCAAAACCCTCAACCTTTGCACCCTGAACCCTTACTATATAGGGTGTAGGGTTTAGGGGACGCACACTACCGCGGTTTTTAGGGCTTGGCGGTTAAGGTTTGAGGATAAGCGCCCGAGACCACGAACCCAGAAGCCTTGTCTTACCCCCTAAATCCTACCGTCTGAAGCCATGAGGTCCTGCTACTACTACTGCTGCCACCTGTGGTGGCTCTTGGAGAAGTCTGTCTCTCAGTGGGAATTCCGCACGTGCTGGCTGTGTAGTTGATTCGAAGTTGAAGGCAGAAGCAGGGTTTAGGATTTGGTGGTTTTCGGCTTTTGGGTTGCCTCGTTGGCGTTGTGATTAATGTCGCGTGACTTGCTATGGCTCCCAAGAAGGCAGCCGGAAGGCTGCGGTCCCGACCAAGAAGCAGCGCTTGCAGGACAAACAGCAGGAAACGCTGTGCGAAGAGCAGAAGCAAGTCCTCAGCTTGGACAAGACGAACCAGAAGATCATGGTGGAGCAGATCTTCGAATGGTGTGAAAGCCATCCGCGTGGCTTCGAGCATATTCATTCATAGATCCATCATGTTGGGGACCGGGTTCTCCACAGAGATCCTTGAGGGTTCCTTTCAGAACCTATTGTAAAGTCCAAAAAGTTGGAAACCTAATTAAGGACAAATCGTGCTGGGATTCTCTATACTTTGCTCTTAGGGATTGAGGCTATCGGGTTTCCGGCTTTTCGGCTTCTGCTGTAGAAACTAGCCCTGAGGGCCCATGTACCTAGACAGTATATGCATTGGAAACTTGTCCCTGTATACAGGTACTCTGGGCCAAGTATATACTATTTGATTTTGAGTACATGGACGTTTAGGGGAGCACGAAGGAGAACCATTGCCACAGATTCGGGCATATGTGTTTAGGTTTAGGGGTTCGGGGGTTAGCGGCTATCTATGTATCTATCTATCTATGTATGTATGTATATATATATATATATATATAATATCAGGGAGAGAGAGAGAGAGAGAGAGAGAGAGAGAGAGAGAGAGAGAGAGAGAGATTGGGGTGGGCGGGCGGGGGGGGGGGGGGTAAAAGGGTTTAGGTGTTATAGAGGGTGTAGGGTTTATTGTCGCAGTGCTGATCTTTCTGAGCCTTCGAGACCGTGAGCGCTGAAATCGTAAAACACCCTGAACCCCTCAACCCTAAACCCCCAACCCCGAAACCCCAAATCTTAAACTCTAAGCCCCTAACCTAAACCCCAAGAGCCTTAGACTCCAAACCGCACCCCCGTGGCTGAAGATACATGGATCCTGGAAAAAGCGCTAAACCCAAAGCTCTAACCGACTTTGCCCTTACATTCTTTAAGCTTTTAAACCCCGAAGGCCTATAGTAGAATTCTAGAAAGTTGGAACATGGCTTTAGGAGGATTCGTGCTAGGATCCCCTATGATTTACCTTAAGGGCATGAGGAGAATGATGTTCCAACTTTCCTGGCTTCTACTTTAAGAGCATAAGCTACGAAACCCCCAGACCTATGGGCTTGACCTAAACTGCCATTTCATAACACTCAGAGGCCAACCAGTCCTCGTTTTTGGCTTGGGGTTTAGGGTTTGGGGCCAGGACTACTTGGACCCTTTGTGTAAACATATACATTAAGCTTCGAAGCCTGATGAAGCATTAACAAGTAATCCACAATATATAGACCACTAATCTCTGACACTATGGACCCGAGTTATCAGAACCAGCTCGAAAACTAAAATCTACCGTTTGAAGCCCTGCTTCCGACAGGTCCCCCCACTCCTAAATCAGAAAAATCGAAGCGCCTGGAAGTCACCAAAACATACCAAAACCAAAGTGAAACGAATTCCTGGGGTTCCTCCTTACAAGTAGACTACAATGATCCAATCTAATCTATCCGAGTATATATGTATTAGGTGGGCTTAGAAATATATATATATATATATATATATATATATACACATACACATACGCCCACATTCCCCCCATATCATTACCCCCAAAGCCCTATTAAAAGGCTGAGCCCTTGACACATCCCACCAGGCCCTACCTTGGTTTAGTAGGGAATGGAAGAATGGTAGTCATAGTAAATAGTAGTTATAGTTGTACCCCATTCCTCCATTCCATACTACCCAAAGGTAAGTTATAGGATTATTATAAGGCCCCTAATATTATAGTACCCTTGTAGATCCCTTATAGATCCCTTATAGTAGCCCTTATAGTCCCCTTTAAAGGGACCCTAAACTTCCCTATAAAGTCGCCATCCCCCCAGGCCGATCTTGGCCAAGATGTCGCTGGAACCAGCTTGCTGGAGCTCGCCCGAAGCCTTGGTAGGGCCAGGATTTAGGGTTTAAGGTAGAAGCCAGAAAGTTGGAATATGATTATCCTAACCCTTCTATGGTAAATTATAGGGTATCCTACCCTGAAACCATATTCCAACTTTCTGGATTTAGGGTTTAGGGTGGAATCTTTTGTGGAGAAGGTGCAGGGCTTTAAGGTTTAGGGTGTCAGGGTTCAGGGTTTTTGGTGTGGCTAGTGTGGGTTGTAGGCTTTGCCGGTTTGGGGCGGCGTTTCCGTAAAGTTGTTGTTTTATAAAGGTCTTTCAAAACTTAGGCTTAGAGGCTTGGGTTTCAGGTTCCCCTGACTGGGTTAGGCCCTGGGACATTGCATATTCGCCGCTATTTGGACGCTAGGATTCAAGAATATCAGAGAAATATCTAGGTTCCAAACATGTTTCCTGCTGTAAGGGTGCAAGCTATCTAACCACCAGTCGTTGAACACTAAAAAAGGTTGCTTAAGGCGTTTCGGGGTGTGAAGGTAAAGATCGAGGAGCCCAAATGGTACTTGGGTACTTCTGTAAATTACCTTCCCTTGTGGGATCGACACAATACGGCATCACTCTTACATGCAACCTTAAAAGGGATCCTATTTCAGCGAAGCCCCATATTAAGTAGTGCACAGACCCTCGGTTTGTTGAGGGCATGTGGAATGAAGGTGTCAGTAGTGTGTCTGGGTATTCGGGCGATAGGGTTTTATGTTTTAGGGTTTCGGGCTTCCAGGTTCAGTACTTATGGGAAGCTCGAGAACCCTCCCAAAACCCTCAATCAACGATTCAGCTGCAAGATGTATGTGATTTCTCATAATCTGCCGTATAAAACCCTAAACCCTAAACCCCAAAACCCTAAACCCCAAAACCCTAAACCCCAAAACCCGAAACCCCTAAACCCTAAACCCTAAACCCCTAAACCCCAAAACCCCTAAACCCCTAAACCCTAAACCCTAAACTAAGTTCCTGAACTGACTGCATATTTGGCCCTAAGCCCAAAACCCTAAACCTCATAGGGATCCTTAGGGGTGTAGGGGGGAGGGGTGTAGGGGACTATATTTCCTTAAATAGGCCTTATTAGTCCTTATTATGGGCCTTAAGGCCCCCTACCCCTCCTCCCCCTACACCCCTAAAGGATCCCTATGAAAACCGTAAACCGTGTCTTGGAATCTGGGTTTTGCCACCTTCGACTGCCCTACTTATCCTAAGGCTCCAAGGTTGTCTGAAAGTTAGAGGTACCTTATTTTGAGGTCCTTAGAGTAGGGATCCTACTATTTAGGGCGCTATGTATTAGGGTGCCCTATTTCCAGAAACACCCAACGACTATGGAAAGCTTCTGTGCTGTTCTGAACGCTCATGGCCAGTATAGGGGTCTAAATGTTGACTGGTAAGAATCTTCCCTTGCTGGCTGTATAGAAGCAAACGTATACCGATCCCGTCTAGAACACTTACAAAACCACAGTTATGAGCGTCGAAGAACCCTTATAAAACCCTTTTCTAGTGCTTACCCATAGGCCCCATAGTAGTTCCTGTTTGGGATTACCTGATAGGATTCTACATATGAACTCCCCAGGGAACTACTATGCGGCCTATGGGTAAGGCCTCTAAACACTAAACCCCTAAACCCCTAAACCCGAAAAGAGATTTTGCCATGAGGCAGTCGTCAATCAAGATTGTCCTCTTCCTTTCTAGTGTAAGCTCAATCCGAGCAGTACCGACAGCCTGCGGGAGTCAAAGGAGCGGTGCATTACACTTAAAAAAAAAACGTAAACCCCTAAACCCTAAACCCCTAAACCCCAAACCCTAAACCCCTAAACCTCTAAACCCTTAAACCCTAAACCCCTAAACCCTAAACCTTAAACCCCTACACCATAAACCCCTAAACCCTAAACCTCTAAACCCTAAACCCTAAACCCTAAACCCTAAACCCCTAAACCCCTAACCCCTAAAACCCTAAACCAGCCACAGTGGAGCTCGCCGAGGCCCGACCTCATCGTGACAGGCACCGCCAGCGCGGGGAGTTCTGGTGGTTTTATAGGGTTTAGTTTAGGGTTTTATCACCCAAAAGCACCCAGAGACTCCAATATCCCCTCATGATGAGTTTATACCTTAAATTATAGAAGGATCCCTAATATGATTTAAGGTTTATTCCTTAACTAAGGGATATTGGAGTCTCTGGGCACTTTGGGTCCAGGATCTTTAGATGAAGAAGGGTCCGTTTGATGGTTTCATGAGTTTTTGGGCTTAGGCTTTGGCCCAAGTTTAACTATGAGGGCCCTAGCACCTGCCTGGATACTTGCAGGTGCTCCTTAAGCGTGTCATAGATTGCTTTGAGGTTTCTGCATATGTACCTTACATTATCGGCAAGGAATCTGATGGACAATTATGTCCATTCGCGGTTTCAAGATAACTAGGTTGGATTTTGGGACATTTTTTATTTTCCTTATTTGGGTTTATAAGGGGCCCTATATGTAAATATTTTTCAGGGTGTTTAAAGGCCAACCCAGATAACTGTCGGATCACTTCTGGGGGGTCCCTGACTTGTGGTTCCGTCTAAAAATCGAGTTTCTCCTTTGCATTGCTGGAAGCCAAACAGAGACCGATATAGTCGAACAGGAAGTTGCATTCCTTCCTGTACCGAGGAAGAAGGACACCCCGAGCATGCTCTGGTCTATCTCAGTCAGAAGCTCTAAACCCTATAAGGTAACCTTAACCCCGAAACCCTAAACCCTAAAACCCTAAACCCAAACCCTAAACCCCTAAACCCCTAAACCCTAAACCCCTAAACCCTAAACCCTAAAACCCCAGAACCCTAAGCCCGAATCCCTAAAACCCTAGACCCTACCGAAACCGTAAATGCCAAGAAAAGGGCATTCGAACCTGAGGCAGAAACAGTCTTGCACGGACCCATGGCCCGTTACAGCTTTCCATTTTCAAGCCCGAAAACCTGAACCGTTGTCCAGAAACCCTCCGTCTTCTCAGCTGCATATGGGAGTTTCCGAAAATTAGGCGTACCCTATTTTGGGTTCCTTATAATAAGGATCCTACTATTTAGGGTACTATATTAGGGTCGCCTATTTTCGGAAACTCCCATATGTATAGCTGGAACATCCTTTTAACCACGAGTTCTTGGAGTTTCAGATTAGAGTCCTAGCGCATATAAGCCCCATGGAACCCTGCATGTATGGAAACCTATCCTCCTTTCAGCCTAACACCTACCACTAAAACTTGAACCCCTGGATCCTTAAAAGGCACTTCAAAAACATTAAACCCTATCCGTATACCTCCAGGGACCTTATTATGGGGTCCTTAAGAGGTCTGGGGCCCTAACAAGGAGGTCCTTGGAGGGATAGGGTATACCTTGAGCCAAGCATCGACCCCCTTTGAAACTTTTGACGAAGGCCGGTGCGACGTGAGACGCCAGTGGAGGAGTTCCTCGATGACGACTCCGAGAGGATCGGAGAGGGCGCGTACGTTCCTGGGTTCGTTATCGGTTTTATAGAGGCATTGTAGAGGAATTATAGAGATATTATAGAAGAATTATAGAGGGATAGAGGCACAAAAGAGGTTTTGTAGATTTCTACTTCGGTTTGATGAGGGTCCATCACATACATTTTGGAATACACTCTTTGGGTACATGGACCCTAACGGTTTGTTTGTTCCAATTAATGGTTTTAGGCCGTTTTGTAAGAGGCTTGTTGTTAAAGCTTTATGGGTTGGGGTTTGTAGTTTGTGGGCTCTAGTGATTTAGGGTATAAAGCTCAGGGTCACGGGTTGAGGGGTCTGAGTTAAGGACATTGATTACCCCCCCCCAAAGTACTGAGGTAGTTGCAGGCCAAGACTTTCAAACCACCATGTTTACCACAATGATGCATACAAGACGCACCACCAGTTAGATGAAAATGAACTGAAACACGTCCCAAAATCCGATAGATCGTGCCAACCCTTGGGGAAAAAAGAGAACACCCTTGTTACAACCTTTCTAGAACTCTACATCAGAGCTCTTGTAAACCCCTGATACGGCAGCAAGAACCTATAGACACCCTTCACTCTCAAAGTTACACTTTAAACCCGGAGTCCTAAACCCTATATAACCCAAAGCCCTTAATCCTCAACCCCAAAAAAAAGCCTCCACCAGGACCCGCCTGCGCATCTGGTCTGAGACGACTGCTGGAAGTGGCTATCCCAGTCTTTCGATGTAGACCAGTTGTTGATTTGGGCTCAGGGGTTAGGGGTTTAGTGCTCTAGGATGCCCAGTAGTACCCTTATTCCCTTTTTGTAGTCCTAGGTTCCATATAAAGTTACCCAATACCAGAAAGAGGGGCCTTTTTATTCTTAGGTTACTGGGTATCCTAGTGCTTCAGGGGTTTATAGGGGATCGTGGGGTCTGGGTTTAAGGTTCAGGGGTTCCGGGTTCCGGGTTAGGGTTCAGAGGGATTGAAGGGTTGCGAATTCAAGTGCCTTAGTTCACGAAGGTTAGGATCCTTACTACAATCCCTGTCAGAGTACGGAGGGGTTAATGAGGGATCTACGTTACCGAACACCCGAACCCAAAACACGACCTGTAGCCCAAATCCTACCAAGCAGTTGGTACGACCTTCTGATTCTAGGGTATGTGGATTAAACCCCTAAACCCTAAACAGCCCTGAAAACCGTAGATCATGGGATCCTGAGAGAAGCCGTATCCGAGGGATCCACAGGATTGCTTTAAAAGTTCCGCGGAGTTCTTTCCGGAGGCCCCTGGAAGGGTATCAAACAAGGTTGTATTCGCAAACCCTAAACCCTAAACCCTATAGACCCTAAACCCTAGACCCTAAACCCTAAACGTAGGGTTTGAGGGTTCAGGGTTGACTTTAGAGGTGCAGGGAGATCGTTGGTCGTGGTGATGTTTTTGTTCTACCTTAAACTACCACTTTTTGTAGGCTCCTACTCCTACTATAAACCCCAATATGGGATTTATAGGGACCCTACAAAAAAGTAGGTTTTGGTGGGTGAAGGTCTGTGCTTGACTAGTTATGGTAGCCTCAACATCACTATTCCATGAGGTCTCTGCCGCAGTTCAGCTTATTCCCAAACCATCAAGCGCTTGACGCAGTGTAAGCCCTAACCGAAACAAGCGTAGGACCTAGAACCTTCGACCGGACGGTTGTTGGCCTGTGAAAGAGGACGGGGAGGACGACATGTCCTTCGAGACGACTACAAGGGCTACTGTCATTATAAGCGTTCTATATAAGGGGTCTCAAAATATAATACTATACTATTTTGGGAGTTCCTTATTAACGGTCTCATCTTCGCTTGACCCCATGCGATGGTGGCCCGTCATTGTCAAAAGCTGTGCCGCATGAACCATGCTGCTGCGAGCCAAAGTTTGTCTGTTTTGCTGTGCACATGTCCAGCTTCGTGCGCAGCTTGAGGGGATGCTCTCTGCAAGCAGAGGTGAATCACACTCTCCAGAGGAAAAGTGCAAGTGGGGACCATTGCTCGGGGCCTTTGTTGTGAAGAGTCCGGCAGAATCCTACATCCTCCGTGGCGGCAGGAATCTCGAGGCAGCCCCGCAGGCAGTGTGGCAGTCGGTGAAGTTTGCCCGAATCAAAAATGTCATACACAAGGGTGCGCAACAGCAAGGACATGCAGCCTTTGCCGATCTTGCGGCAGAGCGCCAAAAGCCCTTAAAGAAGCCGGTATAGGAGCCCTCATAGGAACCCCAGAAGGAGCCCTGAAAGAAACCCTTGGAAGAACCCTTCATGGTCTTTGCACGGCCTGCTTTACAGCAACTCGTTCCGAATTTATCAGAGGGCTCGACGAAGCAGGAAGTTGTAGCTGATCAGAAATGCCGCTAACAGTCATCGCAACGCTCCAAGTACGTAGCCCCAAACATGTGTTGCTTGTCACCCCGAAGTAGATACCATTTGTATACTTGGCGTTTCAGGGACAGAGAGAATGAGAACGGACACAATTGCAGCAAAAGCCTAGATGAAGAAGCGGTGTTGAGGGTGCTTAGAGATTAGGATTTGCGGTTTGTTGTTCGGGACCAGCATTCAACTTTACGAACTACCAACAATGGCTGGTAACATCCCCTCCCATCCCTTTTGGATCTATATGGGTGGTTGAAAAAATATGGTCCCTTTTTGGGTCCCTAATATAATACGGCACCTAATATTTAGGGACCCAAAAAGGGACCTTAATTTTGACAACCACCCATATTGTCGCCAAAGCAAAGGCTCCTACCGTAGTGGTCTGGGGGTGAAACCAGTGACAGTCAAGCCCAACAAAGGCCCAAGGCCTCATCCTCAAGGTCCAAAGTAAGCGGTAATTTGCACCTAGGTTTAATGTTTGGTTATTATAACCCCTAAGAAACAGCTAAAGTTAAAATGTTTGCTAGGGTTCTAAGTTCAGTATAGCTATGCTTAAGGGCTCCTTGTTCCATTCTTGAGAGCATAACAATAGTTGGGGTTTCCGAAAATAGGGGACCCTAACATAGTACCCTAAATAGTAGGATCCTTATGATAAGGACCCTGCCCCCAAATAAGGTACCCCTAATTTCGGCAACTCCCATATGGGATCCTTGAACTCTCAGGATAGACTCAAAAGGGAAAAGGAGGGACCCTTCATGGGGACCCCTACTCTATAATGGGTATATATTGGGTATATAATTAAGGGTATATACCTAGGGATCCGTATTAAGGGTCCCTCCTTTTCCTTTTGGATAAACCTTTAACTTTAGTCGGCCAAGGCTTCATCGTAGTCGAGGAGCCACACTTGATTCCATCCAGGCGCGATTTCAGACTTTCGCAAGGCTTGAGAGTCAAGGGCTACCCCCAAAAGCCTACCGTCTTCACGAAACAAGCAGGGAGATCCTAACATGGAACCTTTAGAAGGTGGGGTAGGGTTCACCAAGGTGCGTTTAGTTGATGCGAGCAGGTTGGAACTTGGTTAAGTCGGTAAGGTGGAAGTAGCAGCTACGAGCTGTATCGCTTTAACGCATCTTCCACTATGCTGGCTTCTACTGTAGGATGCTGGGCCTAGGGGGCACCATATGCGCATATATCCACATCGCATTCCGCACTGTGTTTTGGTGGTCTTCGCTTCTAGAGTCTGGGTGTTCTGGGTGTCTTTAGGGTGTGCGGGCTTAGGATTTTAAGGTTTTAGGGTGTAGGGTAGGGTTCCAGAGAAGGTACGTAGGGGGCAGCACGTCGTGTCCACACCGACTCTCCCTATCCCACCAGGGACCTCATAGTTAGGGCCCAGACCCCTTAAGGACCCCATAATCAGGTCCCTGGAGGGATAGGGTCTTAGAAGCACCCTTAATAAGGACCCCTAGGTATATACCCTTACTATAGTCATTATATACCCATTATATAGCTGGTGGAACAGCTCAGACCCACTGCAGACCATGGCCCCGCTCATGTTAGGATACGGCTACCGGTAGTTCTCGAAAAAAAGGGTCCTTTTCAAGATTCCCTTATATGAAGGGTCCCGTACATGAGGGTTTAGGGTTTATGGGGACTTACAGAACTACCCATATGTGTTTTGATTTGATCTCCAGCCCAAAACCCGCATGCTACTTATGTGGTGACCCTAAGCAAATGGTTTCCAAGCCGAAAAATGTAGGTTAGTGTATGGGAGAGTATATGACTACTGTTGATGATATAAATCCTGCAATACCCATAATAAGGAATATACCATATAATTCCCATAGTTTAGGTTCTTAAGGTAATGCAGGATTGATATCATCAACAGTATGAGGGGCTTGGATCCTTAGGGTGCTCGATCCATGTCACGCTCGACAAGAGGTCGTGACAGCGTTTTCTGGCGCCTGCTCGCTCAACTTCCCAAAGCACCCAAGGTTACAGAGACGCCTAGATAATAAAGCTGGGGCTATGGAGTTTGTAGACCGTAAATAAATGGGAGTTTCTGAAAACAGGGGTACCTGATTTTGGGACCCTTATAATGAGGATCCCACTCTTTAGGGTACCACATTAGGGTCCCCTATTTCCGGAAAGTCCCAAATGACTTTCAGGAAAGCTAAGAAAGGGTAGCTTAAAACGGCCGGCGCTAGTCTTTTTCATCCGTGTCTAGTCCCTTGCAGTACCTCAGAAACTATACGGTGTTGCTGGAAGGGCAACAAGGCAGCTCTTACGAAGCTCGGGGTTTCGGGTTTGGGGTAGTCTTTCACAAACGGCGGTTTCAAGTGGTGCAGAAAGCGCAACACAATGTCAGTATAGTTCCTGACAGTGCCTACGCACGGCGACGGTGACACCACCAAGCCAAACACCCTAATCCCAAAGGTGGTATGTCAAATCAGAAGAAGTGCCGCAGATACCGGCGGCCCCGAAAACCCGAAAAACATAACCCCCAAACCGTTAATTAATTACGATGATAGCGATGAGAAGACAACGAAGCAAGCCTAAAGCGTAAACGTGCTTGCATGCTCGCAGCTGCTGCTGAATACACGGCCCGGACTATGTGCCATAATCGGCTGGTTTTGCATACGTAACTTCGGAAATGCTTCGAGGGGTGGACCCTCGTGAATAGTATAGGCAACCGACACCACCGGCTTCAGAAAACCTAAACACTTAAGCCCTGCAAGCCCTGACATCGGAATTTGGAGTCCTTAGAAGCCAACCCTCAACCGTAACCTCCTATTTTTTTACGTTTTTTGGCAGGCACGAGCTGGCCTCAGGCAAAGTCAGGGCTGAACCCAGCATACGGTTGATGATATAAATCTCGCATTACCTTAAGAACCTAGACTAGGAATTGTGGTATATTCCACATTATGGGTCATGCAGCATTTAGATCATCAAAAGCATTTCTTGCACCGTTTTCGGATGTCGGGTAAAGGGCTTCGCGCTTTGGGTTTGCGGTTCAGGAACGAGCCCACACCCCTCACAGCGCTCAGCTAAGCAGGGGTTTACTGTTCAGGGTTTTGGGTTTGGCAAACCCGAAATTCAGCCTTAAATCCTGAACCTTCAACCCTATCCCTCCAAGGACCTCGTAGTTAGGGCCCTAGACCCCTTAAGGACCCCATAATAAGGCCCCTGGAGGGATAGAGTAAATCGATAAACCCTAAGACTCAGCCCGGGGTTCGCGTTTTCGGTTGCTGAGGTTTCTTTCGGGATTTGGGGGCATAAATTTAGGGTTTAGGGTTTTGGGTTTAGGGTTTAGGGTTCGGCATAAGGTCCCAGCCCTTCCATCTACCGTCTAAGTCTATGAGACCTTAAATACCCATAAGTTGGGTGCCATACTAAGACCCCCCAACTGCCCTAAGAACTCTATTAAAGGGCCCTCGCGGAGGGTCCTGCCATACACCTATCGGAGATTACAAGGAGGGTCCTGTGTGGAGGCTGTTGCGCGTCTTTAGGAAGTCGTAGGGTCTATCTGTCGCTTCAACACCTAAGATGGGGGCCTTCATAATTAGAATAGGGTTTCGCAGGTTCCTTGTTGTAATTATGGTATAGCTTACCCCCCACCCTATTCTAATTATTAAGGCCACTACACTGGATTTTGATGGTCTCGGCTATGGACATAAAGATGTGTGTTTAGGCTTTGGGGGTTAAAGCTTCAGTGTCCAGGATTTCTGGTTCAAGGTTCAAGGATTAGAAGGATTTGGTTTTGGGCTCAGCCTCGGGCCTTCGGGCTTACGGTTTCAGACTGATGATTGAGGTTGCAGGTTGCGGCACTCCATCAGAAGGACCTGTAGGGTGGTAAGGGGGAGGGGGATACTTAGAGGGCCTTAGTCGCCCAAATATATATATATATATATATATATACATATATATATATATATACACACACTTCATTAAGCACTTGATAAGGATCTAATACGGATTATTTAAGGAAGTACGGTACACCCTACCCCGCTAAGGGTCCCTATGAATCGAGTATCATTTGTTCGACTTTTCGGGGGTGCAGCGCAGGCGGCGCTCAAGGGTCATGCGTTATACGTCTGCTTTGCCAGATTCTCAAGGGAAGGGCCATGTATGTACCGATATCAGCTAGTAAAGGCCAAATCTCCAACACTCACCGACTCCCTTATATATTACCAGCATGCACCAGCCTATAGGTTCGCTACTTCTCTAAACCCAACTACTGTATTATCCCGCTTGTAGGATATCGGAAGGATACGGCGCAGAGGGTTCTGAACTCATCGATCGAAAAATTCTCAAATTCCTGCTGCAACCCTATACCCTAAACCTGCATCGTCCACGGCTGCCGGGGCTAGGCTTGGGCTTGGAGGCCGAGCACAGGGAAGATCCAACGAGCTCTACCTGTAGTCTCCATTGTAGTTCCTTTTTTTGGTTATCCAATTTTATGTTTTATGGTTGGGACCCTATAATAGAGATTCTGGTCAACCAAAAATGGAACTACAATGGAGACTATAGGTACAGGTGGCCACTGCAATTGCTTTCGACCGCATGTGTGCAGTTTCAGATCGCAGTTTTCGAGGGTGTCTCACGTGGGAGCCTGTCAGGCACCGGGCCTTTCAAAATGGACGGCCTGTTGACCATCGTCGAGCTGGAGTTGGGTCAGGGGCAGTTCATCGACATGATCTTGCGCTCGTCAAAGTTGCTCAGCTCCCCCGTGACGGGCCTCAGCTAGTTGGTGGTTAAGAGCCTTCGGCCAAGCCCTGAACCGAAAGACCGGCAAGTCTCAAACACTCTACAGGAACTGAAACCTGGACCGTTCTTGATCCCTTATAATATCATTATTGTTATTATATTGTGTTCTGTTAATATTATAATATATATATATATATAGAGAGAGAGAGAGAGAGAGAGAGACATTACGGGCCCCATATTTTCCAGTCAAAATGCTGTTTTCTATGAGTTTTCATTACAAAAACTTATAATCGTCATAGTTTGCATACTAGTGGTTTTCAAGCTTACTTAACCCTGTTGCTCTTGATGCCTGATATGGGAAGTCCTTTCCCAATCAGCATGGGATGCACTTGTGACTACCTTTCATTGTGGATTCTCATGAAGACTATCCGATAAATCAATGCCACTTCAATCTTGTGGTTGTTCTTTGTGTTTCATAGTATAATCTTGCAGATAAATGAGATGCAATGCGTCTGCGAAACCGTGCATTTCTCCACCCTTGAATGATGTACAAGACCGGTCAATCTATATAACTTTTGCATATCCACGTAAAGAATCGCTTACATATTCCACCGTTTTTTGCAGGCCCCATCATGTGCATGGTAGCATATGATTTTGGATATAGACGTCCAGCATATACTGTAGCATGACAAGTTGAATTTGGCATCATACAGGCAGGTTGCTCAAACAGTTCCCACCGCCTCAAACTATATACATGCAGGCGATCAACTGGATCGCGTTACCGGATCCGTTTGCATATGTACATATATACATATATGTACATATATGTCTTTGCTACATTCAGTTTCGATACCGTTTTTCGTATGAATGCTAGCTTGTTTAGTGCAACCTTTTTCAAAGGCGTATTTATTGTTTGCGATTATTTTTGCACTGGTTGTCCTTGTTTCGGAGCTCCCAGTCCAATAATTTGTCCAGTATTTGGAGCTGTGTGTGCGGAATTGTGTATTTCAACTGCAACAGCTTCTCACAGAAGCCAACCCAGATAACTGAAAACCTGCGACCTTCAAAGACAATCATCGCATGGATGTTGCTGTATACATCTTGACAGCTACAATGCTGGCTTATCCAGATTAGTGATCATTGCGGCTGAAGCCCACAAGCCCCCAAAGGATAAGGATATGTTTGAGTTAATATACTTTTCAAGGAGATGGTGCTTTGCTATCATTATTGTATATGCAGACACATGGAGATCCACCTGCAATATTAATCATTTTCGCTGTCTTGTTGCTCATACCATCTAGTCATAGGTTGACTGCCGTGAAAACACCTTATTTGCGCATGCACACACAAACATACATCGACACGCACATACGATTGTCATCAGCTGTAAACAATACCGCTTGTTATATCTATGCTGCAGGCAATGCACCTGTATGCCGCAACCATTCTAATATGGTCTTGTTAAAGCCCATGACGCAGTTCATCGTGTGTCTTATGGATATTTCCGTAAACTAAATCCTGTTACCCAAGAAAAAGTATAAGAACTATACTATGCCTAAAACCAACCTTTTAATATGTGACATGATCAAGAAGTCAAGTATCTCTTGTGGTGGAAGTAAACATGGCAGATTACATTGGCAGCTGCATGCCAGTTTTGGCAAGAGTATTGGAGCCGTCATAATGAGGCACCCAACCGGCAGTTGAACAGGATATTCGCCGCATTCCTTCAATGCAAAAAGCATGTTATGTGTTGAATATGGCCATATCAACATAGAGCACCAGGAAATCTCTTCAACATATCATTATGATATTGAGCCATCCGTATAGACCATCGCAGTAGGTGTCCTTATAAGATGCCCGCATCGTTTGGGCTTCCCCCTTTACACCTTCCGGCCGCTCGGGCAAGCGGGATTGCAGCACATATTGGTTAAACCCCTCGGTAAACCTTTCTAAAAGCCCGGAGACTTATTCTGACACATGAACCCAATCTCGCATGAAGTTACAACAGTCACAGCTAGGTATGAATAGGTCGCAAAATGCAGGCAGCATCTCATGACACATATCTTCTCTATGAGATTTGACTTAAGACTTAGATGTCCTTGTGCATCCCGTGAGCTTGCCAAGCTCGTATGGCATCTCCCTAGCACCTCATGCTACATGTTTACGAGTGTGTTACGCCATATCATACTATGCGCATGGTTCACGTGAAGATTGATACTTCACCATGACGTGCTCATGAGATATATTGTTTCCATATCTAGCCAGTTTTGGTATAATGATATTCAGATTCCTGCGAGTAGCCGTTCCTGATCACAGGAACATAAATCAATAAGGATTTCCAGTTGTAAACTCCCCGACAGAGCCCACCATGTTGCTCGAACATCGCACAAGTGGAATATTCAAACTCCCGTTTTCATGCACCTATAAGATAGTTGGATTCGGATCCCTTACATCGCAACCTGCCAATGAAAGGCGAAGACAGTGTTTGTTGTATATGTTATCGAGGAGACTGCTCATACATGTATCTGACATCCGACATATATACCGACCATATGTCCTCGCATATGCTACCACATCATATGCGACGTCAAACATTGTTGTTATCGCTTGACTACGACAGACCCTTCAACAGGTTGTCCACCTGGCATTGCTCAGGAGGTGGTTGTGTCGTGAGTTCGCATCCGTCGAATGTATGTTAATGCAAGGTCTCCTCGTCATATGATGTTGTGCCAGTCATAAATAGTTTGTCATCTTTGTGAGCTGTAATCTCCGATATCTAATTTTCTATACGCAGTAAGTCTCTGAGGTCTTTTATAGATTCTATAGATGTTTATCTGGTTAGTATGTAATCTTATTGATCTTAATATTCGGCATACAGTATCTACTCACTTGTAGTGAGGCTTGCATGGGCTAAGGACACCAGGTTTATTGAATCATGTGGCTCTTGGTTGGTGTCCGCTCCTGCAGTATGGCGCACTATGGCGTTGGCTGTCGCTTGCTGTCCCCGGGGAGGGGGAGTTTTTGATTTTCGATGTTTTTTTTATTTTTGCGCTGCCCCCCCCTCCATATTTTGTTTTTTTTTGCCCCCCCCCTCTCCCCCCCCCGCCATCCCCTTAGTAGCAGTGTTCTCGCCCTTAGGGCCTGAACCAGCCAAGAAGTGAGTCAAACTTCTTGCTCTATAGTCATGTCGACAGTTGAAACAAAAACTTTGGACATGTGATAACCATTGTTGTTTGTGCACATGTATGGGTATACGTACATGTATCCTATTTAAGAATATGCATATGAGGATAACCATATCGTGTGCACGAGTGATGTTGCTTCAAATCTGAAGCAAACCAAAAACATGAAAAACAGTAATGCTGTAAATATGGGGCCCGTAATGTCTTATTTTCTGTATATATATATATAAGACTATATACATATATATATATAAGACCTCACGAGCGAATCATGCTCCCTTTTGCAGGCAACGCGGCGCTGCCGGTCCCTGTCCCGAAGACGGGAGAGGCGCCGCAAGAGGGGCCTGAACCCTAAACCCGTAAACCCCGTAAGCCTTCAACCCAGGGGATTTAGGGACGTAGGGCTAGAGGAGGATCTCACAACAGAGGTTTAGAGCTTTGGGGTTGCAAGTGTAGGGATTCCGGCTTTTTGGGGTTCAGGGTGAGGAGTTTGAGGATCCTGAGTCCATACCCATCCCATAGGCTCCACAATAGCTCCTTTCTGGGATTTCCTTGTACATAGGGTTCTAAATATCAACCCCAAAAAGGAACTGCCCTGGAGCCTAGGTAGAAAGCAGTAGTTCCAGAGAGCTACGGTTTGTAGATTGCGCAACAAGCATTTTCGAGGATTCATTATAAGGGCTTGATATTAATTACCTATACTGTTTTGGGGGTTCCTTGTTATGATTGCAGTATAGTGGGCACCAAAACGGTATTCTAATCTCCTTAAGGCCCCTATATTACACTCTTGAGTCATCACGATCAAGATGGAGTGTGTAAGGACTGGGTTGTTCAGTGAACCTCAACAAGCAAAGCCCTCTTCCAGCTGTTCTGCAAGGATCCCACCTGAGGCTTTGTCAGATGTAGGGTGTCGGTTTCCGGTGTTTCTTTCGGAAATTTGGGTTTAGGGTGCGAAGTGGGCAATGACGCCGGCCAGGAAGCAAAGAAACGGCATAATTTTGGATCTAACGGGCTTGCATGGAAATTTAGAAGAAACCAAACCTTTGAGCACTTTTACTAGATCCTATAAGGTCCTAAACCCACAGCCCTGAGGCCTTCACGGCCAAGACCGAATCCCCATAATTCCGAAGCATGAGACCCCGCATACTTCGAAACTTTTCGGACATCCTAAATTCCGAAACCCCAGTAGTCTGAAACCCTAAACCCTTCTACTCTGAAACCTAAACCCTAAGCCCCCATACTCCAAGCCCCCGAACCCCTATCACCCCAAGCCCCTGGCCCGTAAATGCCGAACTGCAAACCCCAAAGCCGCTGCACCCACAGGCGGAGAAGGATCACTGGATGGCGGTCTACGTCCTCATCGCCACTTTTTTGCATTTGTGTGCGACAAATACCGATCTCTAGGGGTCCATGTACCCAAATGGCAAATTTACTTTGGACTCAAAGTACTCCCTGTTTAGGTACATTGGGCCCAAAAGATATACTATTTGGGCACATGCACCCTTAGGGGATTTCTACTTCCATCACCATGTCCGCACTTTTGCAGTTTTGCTCAGGACTTCCCCTGTCTTGTTGTCGTTGGAGGGCTGGGGGGAGCGCTCCTCCCGATACCCTAATATAAGGGCTTCAAGCACTACCAATACTATTTTGGTGGTTCCCTACTATACTTATAGTATAATGGACCCCAAAACCGTATTCTAATTATTAAGGCCCCTATACGAAGCCTTCTCCTCGAATCCCCAAACCCTGAACCCGAACAAGGGGTTTAGGGTTTTGGGTTTTGGGCAAAAAAACAAGCACCCTATAAAGTCTTAAGCCCTCGCCACGTAGACCTAAACTCTGATACTTCGCAACTACTTATAGGTTCCATTGTAGTTCCTTGTTTTGGTTAACCAATTTCATGGATAGGATCCTATAGTATAGTTTTTGGTCACAAAACAAATTACAATGGAAACTAGAGGTAGACGAGACCAGGCAGTCGCGACTCGGTAGAAGCGAGGTCGAGGAGTCGCGTAGCATTTAGGATTCAGGCTCTACCCGAAGTGTATACTTTGTCCTCGCAGCGAGGACTGTAGCTACTTGAAGGCCAAACAAAGTACACAGTGCTTAATGAGTAGTGATATCGGTGTGCAGGAGCGTAGGGTTAGGGTTAGGACTCGCAGAGTTCGTAACGAACTTTGCTAGGGCTGGCTCACATCACGAAAGCCGCGGACACCGAAACTGCAAAGCCCAGATATTGCGTCTGCCTCGGAAATGCCCAGATCGTTGCCCGTTTTTCCTCAAGAGCCGAAGCTTGAGTTCAGCCTATACCAAGGAACTGCAGAGTATTAGCTTAAGGGATCTAGGGTTAAGGATTTGGGGTTTAAGGTTTACGATTTAGGATTTTAGGTGTATTCAAGGGTGCTGATTCAGGGTTTAGGGCTGGTGACTTGGGGTTTAGGGAAGAGGGTGTGCCCACTGCTTTCAACGCCCCAAGCCTCAATAATTAATTACACCTCAGACGGACCACCCAACTCTCATGAACCCTGGACTCTAAATTCCCGCTACCTGGGGGTTTCCGAATATAGGGGACCCTAAACAAGTACTCTGTGTAGTAGGATCCTTATTACAAGGACCCCCAAATGAGGTGCCCCTATTTTGGGGAAGCTCCCAAATTCCAAACGCTACCTCAACCTCCAACGAGCTCAGATTATGATTCTCGTCGCTATCAGCACTGGCCTCGGCCGACTCCGTCAGGGTCTGTTAGGGTCTACTACAGGGGCCCCAATAAGTAGAATGGTGTTCCTTTAGAGGGGTCTATAAGGGCTACTAAATGGGCCATTACAGGGAGTTCATATCGGTGCCTTAATAATTAGAGTGGTGGCTTGGGAGCCCATTATACTATATGTTTTTATAATAAGGAGCCCCCCCCCCCCATAATTAGAATAGTGTTTTGGGGCCCATTATACTATACGTAATACGGACCCCCCCCCAAGTAGTACTGGTAATTGTTTAGGCCCCTATTGGGTACGGCCCCTTTCAGTAACAGTTGGATAATATTCATAATATATATATATATATATATATATATATTATAAGGCCCTTCATAGTAGCCCTAATATAGACTGCTACTGTATGGGGGCCGTACCCAAGACCCCTACATTACGGGGTTCAGAGTGTTTCTGACTTCCAGAGTTTAGGGACCCAAAAAGCACATAAGCATAAGCATTGTATGGGGATATCCCTACCTTATTGGACTTCATTAAAAGCTGAATTTATATGGGATATCCCTATCCTAATCTTCGCTTATGTGCTTTTTGGGGGCCCTAAGAGTGTTGACAGTCGCCGGGCTCGGGATCTCAAGATGCCAGAGTTGGGGGGTGGTGCCTCCTGCGCTTCGTGAAGCTCTGGGGTTCGGGGTTTAGGGGTTTAGGGGTCTAGGGTCTAGGGTTTTAGGGTTTAGGGTTTAGGGGTTTAGGGGTCTAGGGTTTAGGGTTTTAGGGTTTAGGGGTTTAGGGTTTAGAGGTTAGGGTTGAGGAGTTTGGGGATTTAGAAGTTTAGGTGTTCATGATTGAGGGCTTTGAGTTTTGGTAATGTGGGAACCTGATTCAGAAGCCCTGGCCCTATAATGTAACTCCAATATATTAGGATTCATATAAAGAGCCCTAATAAAGACCCCGGGTTTCTTAATCAGGTTTCTATATTAGGGTTTAGGGTTTATACCCATAGGCTCCATAGTAGTTCCTTTTTGGGGTTACCTTGTAGAATTCTGAACATGAGCCCCGAAATGGAACTACTATGGAGCCTATGGGAAATTCAAAGGCCTAAGGTAAGATCTAAAGCAACACACGCTTCCTATTGTTCTGCTTATTCAGCTGCAGGGGTTGGGGTTTGGGACATAGATGTCAGGGCTTTGGTGTACCGCTCCTTTCTTACACGTGGGACATTCAATGACATTCATGTAAATGATTACTGGTATCCGTATCAGCATCTGGATTTTCTGCTAGTGCAACCCTAAACCAGAAACCCTAAGCCTTTGCAGGGTCTGGGGTTTATACAGTTCCTGTCTTGGATCGCCGCGTTTTGTCGGGAAAATCAAGACAGCAAAGGGCAACCAGCAGTGCATTTCCTCTGTCCATGTACGTTTAGGATCGTCTAGGGCTTGGGGTTCAGGGTTTGGGTTTTAGTATTTAAGGCTTTAGGCTCTTGAGATCTAGAGAAGTTTAAAGTTTAGAGTTTTGTGGATCGCGACGCGAGAAGGGCGAAGCGGCCGGTAATTTCCGCCTCTATGCGGAGTACATACCCACATACCGCAACGTCGCTGCAGACGACCTCACCCGAAGGCCAGCGGCCGACCTCCTGGAGAATCGTTAACTTCCCTTCTGGCCGTTCTAGCCCGTGATGCAACCTTCGACCATCAGGAACAGGCTGCTTCTACAATGCTTCTACTGTGTTTGTGCTGCTACTACTGCGACGACGACTACTACTAGTACTACTCTGGTGCTACTAACTATCACTTTGGACTCTGCAGTGCTACTTCCACCGCACGCTAGTTTACGACAGCGACGACTCCATCCAAACTCGCCGCCTCAAACCCAGAATCAGAAGCCGAGAAACAGGGGGAGAGATATATTTTTTCACATGGTCATGACATAGTCACATACACATACTAATTTCGCAGCCACATACATCTGTACATATATAGGTATATTCGTATTTGTACAAATATTCCCAACTGTGTCATGCACTCCCCGAAATACTTACCCACATGCGACTGTCCTAAACCCACGTACGTGATGATTGAGTACGGCTACGTTGGACCCTTAGTGTTTGCACCCTGAACCTTACCCTAAGATCCCATAGTAGTTCCTTTTGGGTGTTCATATTTAGAGTATGAGGTCATCCCAAAAAGGAACTACTATGGAGCCTTTGGGTAAACATTCCTGAAAGGCAGCCCCTTAAAATACCTTAACACCATCCCACAAAGAGCAGCACAGTGTTGAACGCCTTTAGAGACAGGTCCCATCGGCGTCAAGGAGGGCAAGCTAGCTTTCTGCACTGCCCAGTGCTTAGCAGAGCATCTGCTTGTTTTTTGTGCCGGTGCTGTAAGGACTAATGCGGCTTTTGCAGGCTTGAGCAGGTTTGTTTGTGGACTGTTTAAAGAGCTCTGGGGCATAAATCGTAGTAACGAAGCCAACGTCTGTAGTCCGGATGGCTGCAGATACGGTTTATGGACCGATTTCCGCGTGTTGTTCATCAGAAGAGTTACCACCGCCGCTACATTGCGCCCAAGCTGCTTCAGGTGGTCGTCTACCTCTCTTGCCTGTCCCTCGTGAAGATGTTCGTGAAGGCCCTCCCCAGAGCTCTTCGACTTGAGCCGCTAGCTTCATCCCTAACTTGATGAATACTCTTATCCTGAATCGAGCCCTGTACCTTATATAACCCTGACATTGTACTCCATGTAACCTCAACCCCCGGCACTAGCTACCAATCAGCGATGAGGTCTCCAGGGGCACCTGACTCAGAACTCGAACATCTCGCTGAAGTTTTTAGTTCCCATAGCATGCTGGAGCGCTTTTTCATGACAAACTCAAGGTAAGCAGTAGTCGAGATCGTCGTCGTAGTAGTTGTTGGTGGTAGCGGTAGCGTCTCCGATGGTGTTGCTGGCGTTGTTGGCGGTGTTGTTGGTGGTTGTGCTGGCGCTGGCTATGGCGGTGGCGGTCGTGTTGGTGCTGGTGGTGGTGCTGATGTTGGTGGAGTTGGCGCTGGCGGTGGTGGCGCGGTAGCAGTCGCAGTCGCAGCAGCAGCAGCAGCAGCAGCAGCAGCAGCAGTAGCAGCAGCAGCAGCAGCAGCAGCAGCCGTGTCCTGAACCTGCGCTATGGTGTTTTCGGCATTGCCTGAGAACCGATCCGACCCCGATGTCTGATGGTCCGTCAGCCCCTGTCCTCGCTGGCTGCTAGTGTTGGTGCCCGTGTTGTTTGTGCGACCTTGGTGTTGCTGTTTGTTCTCGTTTATCGCTGTCGGCATTGTTGTTGTGGCGGAGCTGTCCAAAGTCCAAAGCTTGTATCACTGGGAAAGGCTGCATCCCAAAATGCCTTTTAGCGGGTCGGTCAGGAAGCCCTGCACACTAGTGATTACGTCATGTCAGGGTGTGTTCCCTTGAAGGAGCCATATTGTCATGAAGCGAAACTCTTGAATCTTGGACCAGTATAGCCCCAAAACCCTCAACCCTAAACCCTAATGGCTCAAGCCATTTTGGCTCAAGGCCGCCTGGTTCGTGTTGGTTGCCCCCCTTTGGTAGCCGCCGGCGGTGAGGAGTGGTTCAGGGAGGACCTTGTCTCGAGGTCAGGGCCATTGTTCGGTGCCTCCTCGCCTACGACTGCCCGATTCAGGCCGCCGACGTCAAGGTGTGCGGGTGCTCTAGGCCCCTCCGGTGCTCCAGGGTGCGATCCGGGCCTACGGGTACGAGTTGAGATCAGATGAAGGGTGGTGGGAAGGGCGACCCCCGCGGGCCGGTACTTGACTGGGCACAGGCTGCGGAGATTCCGGTTCCTGCTGAACCTTCTTCGCCCCACAAGCGAGGGCCGGCGGCGGCGGTGGAAGGGCGGTCTCCCAAGAAGACTGCTGGTGCCGAAAAGAAGGTGGTGCAGGTGGATATGGCGGAGCTTGCGCAGCTGCTGGAGCAGACTGGCCAAAAGATCATGAAGGCTCAACATGAACATCTTGAGGCGAGGATGGGGGCCTTGGAAGAGTTGACAGGGAAGAGGCTGGCCTCTGCAGAAGGTAGAATCGGTACTGTGGAGAGCAAGCTGGAGGGCATGGAAACTCGACTTGAAGAGATGAGTAAGCAGCTGCAGCAGAAAGGGGGGACCATGGACCGTGATCGGAATTCGGAGCGAAGACTCACCCTGGTTTATGGTGGATGGCCCAGGGACTCGAGGAGAGATGACATTCTCCAGCAGCTGGAGAAAAGCCTAGACAGGCTGGGAGTGTGGGAGTCCATCGATTATGCTCCCTTCACTACCGGACCCCGACGTAGCACTGCCCTCAGTGTCTTTGCACCCCGTGGCAATGAGACTGAATATGAAGTCAAGCGCAGGATGCACCGAGTCGTCAAGGCACTGGCGGAGCACGAAGTCAAGTTGCCTGGTGGGAAAAAACTCTTTGCAACCTTCGCTAAAAGTCGAGCAGAACGAGCCATTGGGGGACATGCTGCTTGGGTGAAAAGGGCTGTTGTGGAGTCCTGTGGAGAGGATGCAGCCCGTGGCTTGGACCTTGAGTACTCGACCGGCAGTGTTTGGGCGGGCAATAGCCTTGTGGCCAGTGCTCGCACGCCACAATCGCCAGGAATGCCGGCACAAGAGTGCATCTGGGACACGGATAAATCGGACGCGTACTGGGTGCACATGGGGGGCCTCGCAAGAGAGCTTGGTGTGGCTATGGATGAGATCCGACGGGGCCTGGATGCCACCAGGCGCTGAGTCATGCCGGGATCGCTGCCCTCACAGACGGGGCAGGAAACAGGGAATTCGAGCTTTGTCTTCTCGCTCTATAGCTGGAATACTGGTGGAGTGGGGGAAATCGACTTCGCTCGGTCAGTGTCGGATTGGGTGAATGGCATTGCTCGGGATGCTTTAATTTGTGTTCAGGAAGTCGCACGCGGTCAAGCCGGGTGGCAACAGCTTCACTGGGATGCATGGACTTCGGTGTTGCACAGACATACAGATGTGTGGCGCGGGAGTGGACTTGTTTTCAATCGAACCAGGTGGCGCGTGATGCGCAGAAAAGCTACGGACCGTGGCACATGGTTTCGGATTCGGCATGTTGATGGCTTCGAATGTTGGGTTGGTTCGGCACATTTTACGCCGGGCACCACGCAAGGGGAACATGCAAAGGAGACTTCGGACCACATGAATGCTTTGCCTAGCACGACTCTCCCTGTCTTGCTTGGATGTGACTTGAACTCTCCCTTGGGGTGGAGTTTCCCGCAAGGTGAAAAGCCTGGGCCACTTGCGAATAATGGCAAGTCCTTTGAGTTCTTATCACTCTGCAGCTCTAGGGGACTCGTGCCGGTGGCGCCAGCTCTGCAGCAAGCTCTGACACCTACGAGCAGACCGAGGCAGGCTGGCAGGAAAGGGACCCAGATTGACATGGTTGCGGCATCTAGACTTTTGACTTCTCCGCTTCGCATTCATGAAGGGTCCTATGAAGCCTTGGGTACAGACCATGAATTGCTTGAAGTGATGATCACAACCACAGGCAGCAGACAGGGCAGACCTTATTCGACTAGACCAAGGGTTTGGAAGGGAGGGCTGGATGCAGTGGATTTCCAATTGGATCAACCGACCATGGTACGCCTCGCCCAGGAGCATACTGAACCAAGAGGTAGTCGATGCTATAGGGACAGCACAGCCACTAAGCAAGCCTTCAAGCGGGCAAGGGAAACTCGGCAAGGGGTAGACTGGACAGCTGCTCGCAAACAACGGAAGAAGGACAGGCAGGCGTGGGAGAAGGATCGAGTGCAGAGAGCGACTGCGGGAGATTGGCAGGAGTTCCGATCTCTTAGACAGGGCACCAATACAGGTTGGGACGTTTGCTTTGCAGATGCTCAGGGGGATAAGTGTCCACATACTGTCATCCACGACCACCTTGAAAAGATCTACATGACAGGGGGTGTTATTCCGCCTCGGCCCCCTTGGGAAGGAGAAGTGCAGGACTTCACGGTGGATGAACTTCGTTTTGCATTGCAACAAGGCAAAAAAGGCAAAGCAGTGGGAGCAGATGGTACAAGCCAAGAATTGCTAAATGGCCTGGCATACCTACCTGGGGGGCTCGATGCCATGCTTGCCTTTTTCAATAGGGTTTATCGGACGGCAGACATTCCGGAGGACTGGGGTGTTGCTCTCATGTTGGTCATCCCTAAGGAGCAGCAGCCCACGGAGGCAAAAAACCTCAGGCCATTGTCGTTGGGATCCAGTGTTGCTAAATGCTTCTGTAGGCTCTTATTGCTTCGAACGTCACCCTATCTTCAATCCACGGGCCCATCGCAGTGCTCAGGGCCAGGACGTCAGACGAATGAATACCTGTTTGGGGTGGCTAGGACGATGCAGCTGGAAACGGAATGGCACCAGGGTTTCGCCATGGCCAAAATTGATCTACATAAGGCGTATGATATGGTTCATAGGCCAGTGCTTTTGGCTAAGCTGGAACAGGCACTCTCAGATGGACCAACGTACAGATGTTGGCATGCATTGCTCTCAGAAACCAGTGCAATACTCCAGACTGAATGGGGTCTGACATCCATGCAGGTGGATAGGGGTATCAAACAAGGATCCGTGGAGAGCCCAGCGATCTTTAGTTGGCTTGCAGAACAGATTCTTGAGGACACCAAAACTACCTACCGATGGGAGGACAGGGATGTGGTGTTTGCAGGGTTGAGAATTCAGGAACTGCTCTTCATGGATGACGGTTGCATTTGGGACAGGACAGCAGGTGGCTTAGCCAAGAAACTGGAAGAGTGGTCCCAGGAGCTCGCGAAGGCTGGCCTACAATTGAACCCAAGCAAGTGCCGTGTCTACTTCTCCCCTTATCTTACTGGTCCTCGGGAAGTCTGGGTACATGGGAGTATGGTTCCTGAGACGCGCGTTTTCGAGGTCATGGGGGTCCCTTTCAGAGTTGGTGCAAACGTTTCCGAATTGCTTGCTCCTTTCCTGCAACGAGCCAAGGACAAATTCTGGAGTCTGAAACATCTCTTCAGGGCTCATACACCGTTAAAGGGCCGAGTCATGCTGCTGGACCGTGTGGTTGGAGGTTTGGTGCTATGGTGCCTAGCTTCCCTGGCGCCGGACAACAGTGCCTTAGCACTCCTGAACACCCTGCAACAACAACTTGTTATCTGGAGTATGAGGGTGGCGAAGCGAACTACTGAAACGTGGCTTGCCTTCAAACAAAGAGCCGCTAGAGGGGCCCGAAGTGTCATCTGGACACATCTGCGAAGGCGCTGGTCGACGTGCTGGTTGGATCGTTGGTGGAGTTTTGCAGGCCACAGGGCTAGGGGGCTTGACAGGGAGTATCCGGGGGCAGCCAGTGTCATCGACCAGTACAGGGATCGGGAATGGTGGACTGCAGAGCAAGCGAAGCCACTAGACCAGAGGATCCAACACCCCCGACATTTCCCAAAGCTCTCGAACCTGGAAAAGGATATGGACTTAGCAGTGGAAGGGATGCCGTGGCGAAGGGTTGCAAGGGACAGGGTTCAATGGCAGCAATGCAAAGGGGCTTGGTTGACAAAGATGGATTTACCGTGGACTGGTGGCAGACAATCGTGCATCAGGGCCTAAGTGTTGGGGAGTTGGGAGCTTGGTGAAGGGGTGCCTTGGCTACCACCTGATTTGCACAGCTCCTTGGCTAAATCACGCCCGTAGTGAGCATTCTTGTCGGCACTATGTGGTGCTATTCCATGGTTCCCGCCATATGGATATTTTGGTGGATGCCAGTTGCTGCCACGCCCCAAGGGATGGCATCCGCAACTGATGAACAGGATGGGAAGCGCGTCATGCGCCCAACCTTTGAGGTAACCCGAGCGGATACTGGCTCACTCTACAACGCGCCTTTCCTCGAAGGCAGGGGCCAGAATCCAGTACAGCAGCCCAGCGGGGCAACGAGGGGTGGTTTTCCGGCGCCAGAGACTGGCGCAGCGATGAGTGTGGTGACACGGGGAGAAGGAGATTCAGAAGGGTACGGAGCTAAGGCGAGCCTTGAAGAGGACACGTCCTCCTGGATGCAGGTGGCAGTCACCTCGGAAGGATGTGAAGAGGAAACCCAATGGAGGCGCCTCTTGGGCGCGCTGGCAGCCGAGTTGGAGGCCATGGACAAGATGACAAGGGGCCCCGCAGCAGGTCAATTGCTCAGGTGGCTGTCTTTCCGAGCCACGGATGTCGAACGTGGATGCTTCCTGGGGCACATGGGTGGCAGAACAGCTGAGTTAACAGCTGTCTTAGTGGCTATGCGAGAGAGTGAGGAGGAGGCCTGCAGACTTCAAAGGGGGACTGCAGGTTTTGACTGGACCCTCAACAGCTGGCGACGAATCTGCCAATACATTCCATGCCAGGATGGGTCGCTGGAGGATTTAGGCAGACCTGTGCCGGAGGAGCTCCCAGTGATGATGCTGTTTCCGAAACCGCTGCCGTCGGTCACTCCTGAGTCGGCCCCTTTGGTTGACACGGAGGCGGAAGACGAACCGCCCCCAGCGAAGCGCCGCCTCTTACGAGTGGAGCTCTGCTCTGGATCCGGAGACAGACCGAGGACTTCTACAACCATGGAGGTACCTTTGGATGTGGAGGGCCAAGGCGAACTGCACATGTCTGTGACAATGGTGGAAGAGGATGCCCCTCTAGATCGGACGCAGCCTGGTCAGGCTGATCGATTGGTGCTGCCTGATCCGGCCCCACATGGGTTGGGAAAGTGGGGGCTTTCTGCCAGTGAATACCAGACGTTGTGGGAGAGCTGGAAAACGGGGTGTCTGGCAGTCTCCGAAATACAGCGAGTTCATGGCCCGCACGTGGCCGCCTTTGTGCAACAACATTGGGGCACCCTGCCAGTGGAGGACTACATCAATGACCCGCGGATGGGCATCAGCGATGAGCCGCCTGCGGCACAATGTGACCCACCGGCAACACGAGACGATCAAGGAGATGAAGGGGCCCTCTTTCAAGCTTGGGACTACCTGCTTCCGATAGCCATGAGCATGCCACCGGGGCCCTCCTCACCTGAGCAACTGAGGAACACGGAATTCTTCAGGTTGGCTGCCCGCCTGGTTGCCTATCTTATTGGGCAAGGAGCGGAGGAAGGCCTCCTGGCCACTGTGTTGCAGTCTCTTGCGTGGGATCGACATGAGGAGGGCTATGAGGTCATGCTCGAGAACTATATGTTAGCCATGGACCTCCCCATTGAAGGCGACTTCGCAAGGGAAGACACAGTGCTTCCACACCATAGGGATGTTATGGTCTGGTTGGAGCAAGAGCTTTGGCTGGATTATGTTGACACCATGGAAGAAGTTGCTGGCTGGGAGAGTCAGGGCATCCTCAACATGCGGGGGAGATGTGACATCACTGATGCGGACCGGAGAGCCTGGCGACAATGGGCGGATGCGGTCACCCGCGACCAACCGGCCAACACGAGGACCAGATCCCGAAGCCCCCGCCGAACAGGTGATGCGGTGAGTTTCATGGAAACAGGAGATAACAGAGGCAGACCGGGGCCCAAAGCTCGAGCGGCGCGACCTACGGGGAATGAGGAACATGAAGGGCGAGACAGAGAACGGAGCCGCAGAGGAAGCCGACCAAGTGAGGCGCCGTCAGGGTCGTCAAGGCCGGAACTTCGACGACGAGGCGGACGGTGCACGGAGGAGGTAAGGCATTTGGCTCCGAGTGGAGGCCTGGAGAGGCGTACCCAACGTCACCTCATTAGTCGGGAGAGGCCCATGGACATCAACGATGCCACGTTGTGGTGGTTACGCCTCCTCGGGCTTCGCTCGGCCTCTGAAGGGAATATTCAGAGGGCCCTCAATCCCGATGGCCACGAGGATCGCTTGAGGGAGATCCGAGACATTCCCACCTCGGATCTCATGGTGGTTATGGTCGGGCTCCTGCGAGTCACAGCCCTGCTTTGGATTGAGTGCTGCCAACTCATCTTTGCTCATCCTCACCACTCGCAGGAGGTTGAGGTTACTGTAGAGGAGGAGGATGAGACAATGTGGATGCAACTGCCAAGGTCGGATGATGAAGAGAGCTGCCCCAACCACTGGGATGGAACAACGACTGATGAAGAGAACTTTGGCCTTGACCGACGACGGGTGGACCGTGCAGGGCCAGCTGCACGCAGAAGTGTAGCCCACCTTGATGGGGAGAGGGTGGAGACATCCCTGGACGAACTACTTGCAGATGAGAGGGAAGCCAGGGCGGACTATGATCGGGAGTGTGAACAACGGGCGGAGCAACTGCACCAGCGAGAATGTGAAGAAGAGGCCCAGGCCGCTCTGGATGAGGTGCACTTTCGCCAGTTCGAAGCTCAAAGGTACCGTGATTGGGAGGCTTGGGTGCTTCTCAACACGCCCCCAGATGGACCGCGCCGGCTCAGGGTCAGACTGCTGGTTGAGCAGGCAGGCCACCACATGCAGTCGGAGGGAGACATGTTGGTGCGACTTGGGCAGCCACTTGCAATGACGATTCAGCTGGCCGAGGTCCAAGAACCCCTTGGTGCCCCTGCAGAGACACACATGGTACCTGGACAGAACACGGTAGCAGAGGCAACAAGTGGAAGTGCCCCAACTGGTCAGGACTCGTTGGTGGTGGCACATCCGGACCTTTATCGTGACTGGGTGGCTGGGCTACTGACTGATTCGCAGGTGGTGCAACAAGTGGGCGAGCAAGTTTTTGTGGTTTTTCTGCTGCAAAAAGAGGAGGACCAGGGTCGGGGCTTGCCAATACATGGGGACAGCAGTGAGGTGATGGACGTGGAGACCACACAGAGGGAAGTTACATATCCTGAAGCCAAGCATCGCAGAATGGATGGACCTTGAGGGTTGCAGGCTGATGGAAACATGCTCGGATGTGCTGAGGTGCTGTACTTTTGCTGGGATGTGAGCTTGAAGCCCGTAAGTGGCGGACTAGCCTTCCCCCACGGGATTTCCGACACGCGGATTGCAAGTTGGAAAAGAGGCGCTTAAAAAAAAAAAAAAACCCTAAACCCTAAACCCTAAACCCCTAAACCCAATACGCAGAGCTCAAAAAGCCACAATCCGATGCAGGCCACCATGAACGCGGGCTTTGGCTACCCGGACTCTATCACTGCGACGCGAACTCAGATCCCCACAGTCTAGATCGAGACTACACAGATACAATATACATACATTTGTATATACATATATACATATATATATATATATATATATATATACACATATGTATGCATGTATACATATGTATATATATATATATATATATATATATATGTATATGCAGACACAGAGAGTATTCACAGATCTACTCTGACACGAACATGGAGACCATGTCTTCGCGCATGCTTGTAAACTCCGACAGTCGATAGATGTGCATGCCTTTGTGTCTTTGTGCGCCGTGTGGGGACGACGATCGCTTACCCATCGACACGTGCACACACCAAGAGCTGTTGGCTAAAGAACCCCAGATAGCGAGTTGTCAGAAATCGTGATAGTGCAAAAGCCACAAGCTTCTCAAGTACCCTAAACCATCCCTAAACCCAAACCCGAAACCTAAATCTTAGCATCAACTTCGATCCAATCTATTTCCACCATCGATAAGTCAAGTGCAAAACCAGACAAAGCCTTCTGGGAGCCCGTTGGAGGGGACACTTGCAGCAAACCCCGTTTTGGCGCCCTTTAGGGTTCAGGGGGCCTTTTGCGAAACTCACATGGAAATTTGAAAGCAACCTTGCAGGATCTTCGAAACCCATATAGGGGTGCTAGAATCACTACCAATAGCCAGTGTACCCTTACAGTCCCTAACATGACTTTTCCATAATCTACCCCGAAGCCCGAGTCTGTACATAGTTATTAAGTTGCCTGCGCTACTCTCGGAACTCGAAAACCAGTATTCATTATGATGTAGCAGGCCCCTAAACCCTAGACCCTAAACCCGACTCAGGGCCCATATATTAAATGTTCAAGACAAAAGCAGCTCCGAAGCCTCCGGATTTCAGCCTAAGCTCTGGAATGCCTGGCAGTTCAAAGTTTTTTCTGGAGCGCGGATTCCACCCAGAGACTCCAATATCCCTAAATCAAGGAATATTCCTTAAACCATATTAGGGATCCTACTATAATTTAAGGTATCTTCCTTAATTAAGGGGTTTTTGGAGTCTCTGGGCACATGATTCTCGCTCCCGAAACCCCCCTGCCCACGTGTGACCATTTAGGGCCCTGTCGGCCTAGGCCCGAACCACAACCCAAGAGTAAAAGGAGGGACCCTTAATAAGGACCCCTACCTTAAGCCGGAATAACCTACCTTTTTAGGGTTCCTTATTATAATTTCCTTATATAAGTCCTTAAAAAGGTAGGTTATTCCGGCTTAAGGTAGGTATATACCCTTAGTTTAGCTGTTATATACCCAGTATATAGCCCATTATAGGGTAGGGGTCCCCATTAAGGGTCCCTCCTTTTCCGCTTTGACATAAGCCATCCCCTGAGACTTCAAACATAGAAATACATCATACTGCGAGGTTTAAAGTCAACAAAAAGATACCTTTCTCGGGCGGTTTGGGTCTTAGGGATCATGTAAGTAGGTGCTCCAGTAGCACCCTTGTAGCTTTTCCTTTCAGGAGTTTCCTATGTAGTATAGTAGAACTGACAACCAGGAAAAAGTGCAGGATATTTTTGGGGAACCTAAACCCTGTAACCTTGGGTCCCAGGGTGCCTCAGCTAGGGTGCCTCTAGACCGCGAAATCCTTAGAATGCGAAACCCTGAAATCCCCAAGCCGAAACCGTGAACTCCTTGGATGCCCAGGGTGCCTCTAAATACCGAAACCCGTCGAATGCCAAACACTAAACCCTAAACCTTAAACCCTATAAACCCTAAACCCAGTGAAACCCTTCGAATGCCCAGGGTGCACATGCTTTGCACCTCTTTGGTGGCGCTCCTCTTCGAGAAGCCTCGTCTGGAAGAGGCCGTGGTGTTCTTCTACGGTTGATATAAATCCCTAGGGTTCCCAAGGGATCTATAGGGGTACCTTTAAGGGGTTCCCTTTAAGGGATCTATAGGGTTTTGGGGTTTAGGGTTTAGGGTTGATGATATAAATCCTGCATTACCTTAAGGACCCGAAACTATGGGAATTATAGTATATTCCTTATGGGTAACGCAGGATTTATATCATCAACCGTAGTTCCTTTCTTCTCACTGGTCAACCTAGTTACTACACTAGATTATCATATAACCTTTTTTTGGTATTATTACGTTAATTCCATTCTTCTCGCTCTTCTTCTTGCTGGTTAAACTGCTATTGCATGAGTTACCCTCTCATTGTTATTGCTACTTTAGTTGCTACTGTTCATCTTCTTCCTAAATAGCTAAACTACTATTAAACTATTCATTGATTTAGTGTCATTGTTACTGTTACCCCTACTCTTATTCATATTATTTCAGTTGTTATTTGCCATGGCTGTTACTGTTGCTACTCCAATTACCGTTACTATGTGACTGCGTGTATCTGCTCAGGCCCTCCCCCCATTATCCATGTCCGCTTCCCTGGAAAGCAGTGGATCATGGAGGTCGGGATACTTCCAGGTTGTGACCCGCCAGTACTGCTGTTATTCTTATCACTACTACGGCTATTCTGTGTGTAGCGGCGGGGGGGGGAGTCTACCGATCTACCCTCAGGTCCCTTTGGGTAGAACTCAGTCGGAGATCGATCGAAAGCTTGCGGTCCTGTCAAGGTCTGTCTGTTGTCAGAGTAACACCGTGTTTCTCAAGCCTCGCTAAGGGTTAGGGTTTGGGATTTTAGGGTTTTGGGTTCAGGGTTTATTTAGGGGTTTAGGGTTTAGGGGTTTAGGGTTTAGGGGTTTAGGGGTTTAGGGTTTAGGGGTTTAGGGTTTAGGGGTTTAGGTTTTCCGGGATGGGTGTTTTAGTACTCAGACTCAGAAGCCTTAAACCCGAAACACGGCACGCAAGTAACAATCTGCGGAAACGGAAAGCCTGGAAGCCCAAGCACGAACCCTAAACCCTAGACCCCAAACCCTGAAGCGCAAAAGCTTTGGATAGTGGTTTTGCTCCGGGGCCACGAACTTGGAGATCGGGATCCTCCGCATGTTAGAGTACAGCTTAGGGTTTGCTTGGGTTTAGGGTTTTATCTTTATGTTTAATGGTGATCTCCGTACGAGAGAGTGGCCGGGCATACCAAAGCAAAAGCCCAGACAGAGCGAGGCCTGGGTGGTTCTGCCCATCTCGGCCGTGAGCCCAGAAAATGCAGTGTTTATATGGGAGTTTGGGAAAATTAGGGGTACCTCATTTTGGGGTAAGGATCCTACTATTTAGGGTACTATATTAGGGTCCCCCATTTTCGGAAACTCCCATATCAGAGGTAGCAGCAGATGCGGTTAAGGGCTTAAGGTTTAGGGTTTGGGGTTCCTGGCATAGGGGCTCTAAGAATTTGGTAATAGTAGCATCCCCTTATGATCCCCATATTCCTATTCTTAGCAAGGCCGCCGTCGTTGGAATGTTTTAAGCTTACGAAATCAAGCTTCAGGAATCTAGACAGCTGCGCTTCGTCTGTGGTTTTGGAAGCTCTCGTAGCCTTGTTGCGTGACGTGGACTTGTTCCCGCCAGCATGCAGCGCCTTCGTGGTGATGGATACCATGCTTTTCAAGGCCAAGAACTTGGGGAGACACGTCGGCTACCACCCCGAGATCGTCCACTCCTGGCAACTTGTGCGTCTGGCCTTCTGCACCACTTCATCCGCGACGTGAGGAAAGCCATTCGGGCAGCCAGAGACTCGGGTGCTGAGAGGTCATCGGTGGCAATGCTTACGTTCTCTAAGAGCAGCAACCACAGCTCTGTGGCCATGGCTTAATTATTGCACCACGCTCCCATATGTTCCCGGAGCCTGAAATGGGGTTGAGCTCCTAAACCCTAAACCCTACTTTTGGAGTACATGTGAACCGCTGAGAAAGACACCTTCCGACCCACTGGTTCGGGGCGACAGGGTCTGTGGTGATTTGGATCTAGATCTCGAGGCGTCTCTAGGACATTAGGGGTTTAGCGTTTAGGGAGTTTGGGATTTATCTCGAGGCTTCTCCAGGGACGAAGCCCAAAGTCTTGAAGAACTTAGCCGGCTAGGAAGTCGGGCCCAGCCCACATTTGGCTCAGAGTCTTGGGCTTGTGACATCTTGTTGAAGCCGATCCTTATCCCTCGCAACTCCTTAAGGATCCCTGATAGAACTCTTGCAGGGGCCGGGTGGAGCCCCTTATAGATCCTCAAAAGATTCTGGAGCCTTTACACACTTCCTGAGCCCTTAAAGGATCCTTCAATGGTTTGTTTAAGTAATCTCTGGGGGGGGTCCTGTATTCAAAGCATATGATATCATATTTCTTTATTGCATGATACTATTCGAGAAGATGATATGATATGATGTTCGGCTGCTCCGATCAACGAACCAGGATCGCGTTCGATCCAGATTCAAATTCCTAGTGGCCGCTTCTGGTGTCTCCCTGTTCCTAAGACTCCAAGGGTGAGTGTAATATAGGGGCCTCAATAATTGCCTATACTATTTTGGGGATTCCCTATTAAGAGTATAATGGGCCACCAAACAACATTCTAATTATTAAGGCCCCTATAGTAAGCAGACTGAAGCAGCAACTCTTTTTGACCTTGCTAGACCCATACTTCAGGATCAAATCAGCCCAGAAGGCACTCTTTGGCGTAGTCTTTGGGCCCAATATAAGCAAACACAAGCAGATCAACCTCAACCCTATGTAACCTAAACCCCCCCGGGCTCCTTACTATGATTTCGAATTATAGGAAGTTTAGGGTTTAGGGTTTAATAATTATATTGTTGATGATATAAATGCTGCATTACCCATAATGAGGAATATACCGTAGTACCCATAGTTTAGGGTCCTTGAGGTAATGCAGGATTCTTATTATGCACCGTATGTAACCTATACAGTGTAGGGCGCCTTACTATGATTTCCCTCCATAGGTCCTTAAGCAGGTAGGTTCCTTAGGGTCCAATTACGTAGGAAATGGGGTCCAAAGGGTCCTAGGTATTGTTATAAGGAACACTCCATCCCCCCAAATATATATATATATATATATATATATACACACATATCAACAGTAATTCCTAGTATCGAAACCGCACATTCTACGTTTTTCGGTGCTTTGGACCCTTTGGGGAGTTTTCCCTACCTACAACATCCATTGCAGTTCCTTTCTTAGGACCTTATATAGCCCATGTGTAGATGTTTTGGTACTTTGGACCCTTTCGTAAGCCCTAAACCGATTGGGGGGATCTCTGGCATTCAGGGCTGGGCGGTCCCAGGTCGTCAGCGGCGCCTCGCTTCTTACGAACAACACGGCCATGCTCTACGGAGGCGGTTTTTGGGGGGTCTAGGATTTTGGATTTCTACCGGCTCGCGACGACCTACCTAAAGTCTCCATTGTAGTTCCTTTTTTTGGTTATCCAGTTTTATGGTTAGGATCCTATAATAGAGATTTTGGTTAACCAAAAAAAGGAACTACAATGGAGACGATAGGTACTTTCAAAACTGTAAAAGGCTGCACTCCGATGGAAGCTTCTTCGTTCTCTAAACTTGGGTACGGCCCCCCATACAGTAACAGTCTATCATAGGGCTACTATTAAGGGCCTTATAGATCTATGTTATGAATATTATCCAACTGTTACTGAGTGGGGGCCGTACCCCACTCTAAACTCTAGACTTTGAGTTTGCAAAGTATGAAGGATACCTGAACCCGTGGGCATAAAGGCTAGAGTGATAATTACCTAGAACACCGATCCTAACAAATCCCAAACGCACAGACCGTAAACTCCAAACTTCTGAGGATTCGTGTGGTTTGCTTGTTGTAGCCATATGCATACGCATGAGGTACTTGAGTTTTGTACGACAGGTTTTGGGAGTCTACATGGGGCTGCAAATTAAGTCTAGGGTAGTGTGGAGTGTATATATGGATGAAGTTGCCAGGCTACAAGTAGCCCGAAGTCAACACACAGCAATGTTAGAAGCAGGGTTAGAAGCAGGGTTCACAGTCGAGTCATTCAAGAATGCTCATAGCTTCACGATCGTAGGGTGTCAGTTGGAGGGCCGTGGGCTTCTACGGGCTTCAGGCCGAACAGCCCAGCACCCATTAGTTATGGCATATAGTATACTTCAAAGTCCTCTTCGTTGTAGCGGCTTCTAGTCATTATGGTCGATGAAGATCTTCCTTACTCCAAGGCGTACAGTAGAGGAGCTCTTTGCAAAGATGCCGTGGTTGTTTTGTCTTTGGGTGAGGGCTGCCGGCATTTCCTGATCAGACAGTTTGGGGTCAGGTTCAGGAGTTCAGGGTTTGGGGTTGCATCTGTGGAGCGATAGTTCAGTCAGAACCTCGGTTCTGTTGCGTTTTCAACCTAGCGGGGTTCCGGAGCGCTGTCTGTATGTCTGTCTGTCTGTCTGCTTGCTTCCTGCTTGCTGGCTTGGTGTTCGTGTTTTTTTGTGTGTGTATGTGCGTATGCGTTTTGTTTGTTTGTTAGGTTTGTTAGTCTTTGTGCTTATCATCATTCGACAATTTATTGTATATGGACCTGTAGCTTCCCTCTCAAGATGGTACGTCCTGGGATCTCAGGGCAAGTCAACGGTTCAGGAAGCTTAAATCCTAAACCCCCGACCCTAAACCGTTTCGTTCGTCAATCAGTCAATGAGACATCGACGCCCGAAAGCCTGAGCCGCAGCCCATGGATAAAGCTTACTATAGGGTTTATGGTGTAGGGCTTAGGAGCCTGACTTAAGCCCTGACTATTTCGATGTGGTCTCTGTCCGCAGGGTTGAACTTATGGGGTTTCGAGTTTTGAGTAGACGCCCGATGGGATCGGCTTCTACAAACATCCTCACAGACAGAGACCCGAGTCTTCAGACAGACCCAGATGAGTTTCCAGAACACAGTTAGGCATATGCTTGTAACCGGTTAGTGGGAGTCAATTTAGAAGACTTTTGTAAAGCTGACCGAAGTGTCCGCAGCACGAAGCTTTGCCAAGACTCGATTCTGCCGTTAACCTGTGTGGTGACACGTCGACTGCGTATCAGGGCGGTGAGGTTCAGACCCCCGATTGACCAATCTCTCTTCCTACATAAGGCTTGCAAACCCCAAAGGGTCTTGCCCAGACCTGCCAAAACCCCTTAATTAAGGAATATACCTTAAATTATAGTAGGATCCTTAATATGATTGAAGGTATATTCCTTAATTAAGGGATTTTGGAAGGTCTGGGTGTGTACCTATATAGCAGACTGTAGGGTTTCTGTATGAGGAACTACTATTATGTTCCAGGGAAGTATCTTCTCATAACTGTACATAGGCTAATAGGACCCTTTGGGAACAGAATCTGGACATGACTTTCTTGAAAATCGCTCGCAGCCTGAACGTCTCTCTACGCACATTAAAACTAGTGGCTCACTAGACAATTGTCATACATCTGATTTTGGCGCATTCGTTTCAATCGTTCAAACGACGTTTGTGCCTTTAAACCACAAAGATTGTCGTCTTTCAGCCGCAAGCCCCAGACCGCAACCTAAAATTATTGTTCGACAGTGTGTTAAGGGTTCGAGAGCTGCATGCTCTTTGAATCCCGGCATGACTGAATATTCCTGCCAACGACCATGCATCACGGAACACATGGGTAAACGGGTAGACTCTGTAACCCGAGCTTGTGCCGATGACTCTATGTCATTCGACTGTATGTGTTGAACACCGAAACCCCAGTACACGACAAGATACTGTGCTGTTCTATGCTATCACCATACCATGCTACGCTATACTAGTAGTTGTAATACCCTATTCTAAACACAAGGCCCCCAATAGACCCTGCAGAATCTGCAGTCCCGTGCCAGTTCTTCGGAGGAGTATTTAGATGCTTGCACTCTTATGGGCCTGTGTCAGGCCTCCACATACTCAGTATTAAGGGGCATCGTGGGGTACCCGAAACCTTCAACCCAAACCTTAAACCGTAACCGAACGATCCTAAAGCCCGTGCGGCCTGGGCATTCTGGTCTGAAGGCTCTGGCCCCAGCCAAAGCAGAGCAACAATCTTGGAAAACGTGATTTGCATCATATGAATGAACGAGCCCCATAAATCACAGGACCGTTAATATTGGACCCCCACATATGCTTCAAAGACTGCGTGAATACGTCTTTGCTTTTTGTGCGACACTGGTGTGTTTGCGTTTTAGAAACACGTTTAGGCAATACCCTACACCACAAACTATACACATTTTAATCATTGTTAAGGGCTTTTGCAAAGAAACCATATTGTAGGGTGTAGGTTTATATCGTGATTTGGTTTTGGACGTTGGCAACGGGGGGACTTACCAGCGCTCTCCAAGGCACCGTCTGTCGGTTAACCACATTTCATTAAACACCACACGCCAAAAAGAGAAGCCCGGCAAGCAACAAGAATCAACAACATTAATAAATCCAGGAAATTGGTGTCTTAGCTTGGGGGTTGTTCGCAGAGGGCTCCTTTAGGGGTCTAGGGTTTAGGGTGCACGCTGAGGGTTCGGATGTAAATTTTACAAATTCCAGAGCCTTACAATTCTACAGCCGGAGCTACCGCTACCCAGTTCCTATGCAAATCGGAAGGAATCCGGAGCCGAACATATACACATAAAGGATTGAGTCGAGTGTATGTACATATCTCGATTAGTACTCATAGTGCATAATATATATATATATATATATATATATATATATATATGTATGTATAATTTCCACCTTGTAGAGTTTTAGGGTTCGGGTTACGGCTTAGGGCTCGCGGGAATGATATCACAATCTTGAAGTTTAGGGGTTGAGGGTTTAGGGTTTGGGGGTTTGGGGTTGAGGGTTGAAGGTTCAGGGTTTAAGGTTTAGGCTTTAGGGTTGCCGGGCCGGGGGTAGAGTGTAAGATCTTGCACATTTGCTGGCAAGCATACGGCAGGTGTAGCCTTCGTTTCCATGGTCGCCGCGCACTGAGGGTATTCAGGGAGGCAAAGGAACCCTACTAAATGCTGGACCCAAACCTCTAATTACACTGTAATTCCGAGGAGTGTTGGATAAAGGGCATCCCCCTAGATTCAAATCTTGAACACCGAGCGAAACCTCCAAACACCCTACCTGAATCTGAAGAAATAGCGGTTCAATTAAGCCTCCGCCGCCCAAACTCTTATCCCCCCCAGCCCCCAACACTGCCAAGAGATCCCAACTGAGAGCATTGAGGAGCCCTGAAGAATGCTCAACATTAGAGTCCTCCAGGGTGTACAGGGCTTTGGCTTGTGCGTGGCTTTTAGGATTTACATGGGGGTACGGACTGGAGGTTCCGATCTTCGAGAGTGTAGAATGCTGGCTTGGGGTTCCTCACCGATTGATCAACCTAGTAGTAGAGTAGGCAACCTTTAACCTTTTTGGGGTAGTATAGCCCCTATACAATCCCTGTGTAACCAAAAAAGACCTTTAGTTCCCCATGATACCCGACAAGTAGGTCAATATGCCCGAAACCGGCGAAACCATGAGGGCCGATGACTGTTTTTCAGAAGCCCGAGGGCCTCCATGGTTGCAACAGAAACCCAGACCTTCCAAAATCCCTTATTTCGGGAATATACCTTAAATTATAGTCAGATCCTTAATATGATTTAAGGTATATTCCTTAATTAAGGGGTTTTGGAAGGTCTGGGAACATCAGTCATGATTCGCTGAGTCCTCCTGCACTCCTATGTTCACGTTTATGCTCGAGCTGGTCAAGAAGAGGCGGCATTGCAGGGAGGGTGCAAGATACTCACAAAGCACAGAGACTTTCCATAGAAGGTTCTGCGTGGTTCTGCCTTGACCCTGATCCTGGTCTGTAGTCTAACTTGGAGTGTTTTTTTGCTCGTTATTCAGCGGCCTTAGGAATGTGTATATAAGGGGCCTAGAACTGAAAGTTTCACACGTTGGTGTATTGGTAGTTGTCAACGCGACGTCCCTGGCACACATCATAGCACAAATCTTGGAATGGGTCCGGTGTCAAGTCAAGTGCAGTATTGACTAGCGAAAGATCACTTACGACGCTCTGAGGCCTCTTGTATCCACATACGATCCTAACCTTTTACTGCTCCTGCCTTTCTCCCATGTAACTTCTCAACGTGTAAGCGGACCTTTAGGGCCTTAGGGTAGTTTCCAGCGTATCAGCATATCAAGAGTGCCTGTAAGGCAAGAGGATGCAGGGCGCAGCGCGCATTGGCTCGTGTTCAGCTTAAACCCCGAGAGCCCTGTATCTAATCAGCACCCACAGCTGCAACTGCCCTGCCACCCTAGACCCAAGTAGCGACTCTAAGCCGCAAGAGTCCCGAGATCCACCCTAAGAGAGTCAAGGCATTAAACCTTGAACCTTAAGTATCAGCCTCCAAAGTTCGGGGCTTGGGGACTCTATGGCTTAACTTAACTTTAATCCTTCAAAGCTAGGGGTCAAAGCATAACCACGTGCACCCCGCAAGAGTAGCTTCTGCTACATGTACAAGTTATTTCGATCAAAAGCCCAAGTACCTTGTCATGGATCTAGTCCTCCTCGCAAGCCTTGTAAAACCCCAAACCCTGACGGCCTTGACCTTTCTTTCGGCTGTTGCAGTTCGAACAGTGGCGCTAAAGCAACACGACCTGACCCTTTGAAGCCCTAATCGATCAAGTCACAATCAGGAAGGAACACCAACAAAGTTGCTGGTTTCTTTGGATTCAGTTAGTCCATAAGCTTTAAACTCTCAGCAACAAAGACCCTAAACTAAACACCTAAACTACCTTCAATCACATACCCGAAGCCCCCTGCGAAAGGAGGGCTCTGGATTTCCTGACGGCCTTCTCAGTGGTCTTGGTGTGCAGCATGACTGGACTAGGGTTTAGGGTTTATAGGGTGTTTGCTGGGCTTTGCAGCTACAGCTGTGTTCGGCATGTTTCTTGCTGTATCCCCCTTCTCCATCCGTGCGACCTATGCTGACCCTACTACCCTAAACCCCAAACCCTAAGCCGTTACCATAAATTCCTTTCTGGGGTTAAGTAACGGGATCTAGAAGGGCTTCTTAAGGTTTCAAAACAGGCTACTATACGTTATAATGCCCTTATCGAGACCTTATAGAATCCCTTATAGATCCCTTTAAGGAATCCTGGACCCAATAAATTGTACGCTTTTCTTCGTCTCCTGAGGCAGCGGCAGCATCTTCTGCGTTCGTGGGGAGAAGGCCCGGGGATTTCTTTCGAACCCCTGGTCATGCATTTGCTCCATTTGCTTCCATAGCTGTGCACCTGCCTATCTATCTATACACATATGTGTACAGTATACATGTATATGCATATATATATATATACATACACACACATATATATATATATATGCACTTATCCATATCTTTATATCTATATCTATTTCTATATATATATATATACGTATATTGATATGATTATGTATATACATATACAGACATCTATAGCATATACTTTGTTGCTTTCTCGACGCGAGCTCTGGACCAGATCAAGGCCCCTACATGAGACCCCGAGAAAGTTCATCTAGGATGCCCAGTAGTACCCTTAGGGATCTATAAGGGTTCTATAAAGGGTTTAGGGTTTCCGAAAATTAGGGACTAGGATGCCCAGTAGTACCCTTATTCCTTTTTGTAGTCCTAGGTTCCTTATAAAGTTACCCAATACCAAAAAGACAGGCCCTTTTGTTCTTAGGTTACTGGGTATCCTAGTCATGGTACATCGTTCATGATACTGCTCATGGACAAAATCCTGCATTACCCATTGTAAGGAATATACCATAATTCCCATATTTTAGGAATATGCCATAATTCCCATATTGTAAGGAATATACCATAATTCCCATAATTTAAGGAATATTCCCTTATTCCCATAATTTAAGGAATATACTATAATTTTTCCATAATTTAGGGTCCTCAAGGTCATGCAGGATTTTGTCCATCAACAGTACGACTCGATGACATGATCTGTCTATAAACCCCATAATTGTTTAGGGTTTTAGGGGTTTAGGGTTTAGGGTTCCTTTAAAGGGATGCACAAGGGATCCTGGAGGGTTCCCTTTAAGGGATAAGCGATTCTTAAACGAACTCTGAGTCGGTCCCTAAAGGAACCCTGAGTCGTACCTCAAAGTAACCCTCATACACTTGTAGATGTTTGAAGGAGCCCTTCACCGATCCTTAAAGTAACTCTTAAGCCTATAGACACTAAACCCCAAACCCCCTAGTAATCTTTAAAAGGAACCCTAAATCGATTCCTTAAGGCACCCTCATATAGTACCTCAGATACTAGGATCCTTACTAGAAGGACCCCAAAGAAGGTACCCCTAAGCTTCGCAAACTCTAAAACTAAAGCCCCAATAGAGCCCTTTAAAGGAACGCTTATAGTACACTTATAGGAGCCCTTTAAAGGAGCCCTACATCGATCCCTAAAGGCACCCTCGATTGTAACTTCCAGGCTTATGGATGTTTGAAGGAGACCTAAATCGATCCTTAAAGGAACTCTTACACTTATAGACACTCAAAACCAAATCCTAAATCCCTTACTAATCCTTAAAAGGAGCCCTAAATCGATCCCTTAAACCCGCATGAACCCTTAAAGGAGCCGTAAATCGATCCCTAAAGGCACCCCCGGCTCGATTGTAACTTCTAGGCCGCCTCGCTGCTTTCCTTGGTCTTCGCCGCTGCCGGTTCGATGCTTCGTGCCTTGGCCGACCCTAGGATTTAGGGTTTAGGGCTTAGGGTTTAGGCTTTAGGGTTTAGGCTTTAGGGTTTAGGGTTTAGGGCCCTAAAAAAGAAGGGGTAGCTGTATAGTAGAATGTAGGGTTTCTACAATAGGAAATACTGTTATGATTCGGGAGAGTATCCCCTGAATCCTAAACCCCAAACCCCAAACCCTAAACCCAAACCCTATAAATCCCAAACCCTAAACCCTAAAACCTAAGCCGTGTCGTGAATCTGATTTGGGGCTTTATAGGGTTCAGGTTCCTTTAAAGGGATCTACAAGGGTTCCTTTAGGGTTTAGGGCCCCCCCAAAATGAGGGGTACCTATATAGTAGAATGTAGGGTTTCTACAATAGGAATTGCTGTTATGATTTGGGAGAGTACCCCCTAAACCCTAAACCCCAAATCCTAAACCCCAAACCCTAACAAACTCCAAACCCTAAACCCTAAAACCTAAGCCGTGTCGTGAATTTGAAGTGGGGGTTTGTAGGGTTTAGGTTCCTTAGAAGGGAACTGGAAGAGTTTTTCAAGGGCTTATAGGGTTTAGGTTCCTTTAAAGGGATCTACAAGGGTTCCTGTAATGGTTTAGGGTTTAGGTTCGTTCAACTCAGGAATCTATGTGGGTTCATTTAAGGTTTTGGTGCTTAGGTTCCCTTAAAGGGATCTGTGGGTTCAGGAGTCTAGGGCCTGGTGTTTTGGGGCTTTCGAGCTTTGGGTTTTAGGGTTTAGCCTAATTAGTGTTGAGGGTCCAAGTTTTGGGTGTGGGTTTGAGGGTTTGGACCAACATCGAGTTTGAAGTCACACAGGGGAAGAAGTTTGGGTGGTGGGGCTACATTTCTTTTGTGACGCGGTTGGGGTTGAGGGCGTGATAGGGGTTCAGGGCTAGGGGGGCAGGGGGTGGGGCTTTGTGATATTTGTGTTTGGTTTCTATGGTTTTACATGACTACGGGATGTGGTTTTCTATGAGCTTTCTATCGGGGTTTACAATGTGGTCTCCCTTGGCTTCACGCGTATTTAGGTCTGGGGGAGTGGAGGTTTGGGGGTTGGACTTTCCGAGTGAGGTCTACGAGAGGTACAGGATATTCCAAAACGGTAGACCCACTTCAACCCTAAACCGTCAGGTAGTGCAGGACCCTTAACCCCAAACCGCCGACCTAGGATACTCTCGTGCCTGAGGACTACTTGAAAGCCGAACTTACCTGTTTAGGAACGACCTCGTAGGGGAAATCAGAAGCAAGAGTCCGGAACATGCAGAAAATGTAGAAGTTTGGGGTTTACTGAAGGCTCTACGAATTCAGATGTCGAGGTCTAGTTGCACAAAGACCAGTAAAACACTTCCTATATAGGTACTTTGGAGCCAACGTATATGCTACATGAGTACATGGACCCATAGGGATTGGTGAGTGTATCGTTGATGTGCCCTTTGTGGCCCAGGGAGTAGAAACCCTAAACCCTAAACCGGGGTTTAGGGCACGAGACCAGGTGCGATGAAAGGTGTCTGGCAACACGTGCCTTGGCCTTGAGGTTTCGCAAGCTAGGTTCCCCCAGCAGTGCCCTTTTGCCACCTTTTCTCTTTTGGGGGTTCCCTTATTAAAAGCAAATAGTGGTAGGGAAAATCAAAAAGGGTACCCTTTCAATAAGGGGTTCGCCTGGTCAGAGGGTCTACTTAGCGTGGCAGGCTTCATGGGTGGTTTAGGGTTTAGGGTTTAGGGCTTGGTCAGGGAGAGTGAGGTTAGAGCGAGTTGGTTGCACCGCAAGCCGTATTACTATTCGATGCTGCATGTTTGTGTGCCACCTTGTTCAGAATTACGTGTTCTAGAAGTCTGCGGACACGCCGGCAGTACTTTGCATCATGTGGTTCCTACACCGTTGTGTTGCTTCTACACTATTTGCATTGGTTCGTATCTTGCATGTGTTATCATGTGTGGGGATCTTGCTAGTCCTGCTAGTCTTGTTTGCGGTGGCTTTCCTCTTCCTGAACCCTAAACCCTAAACACTATAAGCCCTAAGCCCTATAAGCCCGAAGCCCTAAACTCTGAACCCTATAGGCCCTAAGCCCTAAACTCTGAACCCTACAAGCCCTAAACCCTAAACCCTATAGGCCCTAAACCCTAAACTCTATAGGCCCTAAGCCCTAAACTCTAAACCCTTTAAGCCCTAAGCCTTAAACTCTCAACCCTATAGGCCCAAAGCCCGAAACGCTAAACCCTAATCTCGCCCAACCTGGCTTCGGATCTCAGGAACTCCTCAGCGTCTCCGTGACGCCGATGCGGCTCCTCGGCTCGAAGCAGAGAGATGGGAGTTTCCGAAAATGGGGGGGGGGGGACCCTAATATGGTAATTACCCAAAATGGTAGGATTCTTACTATACGGACCCCAAGAGGAGGTACCCCCCAATTTTCGGAAACTCCCCGATCGATCAACATAGGGGCCTTTTTCTTGGGCTCCATAGTAGTTCCTTGTTGAGGTTACCTTATAGGATCCTAGTCTGACAGAAGTCTAAGTACCCCTGGGCTCCATAGTAAATCCCTTTTTGGGGATTCGTACATGGAATCCTGGAAGGTACTTCCAAGAAAGAACTACTGTGGAGCCTATGGGTAGGGGCCTTAACAACCAGAATAGGGTTTTGGGGTATACTTCATTACAAAAGGGAGCCCGGTGGAGTGAGCTAGAGTGAAGATTCAGGATATTGGATCCTTATGCAGGAGAGACATCCTTTATGTGCGGATCATCGTCCCTGCTGGGTTCTCCATGAAGAGCCATATCCTAGGCTTCGGATTTAACTAGATGTTAGGGCGTTTGACATTTGAGATGTAGAGTCCAGGACGTGATGCAGGGTTTCGGTGGTTTTAGGGATAATGAGCTCTCTAGCTAAGGCCCCTTACCCCAAGTGACCTCAAGCAACCTTCCTTGGTGAACCACAACCCTACACCATAAACCTTAAATACGCAACATCCACAAACCCTGAGCTTAGAGACCCAACACCTCGAACAAAGAACAAACCTTGGCGAGGTGCACTGAACGAATGGGGGGGCACCATCGATACCTCAACTCAAGAAGCAACCCTAGTGATAGCCAACGCAGCACTGCGAAAGAGAGATTACGATGTTGTGGTGGTGACACATACTCTGAGTAGTTATGCAAGAAGTAGGTATGAGGGAGGCATGCAGGTTTTCGTGAGGCCAGAAGAAATACCACTGAGACATACAAGATCTTCAGGCATGCAGTGGACGATCCCCATCACACTCTCCCCTGCCGCTGAAGTTCAGCGGCGATCGAGCGGTCTACCCTCCGCCACAGCCTGGACTCGCAGTGTCAACCATGAACTCTGAATCCTAGGCTTGTCTTCTGGAGTGGCTTCTGGTCATTCTGGATCACGCTGGTCATGGTCTTCGTGAATGAGAAAGGGGAGGTGTGGGGTTTAGGGGTTTAGGGTGTGGGGGTTTCTCGCGCAATACCCCTCAAATAAGGAATGTTGAGGGGTTGGCAGTGATACTATACCCTTCGGCGTGATCATACTCTCCCCCCGTACTGAGGGCTTAAGCCTTTTGCGGTTTAGTGTTCAGAGGACTTACGTACTTTTGGCTTGAAAGGACCTGAGCCACCGAATGTGGACAGACCTCGGAACTCGCAAACGACAAAAAGACCCGAGTCCAGAAGAGTTTAGGTTCGGCAAATATCAATGATAAGCTTTCCTCTGCCACTTTTTGTTGAAGCAAAGATGGATTCACTTGTCTGCGATATATATATATATATTAAGATGACACTATTCCTGGCTCCTCAGACCTTCCAAGGGGAGATTCCGAAGATAGGGGACCCTAATATAGCACCCTAAATACTAGGATCCTTATTATCAGGGCCGCCAAGACAAGGTACCCCCAATTCTCGGAAACTCTAGAACTAAAGCCCCAATAGAGCCCTTTTTCAGGGAACCCTTATAGTACCTTTGTAGGAGCCCTTTAAAGGATATGCTGATCCTGCAGCTCGACCCTGCAGGCGTTCTCGCACTTCGCAGAGGCTTCCAGGGAAGCGAAGATGTCGTGCCCTGGCTCTTATTGCGCCTCCAGGGGCTACCGGGACCCCAAAAAGTATATACAATAATGGCCTTTTATAAGTATTGGGCCATTATTTTACCTACTTATGGGGGTTTAGGTATGGCTTTTCGGTGTTCGAGTGTTTCGGATCATACGCCGTTGTTCCCACGTTTCTTACTTGGTCAGTTCTTTGGTTTGGGAGACATGGGAGCAGAACTTTGAATCCCATATGTCATGGTAATTATCATCCTTGGCCCCCTGTTGTATCTGTCAAAAAAAGGACGTCACTGAAACATCGTAGGAGGGAGGACGACGCAAATGTTCCGACAACAGACCCGCAGCTGGAGTCTTTGAAGCCTGAGCAACCAGGCCTGAAAACAGTTTAGAAGTTAGGCAACCTATATCATCTCACAACGAATAGTCCCAATACATTTACAAAACAACCGTAAGAATGTCCTACCACGCCTGCATAAAGCTTTCTGACAAGGTTCTTGTTCTCCATCTTTGCGGCCGTTGCACCTTGGCTGCGCAGGAGGCATCTTTTCTGGAGTATTGAACCCCAGACCCCAAGGTCATAAAAGCCATCTCAGCCCTCAACCCTACTTACCGTAGCCCCTTGAAGCCATAACCCTAAACACTTAAAGCTTTAAAACCTCAGTCCCAAACCCTACCCGAACTCCTGACGCGCTAACTATCCCGTCAACCCGGGCGGTAAACCCCGGAATGCATTGCCGAAGCTATTGAGCCTCTACGGCTGTTGCAACAGGCTTCAACAAGGTGTCATGATAGACAAGACTAGGCTCACCAACAGTTTCATGACTATAGCTAGCTAAGACGCATGATTTCGTACCGGATGTGATACGTCCGGCCTCGGTCTTTCAGACTTAGAGGCCGGGTTATGCAGATCAACATAGACACGGTTTAGGGTTTAGGTATCAAGGTATTACCCATGGTTCCCTTTGGGGATTACCTTCTAGGGTTCTAAATATGAATACCAAAAAGGAACTACTGTGGAGCTTATGGATAACTCCAACCATATCCCGTTTGCCAACATGCTTGAAGACAGGCCCTCAACATTTCGCAGTGCTACGCGGCAACTTGGCTCTTAATCTGTCTGGTGCTTCGTAGGGAATGGAGGGATGGATTATGGGGACTATTATTTGGGGATCGTATAGGGACTACTAAAGGGATCCATTCCCCCATTCCATACTAAGAACCAGGCAGTAATGCGGGAATGGGAAGGGGCGGTTTGTGTGCACAGATCTCGCCCCAGCATGCAGGGCAAGCGACTTTGCGTACTTGAATGCAGTCGGTTTGTTCTAGTCTGATTGTGATGCTCTACAAGCCTGAGCAAGACTTATCAAGATGCTTGAATTCGGTTTTCAGGTATTTGCATGAAAAGGCAAACAGTGAAGACTTGCGGATCAATCCTTCGGTTCCGAAAGCTGCAAATGGGTACGTGTGTGTCGCTGCCAAGTTTGTCGCGGACTTTTACGTTCCCAGGCGAGTTTACGATGCCGTTTTCCAGTGTTGCGGGTTTGATGGTTTTTGAGGTTTCAGGTGTGGGGCATGTCTCTTAGGGGCCCAAAAAGGACGTAGGCATAATTAAGCATTTTATAAGGATATCGGGGCCCTTGTTTCGGCCTCAATCGAAAACCGAAATCCCCTCCCTCCTTGGGTTCTAGGAAGCTAAGAGCGGGACACCAAGAAACACACTTGCAGAACCCCCAACACCCATGCGAAATCTAAACCCTATAGAGAGCCCTAGACCCTAAACCCGAAGCCTTGAACCCTAAACCCCAAAACCCCTAGACCCTAAACCCCTAAACCCTAAACCCCTAAACCCCTAAACCCTAAACCCTAAACCTCTGAACCCCTAAACGCTAAACCCCAGACATTCAGCTCCGAATCGCTACGGCCCCAAAGCGCTATGCCGCCCTACAGCCCGTAACCCGGGGCCTAAATAGTTATCAATACTATTGTGGGGGTTCCTACATTAATAAATTATATATATAGAGAGAGAGAGAGAGAGAGAGAGAGAGAGAGAGAGAGAGAGAGAGAGAGAGAGAGAGAGAGAGAGAGAGAGAGAGAGAGAGAGAGAGACAGAGACAGAGACAGAGAGAGAGAGAGAGAGAGAGAGAGAGAGAGAGAGAGAGAGAGAGAGAGAGAGCGAGAGAGAGCGAGAGAGAGCGAGCGAGAGAACCCTATTCTAAGTATTGAGGCCCCTACGTTAGTGACAAGATTAGTGAGGGTTTTAGGGTTCAGTGGGTGCGGGGAGGGATGAGTGCCTAAACCCTAAACCTAAACCTTAAACCTTCAACCCTCAACCCTAAACCCCTAAACCCTAAACCTTCAACCCTAACCCCCTAAACCCTAAACCTTCAACCCTAAACCCTAAACCTTCAACCCTAAAGCCCTAAACCCTAAACCTTCAACCCTAAACCCCTAAACCCTAAACCTTCAACCCTAAACCCCTAAAACCTAAACCTTCAACCCTAAACCCCTAAACCCTAAACCTTCAACCCTAAACCCCTAAACCCTAAACCTTCAACCCTAAACCCCTAAACCCTAAACCTTCAACCCTAAACCCCTAAACCCTAAAATCTAAGTGATGCCTCGACTCCCTGCTTCAACACTACATCCCACGAAGATCCTGGAGGCCTTGATGCAGAAGTCTAAATACCCATAGGCTCCCTAGCAGTTCGTTTTTGGGGTTCGTAGTTTAGAATCCTATAATAATTATAGTTTAGAACCCTATAATTATAAGGTGTATTATCCCAAAGAGGAACTACTATGGAGCCTATGGGTAATCAGTTTCGGGCTCAGATCAGAGTTGTTTAGTTTTTCTACCCGCTTGAATTCCCTGCTGTATTTGCACTCCCCTATGCCCCAAAACCAATTTTTTTCAGGGATATTAGATTTCCTCAAGCTTATCATAAGTATGCCCGAATAGCCACAGTTCGAGTTTAGGGCTTTGTCTATTCCAGCTTATGCCCTCGACCCTGTGGTTGAGCCCCAGGTAAAGCAGCTCGGCGCACTGTTGCAGAGCATCGTCGGCCGGGAGCTCAGTGGGTGCAGAGCTCCTAAGGCCTGAAGGACCAAATGACCCTGAAAAGTAGGGGCCCTATACCCATATGAACGTTAAACCCTTTTAGGGTTCATTTCGTCATTAAGGAAGGCCCAACTACCCAGAAAACACACTTCAGGGAACAAGCCATTAGCCCTAAACCCTATAAACCTCAAAACCTTTAACTTTAGCCCTAAGCCTTAAGCCAGCCACAAGCCTTGTAAACCCTAAGCCTTATGAACCCTAAGCCCGAACCGACAAACCAAAACCTTGTCCCGACCTTCTGGATTTGGGGCTTTGCAGTCTGGTTCGATGTCCAGCAACGGGATAGTAGGGTGAGGGTTTGCAGGGTTTAAGGATGCGGCTAAAGTAGTGCGCAAGGTTTGGGGACGGTTTAGGGTGTAGCCCTAAACCCTAAACCCTAAACCCCTAAACCCCTAAACCCCTAAACCCTAAACCCCTAACTCAAAGAGCAAAGGGGAAGATGTTGACCAAGCGAGCTCTGGGCTGAAAAAGGAAACTTCTTGCATTCAGTTGGGGGAAACCAAAGTTCAGATCTTTGACAGTAGGGTTTAGGGCGGTTTAGGGTTTGGGGTTTTGGGTTTAGGGTTTAGGGTTTTGGGTTTAGGGTTTAGGGTTCAGGGTTTAGGGGGTCATCCTATGAGGTGATTCCAAAAAGGAACTACTATGGAGCCTATGGGTAGTCTTGCTTGCAGATTCGTCTCCGAAAAAACGCGTGTTCTCGACCAATGCACACTTATGTTCTATGATTCTGGGAACGACCCTACACCCCTAAACCGTTTCCGCCGTGCAGGCAACTTGAACCTGATCCTGGTCATTGTGCTGTCCCAGGCTGGACCGTGCAGCTATTAGAACCCTAAACCTAACGGGTTGAGGGTTTAGGATTTAGTGTTTACCAAGCAAACAATCATCCGACCACGATTTTTTCGGATTAGGTTCGTGCGTGTCAACAGTACTGTTATGAAGGATCCTCCAAGGGATTAAGCCCTGTATCCTAAACCCTGCCCATACCTCCAAAGGTAGGCAAAATGATGGCCCAACACTTTTATGAAAGGCCGTTCATATTCTGTATATACATACTTTTGGGATCCAGGTGGTCCCGAAACCTCGAACCCTGCGTAGTCGGGAGAAGCTTTGGTCCCGCCCCAGGCGTGGCTGCATGAGAAGGCGCCTTGCTGGCAGTCAGAGGAATTGGCATCAAACTGCACGAGGATGCGGATACCGTAAAACCGAGAAGGTTTCGAAGTACCGTTGAGAAGCCATTCTGGCACCGCGTAGTGGGCACGTAGGCTAGAATAGAGGGCGGCTAGTTTAGGTGAGTCTGGGATAGTAGTAGTTTTAGGTTATTAATTAGATCTTTCGGGCAGTATCTGCAAACGAGACACTTGGACCGTACAACCACTAAACCTCCAAGCCCCCGCACCCCCTGCGTGAAGCCGCAACATCCGAATGAATTCAATTGAGACCCGAGGTGACCATGTGGCAGTATGCCGGCGTGACGCTGCTGGCTGCTGGCACCTTCTGCAGTGCCTTGCCTAGAGATCCGAATTCGGCTAGAGGTTCGGATTTCAATCGGATTAGGATTTCCGAGGCTTAGGGGTTGAGTTTCGGGACTATCTTTCGTGAGGTGGCCCGGGGTGCAGAGTGTAGGATCTAGGGTATAGTGCTTCGGGCTTGGGGTGCAGGGCGCAGGATTGGGTTAACTTCGGGGGAGCTGAGCTGCGTTAGGCCACACATCATAGCCATGCAAAAGCCGTGACGGTAGATGGTGAAAAGGGCCGGTAGTTTGAATAGCATTGCCACGCAACACTACCCGACCCTGCCACGGCCCGAATACAACATCAATCAATCCTTCATATAGAGTTCCTTATAATCCAGAGCACCACAACATCCTGAATACGAAACCCCTAAATTTTAAAGCTGCAGCAAAGTTGTTGACAGCATAGCAACAAAACCTAAGCTGAAGAAACGAATACAAGCCTCACAGCAATAGCAATCCCTGCTGAGACAAATGGAGCGACCTCAGCCGCAAAGCCATGAGCGACAAGGCCAGCGGCAAAGCAACTTGCCGTAACATAGGGGCCTTAATACTTACCAACACTACTTTAGGGGTTCTTTAACAAAATTAAGGTACAATGGGCCCCAAAACCTATTCTAAGTATTACGGCCCCTATAGGGCATCTGGCCTTTGTGGCTGTAAGTGGCCGCCAAGTAGGCCCTGAACCCTGCGCTAAACCCCGTCCTCTGTAAGTATACCCGTAAAGCCTTAGTGTTAACCTACTGACTAAGCCTCTTGAGCCTCCCCCAGTATCGGGTGCTTAAATCAGTTTAGGGTTTAGGGTTTAGGGAATCATGTGTGCTTATGTCAAAAGTTTGGAAGTCTGTGGGGCTTCCGGCAGCAACTTTGGACATTAAGCTTCAGTCGTAACGAAGCCTTCGCGTGGGGCTTTCGATGCAGTCCTAAGTCAGTCTTAGCAAGTGGTGAGTAGGCTGAACCCTGAAGTAGTGGTGTGGTTATGGCACCAAGAATGCATACACAGGGATGCCCATGCAGACCCTTACAATAAAGTCCAAGAAGGCAGATATATCCAGGCCAGAGGTGTAGTTTCAGGTTCGTGGGTAGTTTAAGGCAGTGTCCGAAGTATTCTAACAGGGGTTATGCGTAGGTAAGCTTATTGTAGACATTCTCCCATAGCCAGATGCGCAAAAACCCTTGTTCAAAACGCCCATTGGCTGCCAGGGGAAGCAAAAGGAGGATCCACAGGCGAAGTTCCAGCTTCGTAAGCAGGGTTCTAGAAGACCCTTATTAAGGACCCCTATAGGTATATACCCTTAATATAGCTATTATATAGCCCATCATAGGGTAGGGGTCCCCATTAAGGGTCCCTCCTTTTAGAAGGGGGGCTCTGAGACGAGTCGTTGGAGATCCCAGGACCTTCTTTGCATTAATTAAGGCCGGCGAAAGATTTAGGGTTTAGGGTTTAGAGTTGAGTGTGTGTGTGTGTGTGTGTATGTGTGTGTGTGTAGGGTATCTTTGCTTTCTGGACTTGCGGTTAGTGGTCACCCAGATAGTTGAACAGAAAATCAGTGGCCGGGGGGGTTCAGGTGAGTACCATAATCCATTCAGTACACCCTAAACCCTAAACCCTAAACCCTAAACCCTACATGGTGCTTGGGACCTTTCAGGTCTTGTCCTGGCATTGGATACTTGGACCCTCCAGGTTGCAGTTGAGGCCATTAAGCTTTCACGTAAAGAAGGGACATGTTATGTTGATGTTCCCACTGTGCTAGGCGTTGGGAGATACTAATCTTAGGGGTACTTAGAAATGACTTTTAATTTTTGGTTATTATAATCCCAAAGAAACAGCTAGAATTACAATTTTTGCTAGGGTTCTAAGTTCAGTATAGACTAAGCGATACTAATGTTGCAGCTTTGTGGCCTATACATCACCCTTGTGAACAACTTTGTGACCTCTACTGTAACCCCAAATGCCACAACCGACAAGCTAAGATACGGTTGATGATGTAAATCCTGCATTACCCATATTGAGGAATATACAGTACCGTAATTTCCATGCTCTAGGATCATTAACGTACTGCAGAATTTATGTCATCAACCGTACCAAGGGCTGGGACCGCAGGACGGAAGCCTCTCAGCCCGCACAACGACCAAGACCGGTTGCCTTACGCCAAGCTCCTGTGCTCTATAAAAACGGAAACAGTTAAAACGCCCTAAACCTTAAACGCGCAACCTTACGCCCCACCTCTGTCTGGAATAATGTGAAGACATCACGACAAGGATTCCTGAACACCTACGTATCGTGGGTTGAAGATACAATTTAAGGTAGACCCTCAACCCCTAACCGAACCCCTAAACCCTAAACCCCTAAACCCTAAACCCCTAAACCCAAAGCCCCCCAACCCCGAAGCCCGAAGCTCTAAACCCCAAGCCTTAAGCCTCTAAGCCCCAAACCCCTAAGCCCCTGAACCCCTAAACCCGAAGCTCTAAACCGTCTAAACCCCAAACCCTAAGCCTCCAAGCCCCAAACCGCTTAACTCTAAACCCCCGAACCCTAAACTCTGAACCCTCAACCCGAAAGCGTCGTCTTTTGGGCCCTTTGGCAGGCCTGCTCAACCCCTCAACTCCTCAACCCAGACTCTCCAAACAGGTGAAGCAGGCGCACGAGCAGGCGCCGGAGGCGTCTCCGGTGCGGGCCTCGTCGTGTTAGGGTTTAGGGCTTTCAGGGTTTAGTGTTTATAGGTTTTGGGGTTTAGGTGAGGGTTTAGGGTTTTTTTGGTTGAGGGTTTGGGGCTTGTGCTTTTTGAGACTTTGAGGCTTTGAGGAATTGAGTGTTAGAAACCCTTTTCAGCAGTCTTATTGCTTTTTCGTTCACTTCTGATCCTGAGTAAGGAAACGGGTCTGTCCAGGGATCTACCTTCCGGGTTCTGGTTTGCAAGGGCTTCACTGTCAAACTACGGAGTTTATCAAGGCCTTCCACGGTGACATGAAAAAGGTAACGTGTGCAGGATTTGAGTAAGGATGGAGGATTCGGGATGACTTGGAGTTTATGGGTTTCCGGTCTGAGGATTTGCATAGACCACTGCCAGACCCTGAACACTGGATCTTCCAAGCATAGTTACGAGGCTAAGCCGTTAACCTCTCTACGGTGGGCCTTTGTAGGTTACAGGGTACATTCCAAAAACCCACAAACTAGAATCACTCGGCGGATTTTCGGTTTCGGGTTGTAGGTGCCCCTGAAGGAAGATCCATAGGTTCAGTTGATGGGGTGGGGTGCTCTTTGTTCCTCAGAAATCTAAGCATTAAGCCCTCAGCCTTAACGCTGGAACCTTAAACCCAGCCTAAGGTAGGGGCCTTATGAATTTGAATGGGGTTGCGGGGCCCAGGTAAATTCGAAAAATACAATAAGGAGCCCACAAAATAGTATCTAAGTTCTATAAATACAATAAGGAGCCACAAAATAGTATATAAGTTCTATGAATACAATAAGGAACCCACAGAATAGTATAGGCTGTTATTTAGGCCCCCGTAGTTCCAGGCAACAGAAAACTACGGCGCCACGGGAGATGGCAGGCCGCTCCAGCCTCCGAAGAAGACTCGGTCTCGGGTTTCCGATGGTCCATGTACCATTCCTCGAACCCCAAGGGTCCAAAAGGACCCACTAATTAGGTACTCGGTTCTAGGATAGTAGTTATGTAGGTTAGGATTTTGGAGAGTATATGATTGTTGGGTACTTGGACTTGGGGTAATTCCTATAATTCGATCTAGATGTAGATATAGATACCAGATACAGATATAGACATAGATGTGTGTATGTATATCTGTATATATGTACTTCGTCCTTGATGAGCATCCTGGAGAGTGTAATTACTCTAAATGCCAAACTCCCTGAAGCCTGGCTCCCAATACCCGAAATCCGAAATCCTAAACCCCCGCTGTAAAGCCCAGCCCCTAAGAGGTCGATAGCTTGAAGTTCGAAGCCCTTGTGGAAGCATTACAGATTCCATATGTCAGGGAACCCCAGGACCTTGAAGCCCAAAGGCCTAAATCCAGAAACCTAGAAGCCTGTGGCTCCGAAGTGCGGAAGCTGCAACTGAGTTTGGATTGAGTGTTTAGGACTTAACGTTGGGGTTGAGGGTTTAGATTTGAGGGTTGGGACTACGATGTTGAGGGCCTGCTGGGAAGCCTAGCCTAAGCATAGGGGCCTAATCGATTGCCGATACTACGTTGTGACTTTTTGGTGGTCTTTCTCAGAAGTATAGGGGCTCAATTAACGTACCAATGCGCTCTCTGGGGTTTGGGGGGTTCTTTATCAGAAGTATGGATCAATCTGCCCCGAAGCCGAAACGCTACTCTAACGAATAATTCTGCGAAAGCACCGGAATCCCGGAGCTCAAGTTTCCGGCTCCCTCGTTTTTTTAAGATTCGGGACTCAAGCATATTATGCTGCTGCTGGCTGAAATCATGTGTTCTATGGTTCTCCAGATCAGGGCCCTGTTAGGTCTCCCAAATTCCCCTTATAGGGTTTAGGGTTTAGGGTTTAGGATTATAAAAGGACCCTGAAAGGGACAATCATGTATAGAGCTGCCCATATTTAGGCGATGCCACAGGCCCCCCCGTACTTTGGGGTACCTCAGGTAATACAGAGGGCTTTTAGCCCGAACAAACTCCATTTTTTCATATTCACTCTGCAAGTATTTCCCACGCCCGTAAATCCAAAAATCTTTGGCTCAGTCTGCTCTGGGCCCTGCCGAGTCGATATTTATTGGCCATCTGCTAAAGAAAACCCTAAGGGCCCAAGTACCTTATTGTAGGAATTACCCCAAGGGTCCACGGTCCAAGTACCCAATAATCATATACTCTCCAAAATCCTAACCTACATAACTACTGTCCCAAACCCGAGTACCTAATTATTGGGTCCTTTGGACCCTTGGGGAAAGGTTGGTGGATCCTTCATCTTTGACCCCTAGCCCTAAACCAATCAAAACCCTATTCAGAAATGACATTCCAACAGATCCCTATCAAAAGTTGTAAAGCGATTTAATTTTGCCACGGCGAGAAAGTACTCCGTGCCATGACAATGAGCCGGGTGAACCCACATCAAAACGCTTTGCAAAGCTTCAACTTTCAAATCTGCATAGGTGAACCGACACAGTTCCCCGAAAAATCTGGATACCTGCCACTTCGTTAAGGTAGCTTCGTCCCTCTAGGTAATCTCCGAGACCCATCCCTCCTCACAGCATAAATCCCTTTGGCGCCTTAAACTGGTAAACCCTAAAAGCCGCTAAACTCTGCTGACCTTAATCCTGGAAGACCCGTTAAGCCTCAAGCAACGTCCCAAGCTTTCCCGTTTCCGTTCAGCTGCAGGCGTCTGAGCGCACAGCCGCAAGAGACCTCCGTCGTGACATCACAGGCCTAAGTTAGCATTCCTTTGTCCCCCCGCCCTACCACCTTCGAGTTCAGCTATGAAGACAGTCGATATAGAAACCTAGAGACTCACCCATTTTATTCCTTAGGGTTTCTCAGCATCATTATAATTTGACAAACCACGTGACCCCTGTCGAATTATTATGGCTGCTGCACGACTCGAACCTGATCATTATGACCCTGCTGGGGCCGTTAGAGTCTATCGATCTAGAGTCGAGGGCAGCAGAGAGGGTTTAGAGCCAGGTTTTTGGGTGCACCATTTAACTGTGAGATGCCACAAAGATGCCTGGATTGTGTTTTGAGAATTGCGTAAATTTGCGCTCGTCCGTTTGGGATGCCCTGCAACATGAGGTTTATGCAGCGATTCTCCCTATTTCTGGCACTACTCTTGCGAATTTCTGTCGCAGCTTACCACTACGCAGGCAGACCATAAGCCCAAAAGGCCCATCGCCACAGCCGCGTTTGGGGAGTTTTTTTGTGCCCCTTCTACTAGTAGAGTTGAATCTGAACCTTTACTCTATACCCCAGCGGAACGTAGGGGCCTTACATTAGAGCAGTGTTCCTCTACGGGTTCCTTTTAAATGAGTTTATGGATATAGGAGCCTTAATTCTGGGACTTGGGTTCTTGGTTGCGTACATCATATTTAGGAACCCTAAGTACGCAATACTCAGTCTATACTACACCCTACATGTCTTAGCTCAATAAATGAGACCGGGGGGGGGCAACAGGCTTTAGGCGGAGCTGAAAGCGTTTTAGGCTGCGATCTGTCTCCATGGTACGGAGAAGAAGGTGTGATCAGGACCCGAGGTGTCCAGAACGAGCAAAACCACCACGGCTACAAGTAGCAGCAGTAGTAGTAGTAGCAGTAGTGGTAGTGGTAGTAGTAGTAGCAGAAGTAGCAGTAGAAGTAGTAGTAGTAGTAGCAGTGGTGGTAGTAGTAGTGGTAGTAGTAGTGGTAGTGGCAGTGGTAGTTATTTTGGCACACCACAGAATAGCACCCCCCTCCCAACTCCGCTTTGAGCACTTGATCCAGGGCAGACTGCTGCACGTGCGAGCGCCAATCCCAGGCCGCGATGCCAGACATCTGCACATCGTTGGTGTATATCAAAAGACTTACGATACCAAATGTGCTAGCACGCTGGAGCAACGTCAACAGGTCTGGCAAGCCCTCGACCGGTGCCTCTCTCGAGTCCCAGTCCGAGACTCACTCATAGCGGCCGGGGACTTTTAACACACCTGTGAAGCCCCAGACACCCTACATAGGTTCCGTCACCAACCCCCTTCCGTGCCACCCTCCTGAGGACATGGAGGAACTGCCGCTGCTTCTCCAAACCTACGATCTGGTTGCCCTCAACACGTGGGGCAGGACGAGGCCTAATGCTAAGCCATCCACCTTCGGGTTCGGGGAGGCTGAGTCCCGGATTGACTTCGTCATTGTCAGACGCGGGGAAGCCACTGACCAGGCCAAGCGAGCCTGCCCTATGCGACAGTTCCATGTGGGAGCCTCACGCCACAGTGGGGCTATTCACTTCCCCCTCAGTGCCACTGTGCAAATCCGGTGCCCACACTGGACTCGACGACCCCAAAAACCTCGACCCCAGGTGAACATCGAGGCGCTGTTAGCTGCCCTGGACCAGCCGACCCTGCCAGATCATCTGGCCAAGATTGAGGCAGTCCGCACAGCTGTAGCTCAGCATCTTAGCAAGTGGAGTGGCATTGAGGGAGTGGAGCAGCTACACTGCACGCTGCACCAGGCCTGCTGCCAAGTGTTCCCTGCTTGTCCGAAAGTGCCGACAACCAAACCTTGGCAGACAGACAAAGTTCAAAGTGGCATCCAGGCCATGTGGACCAAGTGGCGGGCTTTCAAGAGAGTCCGCAGGGATGGCATGCGAGGCTGGTTCAATGCCTGGAAAGCCTGGAAGGCATACGACAAGCAGCACAGAGACCACCAAAAACGTTGTCGCGAGGCACGGTGTGCCAAGCTCCTTGTGGCCATGCAAGAGGCCCAAACGTGTGCATACCGACACGATTCTCGTGGTCTGTATCAAATCATCAAAAGAATTGCACCGAAGCAAACATACCGCAGGCTGCAACTTCGTGATGATTCCGGTCGTATGCTCACTCCTGCAGCAGAGGCCGATCTGCTGCAGACTCATTTTGGCGACCGATTTCAGGCTGCACCCCGGGCATCTGTGCCTCACACGGAGCAGTCTGCTCGTCCGGCAAACCTGCTCCAAGGCCCTTGGACACTGCAAACGCCGCTGCAGGTTGATGCACAGGTTTTATGTGCTGAGCTGCAAAGCATCCCTCGCAGGAAGGCTGTGCCAGCCGATCACCCACCAGGGGCGGCCTGGCGCCTGTGCGCCGACATGGTGTCAGTCTGGACATGTGACCAGCTCCAGCAACACTGGTGCCACAGTCCCCCAGCAGCTGGACCGACGTGGACCTGGCCCTGATTCTGAAACCCGAAAAATCGGGTGCGAAGCCCAGCGACTATAGGCCCATAGGGTTATCTTGTCCCCTAGGGAAAAAGATGCTAAGCTGTGTATTGATGCCACACGTCCCGCAAATCCTTGGAGAGGTCACACGCTTTCCCCAGTATGCATATCAAAGTGGCAGATCTCAATACGATGCTCTTCGAAAAGTTTTTGCACACTGTGCAGCAACCAGGGCTGAATTGGGTATACACCACAAAAACTTGCATCATCAACATGCTGGGCAGAAGAGTGTACCCCTCTTTGGGAGCCTCATGGTCACGCTAGACTTATCACAAGCATTTGACAGGATTCCCAGAGAGCTCCTTTACCAGGGGATGTGTGACATGCAATTGCCTGAGGACCTTATCTCCATCATAATGGCATGGCATTCAAGCATTGCATACACGGTGCATCATGCAGGCGAAAGCCGCACCTTCCCTGCCACCCGTGGGGTGCGTCAAGGCTGTTCAGCCTCTCCGCTCCTGTGGCTCATTTTTTCGCATGCCACTAGTACCCGGCTGGAGGCCTCCATCGGGTACAGCACATTGTGCCAGATGCTCACCATCTTTGCAGACGATTATCATGCGGCAGGCACCTTCAGTACCCTACATGAGCTGGAGCAGCTTCTGGGTTGTATCTCCTTGCTCTTTAAGGTCCTCAAGTCCTTTGGCATGCAGGTCAGTGATGCCAAATCCAAGGCCATTCTTGCCATACGAGGCACTCTGAGCACTTCCATCCGCAAGAAGTTTGTGAGGAAAGGCCCGGACGGCCTGGTGCTACGAATCCCCCAGCTCCAAGGCAGCCTTTGCATTCCGCTGGTGTCTGAATTCACCCATCTGGGTGTTCGCATCAGCTACACGTCCTTTGAGAATGCAACCCTGCACCAGAGGATGAACAAGGGCAAAGCTACGTTCAGCCGATTGGGCACTGTCCTCAAGGGCAAACACAATCTTTCAATTGCCCATCGCCTGTGCCTCTGGAAGGCCTGTGTCTGGTCCACTATCTCCTACGGGCTGATCACCTGCGGCCTGACAGCCGAGGGCCACAAATCACTTGAGACCTTAGTAGTGAAGCAGCTCAGAGCTATTCTCAGGCAGCCGGCCCACCTCACGCACACCACGAACTCTGAAGTTCTTGCCGAGGCGGGTTTTACCCTGCCTGGAGCTGCTCTAGCCAAGATGCTTGACCGTGAAGCTCACCGCCGTCAGGGATGCACTGACCTCCATGTGAGCCTGCTGACCGGTGCCTGGTGGAAGAGGGTTAGACAAAGTCTTGATTGTTCTTCTTCTGAATCCTCTCGACTTAAGTTAGCCCCACTTCATACCACCCTGCACCCGTGCCCAGTCTGCGGTACATCGTGTGGTAGTCGCTCTACCCTGCTTACGCATATCGCGAAACAGCATCCTGAGCACTCCCAGCACCGTGCACCCGAACCTTTCTCAAAAACTGCCGATGCGATAGGAGGACTTCCCCAGTGCAGCCATTGCCAGAAAAAGTTCTCGACCTGGCAATTGCTTCGACGACACATAGAACATAACTACTGCGCTGTTCGTCACTCCTTTCTGCCACAGCCTCTGCCGACGGACACTGCAGCGTCTCAGCCAGCCGAGCCCCCCAAAGGCCATCCTCCCCTGTTTGAGGAGCCTATCATGCGGGCATGCATTGTGACGCATGGAGCCAATGCTATATACCACATGCCCCGCCCCACAGACATCAGTACTACCAACACTGCATGAAATGTGGTCAATGGATTGCATCCTCCAAAGTCATGAAGCTACACTACAAGCACAGCCACCCTCACCTGCTCTCCAGCTTCGGGGGTAAAGCCACGACTCTCTGTGGTACCTACACTACCGGGGGATCGCCCTGCCTCTACTGTGGTGTATCGGTTGCGCACCCAGGCTGCATAAACCTGTCTGCTCCGTCCTGTGGCAGTTCTGTTTGAATCTGGCAGACCAACATCCGCAACAGCTGGAACATGGAAATGGCCCAGGACCTAGACCTGGATGCGGCACAGGTCTTCGGCAATCTTGCCAGGGACAGTGCGAGCGGCTTTCGGTCGGTGCTTCTAGGAGCCAGCAGACGGAGACGGAGGAAGAACGGCCGCCGAAGGCTGCCAAGATGGGTCAAAATCCTGCACAGGGCAAGCGAGGACGGCAGGCCGACAACTCAAGCTTCAATGGCGGACAGGGCCCTCCCTGGAAAGGCCAAGGCAAAGGGAAAGGGAAAGCCTCGTCCCAGACAACGGCCCTTGTCCGGGCGATGGGTCGCCTCATCATCCGGCAGGAGACCCAACTTCAGGTGCTCAAGCAGAATTCGGCATGGATGGTGTATCTCAAGCCGGGGGCGAGTGGCCCGATCCCAGTCCTCTTCCAGGCGGCGGAGAAATACAAGGAGCAGGCCAAGACCAAGTTCATGTGCAGACCCTCGTGCATTGCCTGCAAGCTCTCAGCACGGATGCCAACCAGCAGAAGGCGGCCAAGGAGAAAGGATGGATGACGGACGAGGGCCATTGGTGCTACCAGAAATGGGACTCCACCAATCAGGTGTTGCAGGTGGACGAGGACCGGGCACCGGTGCCACATCAGGATGTGGTGGGACTATCCCAGAAAATGGCGGGCTTGGTGCTAGCCAAGGATGTGGTGCACAGGTTCAACGCGACACATCCGATTTCTGCGGACAAAGAGGGCACGGCAGTGTTCTTTCTCGAAATCGGACTGCGGGCCAAGGGAGTGATGGAAGCATGGGAGGGTCTCGAGGTGATGACCAACCTAGCAGCTCTACAACTCATTGGGATGCAAGGCAAGCGGGAGAGCCTGCGCCGGAGCAACCTTGCGGACGAGGTGCAGAAATTGCTGAGCTCCTACACAGGCTCGTCCTGCACGACCCTGCACATCACAGTTACATAAATGCATTTGTATGGGTGCACCTGTGGTCCGCCTGTGGTGTTATGGGCTCACGAAGGTGCCTGAGTTTCAATTCTTCGGGGACAAGGCTCAGGCGTGGCGAGATGTGCTCTACTCGTGTACCAGCCCACTCACTTCGATCATGGATCAGTCTGTTTAAAGGCTGGCAGCGGCCAGCCTCTCGGACTGACATTGCCCAGTTTATGTGCCATGCCCTCAATCTGATGCGACCTCCGGTGCTCGAAGGTGGCTGGGAGTCACGCTTGGTGACAGGGGATGCAGTCACACAGGTTGCAACAGGCACCCTACATTCGCCAATCCGTCTGTCCCTGCATCCACAGCACTGCACAGTGCAGGACTGTGTTGATTGCTGGCATGCTCAGGCCAGCCCCATTATCTCTGCCTTAAAAGCTGCGCCGGATTACCTGTTCCTGCAACTTGACAGGCATGCCCCAGGGGACAAGGATGTGCTTCAGCAGCCAATGGCCATCCCGAGCACGCTTGCATTGCCAGTCTTTGGGCCGAGGGATACATGCTTTCGTGCTGCCTACCATGCTGTAGCATTCATTCTACGGTCGGATGCCGACGAGCACACTTCCTACACGGCCCTTCTGCGATCCAAGACGGATTGTGGCAGGGGAAGCTGTTTGGCAACATGCGATGGGCGACGAGCCGTGCACCTTAGTGCAATTCCTGCCCATGCCAGTGCTCAGTGCCATATCATAGCACTCATCAGGTCGCATCTTCTGCGATGATGACGAGGGGGTTCAGTCTCAATTCTTTTATGGTGCTCTAGGACCAACTCCTTTTGCACCCTCCGATAATGCTTGGAGTACTTTTGGCTAGGACATCGCCTGCAGGCATTCGTGCCGAGGTAATCAGATTCAAACGAGTGTGCCAGAAGGCACCGACGACTCAAGTCGTTGCTGTTAGGGACGCTGAGCGGTAGCCGGACTCCGCTGCGATGGAAGAAGAAGAAGAAGTGGCAGTGGTAGCGGCAGCGGTAGGGGTAGTGGTAGTGGCAGTGCTAGTGCTAGTGGTAGCAGTAGCAGTAGCATTAGCAGTAGCAGTAGTAGTAGTAGTAGTAGTAGTAGTAGTAGTAGTAGTTGTTGTTGTTGTGGTAGTCCACCACCACAGACACCACTACTGCAAAAACCGCCGCTTCCAAACTTGTGTTTTGCAAGTTTGGGTTTAGGGCTCAGGGTGTAGGGTTTACGGCTTGTTGCAAGGCCTTCGATCTTGACTGTCGGGATCCTCTCTCCTTCTCTCCGGCACCAGGGAGTATCGACCGACTGTTGGCCGACAACAGCCTTGGCTGTTCTCGGTGTGGATGACGTAGGAATCTGATTAAGAACTGGTTCTACACCCAAAATATTCTCACCCATATGAAGAGCTCTAGTACAGACCCAAGGTATCTTAATCAGGCTCCTATATTTCATTTTACGACTCTGAGATGCCCTGTATTTTATCTTACGACTCTGAGATGCCATAAGCCCAGTGCAGCCGCTGTTTACAAAAACATAGACTTTACAGCTGGTCTGATCTGTCTACTTCGTCCGTACTACTCGGAGCCCCATGTTTCAGACATCTTCTTGCAACTATTATTTGGTTGCAGCCCTAAACCCTAAACCCACGAGGCCCTCACAGCCCACTAACGATTATGATTATGATGGTGCTCATTAATTACTTGTATTTCTTCAGTGCTATGATGAAGAGAATGAGTCTAAAATGACGCCCACATGTCATATGAAGTGGGGCTATGTTGGGAATCCGTTGCGCGGACGCGCGGTCCTCAGGGACCTTACTATGGGTGTAAATCTTGGTGTATTTTGCAGGTAGGAATTAGCAAGAGACCTGCCTCGCATGACTCACATGGGTGGTTGTCAAAATTAGGGCCCCTTTTGGGTCCTTAATATAATCGGCACCTAATAGTTAAGGTACCCAAAAAGAGCGCCTAATTCTGACAACCACCCACTTGACTTGATCGAACACAAGCTTGTGGTCATAAGGTCTCAGATAGCTTCCACAAGACCCGAATCCTTAAAGACTTTAAACCCTAAGTCTTTACCACAAACCCTTGCGCCGAATCCCTATAAATCCCCAAAGGCTACATCTTAAGACTTACCAGTGGTTAGTAGGGAATGGAAGAATGGTAGTAATAGTATTTATAACTGTACCCCATTCCTCCATTCCCGTCTAACCAAAGGTAAGAAGACCGAAAGCTGAACCTATCTTCAAGGCTGTGTCGGCGACTTTACCCAGCGGGTCCGGACTGTAGTCCTTGCCGAGTACCCCCAGCAATCCGGGCGGTGCAGACGTTCCTGTTGCAAACTACCTATTTGGCCATTCACCCAGAGTCAGCAGCCCCTTTAAGCCTCGCCGGCCTAAACACCCCCACCCTGAACCGCTACTCTTTCCCCGTAAACTCTACGCCCTAAACTGAAGGGGGCTCTGACTTTGGTACCTCCGTATCTCGTGCTTTGGTTGGCCGTAGCCTTTGTCGCCAGAGCAGTCAGCCCCGGCGGCCTTGTTACCTTAGAGTTTAGGGTTGAAGGTAGGGTTGAGAGTCTAGGGTTTCGGGTTGAAGGGTCCGATGTACCTGATAATCGTATACTGTCCCAAGCATTAACCTACAGAAGTGATATCCTAAAGCACTAGAGATGGGGGTCGAATACCAGTCGCTTCTATTCCTTAACTTCCCGAATATAACATTCCTACCACAAAAACACTGTTCTACTTATTCAGGCCCCTATACCGTTGGGGTATAGGTGCTAGTATAGCCCCTTCATCCTAGAGTCCTGTGAAGGGCTTGAGGCTGCTGATGTACTTGTGAACACCTTTAAACCCTCGGGCTCAAACATCGAATTAACGCATGTTTAGAAATTCAGGGCTTAGGGCCGCACTCTCCAGCCTGCTAACCTACAGTTAAATACAGCCCTAAATCCAAGTACATGTCAGGCACTTCCGGACTCTAAGCTACAAGCACTGAGCTAGTTGTGGGGTTCCTGTATAATGCAGACCCCTGGTCAACAGACCCGCTTTGTTTTGTTGTTAGAGGATCCCGAGTATAGTTCCCATGATGTGAGGGGCTTCAGGAATTTGGGGGTCTACCCTGACCTCCTGAACCCTCACCAACACTACGCCGCAACTAGGCCTGAATAGTTTTGTTCTTCGGGTTATTTGGTGCGGTAACCTTAAACCCTAGAGCTTAATTATATGTTTTCAGATGGCATTTACACTCGGCTGTGTGGAGTCTCATGACATCGCCATGTAGTGTCGCAACGTCCAGCAAGCCCCGATACCACTATAAACCCCATATATAACCTAAGCCCTAATTCTAAACCCGGAACCCTAAACCTTAATTCTAAACCCTCAACCCAAAACCCTTTAGATGATTGTCAGTGTGAGTTCCAATAGCTGAGTTTTAAGACGAGTCATAGGGATCCTTAGGGGTGTAGGGGGAGGGGGGGTAGGGTTAAGGCCCATAATAAGGACTAATAAGGCCTATTTAAGGAAATATAGTCCCCTACACCCCTCCCCCCTACACCCCTAAGGATCCCTATGATAAGACGAGGCCGGGGGCACTGAACTCAGGATTTCGAAAGCTCCACGGGGAGCCTCATTGGGTCCTGGCAGCGGGAACCCTCGAGAGATTTGCGAAACGCAGCTGTTTAGGGTTGAGTTAAAGTTTAGGGTTTAGGGTTAAGGACTTTTAGGGTTTAGGGATTTAGATGGATTCAGGTAAAGATGGATTTAGATAAATTTGTGCGAGATCCAGATGTTTAGGGTTTAGGTACAGTTTGGGGTTTAGGGTTGAGAGTTTAGGATTTGCAGCCCCCTGGATTGCAAGCCTTGCAGTCGAAAGCCTACTTGTCCAAGAGAAGCCCCAGAATGCAGGCTGCCCGACCCCCACCGTGAAACGTGCCAAGCACAGCATGTCATCTCACGCACGGTGCAAAGAGCGGAGGCTTTCCAGCGATTTCCACAGGGTTTGCAGCGATACGATAGGGTGTGCCTAAGGATCCGCGAGTTTAACAATCATGGGTGAGTAAGGTAACCATAGAGCTCTAACGTTTCACATATTCCCAAACAGGATTGACATGGTGTGGTCTAGTGGCAGATTCGGCCTTTTCTCTGTCTATAAAGTTCAACAGCTTCTTGATTACTTGATTGACTTGGATGCTTAAGAGTTTCTTGTATCCAGTTTCCAAGAGGTTTCGACTGGATTCCCAGAGACTCCAATATCCCTTAATTGAGGAATATTCCTTAAATCATATTAGGGACCCTACTATAATTTAAGGTATATTCCTTAATTCAGGGATATTGGAGTCTCTGGATTCTGCAATGGCGTGCAAAGGTTCGGCCTGGGCCCCACCCTGGGAACTCTGAGCCTCGGGGGGTTTTCGATTTCTGCAATATACGGGAGTTTCCGAAGATTGGGGGACCCTAATATGGTACCCTGAATAGTAGGATCCTTATAAGGACCCCAAAATGAGGTACCCCTATTTTTCGGAAGAATCCTTTTAATCAGAAGCACCGACGAACTTGACGATTGCGGTGTTTGTTTTGCAGCAGCGTTGGCTTAGGCATCAAACGAGCATAGTCATGTATCATGTCGGCTTCTAGACTCGAAAGATATGCTTCTTAATGAGGACTGTGCGATCAGACAGAGCCGCAGCTCTAGTTGACACAGTCTTTAGGCGGATAAACTTGGAATGAACCGGACAAGCCGCACCGGTCTAGCTGAAGCCCTCAACCCTAGATGCTAAACCATGAATCTCAAAACCACACCCCAAGACTTAGGCTTCGCGACCGCGAGTAACATGTCGATTTCCGTTGAAGTTTCACTGCTCAGTGGCAAGACAGCTACCGTGCACGCAGGCCTGGACGAAACGGTGGAGGTGTTAACACAACGGGCACAGATCGCGCTTGGAGTCGGGAAAGGGCGTCTGCTGGACTCCTCTGGAGTCGTTTTGGACGGATGTGCAGCGACCAAGAAAGCCAGGCTGCAGAATGGTGACTCGCTGATGCTACAAGTAAACAGAGTTCAAGTTCAGTTCACCGGCTATTCTTTTGCGGCCATTCTTGGCAATGGGTCGGTTGTGACCTGGGGTAATGCCGATTTTGGTGGAACAAGTAGTGCTGTTCAGGGTCAGCTGAAGAATGTACGGCAGATCCAAGCATCTGACGGCGCTTTTGCTGCCATTCTTGGTGATGGATCCGTGTTGACCTGGGGTGATGCTGGCTTTGGTGGTGACAGCAGTGCTGTGCAGAGTCAGCTGAAGACTGTGCAGCAGATCCAAGCCGCCGGCAGTGCTTTTGCTGCTATCCTTGGTGATGGATCCGTTGTCACGTGGGGCCAGACTGAACTTGGTGGCGACAGTAGCGCTGTGCAAGGGCAGCTGAAAAACGTACTTCAGATCCAGGCCAATGTTGGCGCATTTGCTGCCATCCTTGGCGACGGCTCCGTTGTGACCTGGGGATATGCTGAGTACGGTGGCGACAGTAGTGCTGCCCAAGGTCAGCTGAAAAATGTGCAGCACATCCAGGCTTCTCTACGCGCTTTTGTGGCTATTCTTGTCAATGGTGCTGTCGTGACTTGGGGCGCTGCTGATGCTGGCGGGAACAGCAGTGATGTGCATGGTCAGATAAAGGGCGTGCAGCAGATCCAAGCCAATCACGGCTCATTTGCTGCCATTCGTGACGATGCATCGATTGTGACGTGGGGTGATGCTGACTGTGGCGGCGACAGCAG